TATTATTTTTTTTTTTTTTTTTTTTTTTTTTATTTTTTTTATTTTTTTTTTTATTTTTTTTTTTTTTTTTTTTTTTTTTTTTTTTTTTTTTTTTTGAAAAATCCCTACGAGGATTTTTTTTTCTCCAAGTGTTTTTAATCACTACGTGATGAGACAGACTTCTTTGTTTTACGGAGCTGCTTAATTACATCTGCGATTGAGTGGTTGAGTGCTGTCGCATGTGCAATTTCCAAATATTTGGCTCCAAGTTCCGAAAGGCTGATATAGCAGGCCATGATGATTTAAAGACGACATGCGCCGCAATTGGTAGTTTGGCAGAACTGTATTGCGGCCATGTCATCTATAGTAATGAGCTTTACTATGCTGGCATTATCCAACAGCAGCATGAGTCTCTTGCGGACTTGGAGTACCACTAGATAATCAGATATTCTTGCCTTCAAAACTGCCCCCAATGCAACTCTACGACTTGGAAATCAATTACTCACGACAACACACTCCCCCAACTGAAGGGGAACCAATCTAGTTGGTCTTTCGCGGCACAACTAATAGCCTAATCTGCTGTGTGTCTCAATTTTGTGGCGGAATTGGCAGTAGATTCGCGATTGAATTGTCTTAGATAATGATGTTTCACCGTGCAGCCATCACTTGGCTGTGGCTGGCGTCATAATGCGGAGTAGAGCAAACATGTCCCGACCTCGGCACTATAATAAGTAAACGCTTCCCCTCATAAGAATAACATGCAAGGCACTCAGAATCAAGCGGCCGATTTTCTTTCGATTTCTCAGGTTTCGATTGAGCTGCACTTTTCTTTACGGACCAACCAGTCTCGGCAACTTCGCCATGGGCTCTGCTCAACTCCATGGACAGCTTCCCACCTGGGAACGCTTTGCTCCCGGATCAATCAATATTGCTCCCGCTGTGTTCCCCAAGTCCGCGTTGGCTCCATCTCCAGACCTGGATGCGAACAAGACCACTGTTGATTTGGTCACGGAATTGAACGAATCGCTCGCAAAAGCAGACTACCCATCTGTCTCGAAGCTCTTTGTCGAGCAAGGCTTCTGGAGAGACCACTTGGCCTTGACGTGGGAGTTTCGCACAGCACAGGGACCGCAGGAGGTCCTCAGCCTGCTAGAGACAAGCTCCAAATCCAGAGATGGGTTTCGTTTAAAGAACGTTACACTGGACACAGGCTCCGCGCTACGAGCGCCCAGAGTTGGGCCTCTGGATGGCGAGGGACAAGTCATTGGAATAACCTTCTTCTTCAACTTCGACACAGGCATCGGATCAGGAAAAGGCGTGGGCAGAATTATCAACGACAATGGAACCTGGAAGTTCTATTCACTCTACACAGCTCTCCAGGAACTCAAAGACCACGAAGAGCATGTCAACGAAAGACGGCCCCATGGAGTCGAGCACGGCATGAAGCAGGGCCGGCAGAATTGGGCTCAACGAAGAGAGCAAGAGAAGCTGCATAAAAACGCCGACCCAGCTGTTGTCATTATAGGTGAGGAACCTTTACGCTCTGCCTCAATGTTTTATTATTTTCCCAACCCCGAATCAAACTTGACTACGCATAGATTATTTACTGACATTTCCCCAGGCGCTGGACAATCCGGACTCACGATAGCGGCCAGATTGAAAATGATGGGAGTCGAAGCCCTGATTATCGACGAAAGCGCCCGCGTCGGAGACAGCTGGAGAAAACGCTACCATCAACTGGTTCTCCATGATCCCGTCTGGTATGACCACATGCCGTATCTTCCATTCCCGGCCCATTGGCCCATCTTTACGCCCAAAGACAAGCTGGCAGAGTTTTTCGAAGCCTACGTGATCTTGCTGGAGCTCAACGTGTGGAACAAGACGTCGATTGGAGGAGCCAGTTGGGATGCTACGAAAGGGAGCTGGGATATCAAATTGCTCCGACGTCTAGAGGACGGCTCGGTAGAGACTCACAACTTGCGCCCACGCCACGTTATTCAAGCGACGGGTCATTCGGGCTTCAAGTACGTGCCGCAGTTCAAGGGGATGGAAACTTTCAAGGGCGATCGCATCTGCCATTCATCAGAATTCCCAGGTGCCCAAGAAAACAGCAAGGGCAAGAAGGCGGTGGTCGTCGGGTCGTGCAATTCAGCCCACGACATTGCTCAGGATTTCGTCGAAAAGGGCTACGACGTGACAATGGTCCAGCGCTCAAGCACCTTTGTCACCAAATCTGAATCCATCACCGGCATCGTTTTGGCTGCCTACTCGGAAAATGGGCCGCCGGTGGAAGATGTAGACCTGTTGATCCATAGCGCCTCGCTTGCTCTTCTTAAGACGTATCAGATATCCACTGCCAGGAGGCAGGCAGAGAATGATCGTGACATACTCGAAGGGCTCCTACGTGTTGGATTCAAGGTAGACACCGGGCCAGACGGTGCCGGTCTTTTCTACAAGTACTTTCAGTGGGGGGGAGGCTATTACATCGACGTTGGGGCCTCCCAGCTCATCATCGATGGCAAGATCAAGATGAAGTCTGGACTGGAGGTTTCCGAGGTGCTACCCCATGGCCTGCGTTTCGCAGATGGCAGTGAATTAGAAGCAGACGAGATCATCCTGGCTACAGGTTACGGTAACATGCGTGAAAAGACTCGAGTGATGCTTGGAGATGCTGTTGCGGACAAGGTAAAGGACGTATGGGGCATCGGCGCGGGAGGAGAGCTTCGCGGCATCTGGCAGCAGACTGGACATCCCGGCTTCTGGGTACACGGAGGAAATCTCGCGCTATGCCGCTACTACTCGAGACTTTTGGCTTTGCAGATCAAGGGAATCGAGGCAGGCTTGTATAGGTACGGCGAGAACTAGAGTAGACTCCACTGGTCTGGGCAGGTGTTTGCATGACACTGGTAGTTGCTCATATTAGAACTTGAGACTCGGCTCTTGAATCTCAACAACCATATCTTCACCGGCAGTTACTCTCCCAACAGAGTGTCTGTAGATCTCTGTACGCTTTTGGAAACACACCGCTGGTCTAGATTTCTTGTAGTATTGATCGATCGATCCGGAGTGGTCTAGACTCGCTTGCGATTCTTCACTCCTGCTCTCATCCAGGGGCAATGGGCAGGCAGGTAAGCACGGAGATGACGTTGTTTGACGAGCAGATGCCGTATAAAGAGCAAGAGAGGAACTCTGACCGCCTCGTTGCGATGGAAAGCCTAGCTGGTGCTTCTCTTTTGGTCATGAGGATTGCGTGGCCTGGAGGATTAGTAGCCGAGGGAAAGAGGGAGCACAGACACAAGCACCTGATCTCGCTACGAGTCTTGCTCTCTCTTTTTCTTTTCCCCTCTTTTGTCTCCTCTTCCTCTTGTTTTTTCTTTTCTTCTCCATTATTCTTTTCTTCTCCTCTTGAACATCACAACATCTCTGTGTTCTCTACGAGCGCTGAGTTGTCAGTTAAACACTCTCGCCCTCTTCCTACCTTCACAGGGTCCGCCGTATGGGAACCTCAGCAATATCAGCACAGCCGCATCCTCTTTGTTTTTCTTACTCTCTTTGGCTTTTCTGCCCGTCTGTCCCTGCGGCCTATATTGCGTGCCCTCCACTCCAGTAGTCTGTTTCTCGAATCTCAGGCTCTGTTGCTGCCATGCTCTTTGCACAACTTCTCTTACCAGGGACGTCTTTCTCTTTCAACTCTTTTTGCTGTGTTAGTACTAACCTCTCTCTGTTCCAGACATCTTGGTTCTCCAACAACTCGGTCCATGCCATTTGCAGTGGAGTCTCTTCGCAACAATGTCTCATTGCCGAAGAGTCTCATTCCATCTACGCACCTTCTGCACCATTCGGCAAACTCGTGGGAGGTGATTCTTTCCACAATCTGTCTCTGCTAAGGACTCATCCTCTCCATTACTCGGCGTACAAGACTTCTGTCTTCTCTTTCTTTCTCTTGGCCATCGCTCGTTCTGCATACAGACTTGATGGTTTCTCTAGATATGGCAGCGGAGGTAGCAAGCGGTAAGTGGAAGCAGTTGGAGAAGCGGCTGAAGCTCATGTGCTAACCTCCAAGCCCAGCACTTCGGATCTCAGGACTCGCAACTACTTTCTTCATCAGAGGACCACGCCCACTCATCTTGATGTCCTGAAGCATGACAACTGTCTTGTGTTTGTCACCCATACTCTCCGGTCGGAAAGTTCGCAGACGCAAGGTGTGCTCCAAGAGCCGACAGCTCACTAGTTGGTAACTGCAGAGGCCAACCACACCAACTGTCATTGTCACATTCAGTGCATCGCCGACCAACAGGTCCTCCTCGACACATCGTTTGACGGCCATTTGGCTGTGAATTCTGTGCCATCACAGCTGGGCTGAACTGATGGTGTACGCCCTCATGCCCATTGCAAAGGTATGACACCTTGCCTTCCCATGTGTAAAGCAGCCTTCCCAGAAATGTACTAATCGTTGCTAGAATTTGGCCTTGGCTGCGAGTATGTCCGCGAGAGAAAGAAGCGAGGCAAGGCTTCACGCAAGAATCTTTGCTGCTCGGTAGACAGTTGCCGCTGCGGCACAGCATCTTGGCCAGGCCTGGGATAGCCAAGAAGATTGCAAGCCTTCACGCCAGCAGAACGAGTCTTCACGTGGCAGTACTTCATTCCCCCGAGCAGCCCATGACCAGCCTCATGGTCACATAGAGGGCTCTCTATCCGCTCCTTCAGCGACATTGACGGCTATCTGAGAGATTCATTGTTGAATGTTTTCCTCAACCAGAAGCTGTCGAAACATCTGCAGCACCTGGAGCCAATCCTTCTCCCGAAGCTGCGAATTTATTTTGCCGAATTCCCGCACTGCAGGGCCAGTAAATCATTCCCTGATGACCATGAATCGGGAGCTGTCCTTGTTGGCAAAGATCAACAGCCTGCCAAGTGTTTTTCGTGGTCTGGTGGTGGCTCTACCACGAATAACACCAGACGGAGTTCCAGTTGACCTTCTCGACCTTTACCATGCCTTTTGTGCACGGTAAAGTCCTGCGTGGCCTTCAACTGGCCAAAAATGACGACGTGTGGGACTTTGAGGAATCTTTGGCTCCGTTTCCGAGTCCAACTTCGGAGAAGAACCAACTTCCGGACACACTACCTCTAGTGTCAGCAGAGCAAGACGATCAATCGTGCACCCCGGTAAAAGCAGTTGACTTTTCCGAAACTGCGTCCACTATTCATCGCAGTTCCTCTTTCGTAGGGGCCAATGAACCCAAGGCTTTCATTTTATTCCTTATTATCCTTTATTTGTATCATTATACATATCTTACCTTTATTCTTTCTGGCGTTGAATCCGCCTCTGACGCACTATCTCTTGTCAGCAGCATGGCCTGTCACACGGGTACAACCCGGCATGAGAAATTCCTTCTCGCGGATTTTCAGGGACGTCGAGGGCGCACCGGACCCAGCAGAGGTTCTGGGCTCTTCCAGCCATTAAAAGGGGGAGGGGGAGGTTAGAAAGCCAACTGAAGGGGCCCAATGGGAGCAAGACGCAAAAGATGTCGCCAAGGTTGACAAGAAGGCAATGGAACTTTCGATACAGATGCTCAATGGCTTGGTCATTTCTGGCTCTTGAAGAAGACAGACCCTTCCCACCTGGCCGGAGGACCCTCGAGGGGCCGGGCCAAGGTTCACGCCCGCCTGCAGGGTATAGGCGGCGGGAGCTCGCGCGACGCAACAGAAGATGCAGCACCCCCAGCCTCCAAAGCTTCATTTCTCGGGGGGAGCTCCGACGACACAGAGAAGCCTCCGAGCTTCCCCCCGCGGGCCTCGTCTCAGGAAGAGCAGCTTCGTCCAAATGACTTCTTTCGCGCATGCTTTGCCAATTTCAGCAACGATGCGGCAAGACGCAAGGCACATGATGTTGGGTCGTCATGTGGATCTGTGTGGTCACTCCTTGGTCAAGCCTACTTTCTGTTTGCTGCTGTTTGCAGCTAGCTTTTGCCTCCTACATAGATCAGCATAGCAATACACAGAGAGTTTTGCGCCCTTTCAGCTTGTCAGCTTGTCAGAACCATTGAGAGGTATGTCAACGCTACACAGCTCGTGTTTGTCTATATCGACAGCTAATCATCTCCATTCGCAAAGGCCTTTGGCCAAGAAGGCGTCGAATTGTACACCTCGGTCGTCACGTCGCAGAGGAAACCCAGAGCAAACCAAGGATCTATTGAGGCCTCAAGTCACCTTTTTCGAACGCAGACAAGTTGATTGCTAGGGCAGGTAGACAGTAACACTCGGAGACTGTTTGATTTACTTCATGCTTATCCAGCGCCTTTCAGTACTGAAGGGCTTTGTATTGTGCGACTCAAAGCAGAGAACTTGAACCTTCATTTCGAACGCTGTCAGAAGAAGCATTGAAAATTGTTGCTAGCCCTTGGATATTGTCCCACGAGCATTCTTTTGCTCGAGACAAAAGGTGGATGTTATTGTCATTGGGGAGAACATTTGTATCACTGGAGAGTCGGTCATCTTTACTTTGTGCGCTCCGTACACTCTGTGACTCTATTTCCTTTCTGTGCGGTAGAAGCAAGGTTTGGGCATTGTCTTTCATCGAACCAGCTGTCATGATTATTGACTTTTTCTGAGCAGGAGGTTTCTATATTCGATTGGGAAGTGTTTTCGATTACCGCCGCAGACCCATTGAGATCACCGTGAGCGACTTGGCTACACGGTCAAAGAGAATGGCACTTGAGCTTAGGGGCGTGCTAGATCCCGCTTCGATGCACTGCTAACATCGCAACCGCTCATACTCACATCATTGCCACCGTGGGCTTATAATGTGGAGAGATGGGGACAGTGTTGATCGATCTATCGCGATCTCACGGAGAGAAACATCCGAAAGGTATGTGAATGCAATGTCGAATATAATCACGCCAAGAGTAGCTTTTGGCACTCAGAGTATGATGGGAGACTAATGCAGTAATTAATCTCGTCATAGTTATGAAGCTGTGCGTCGTCCGTCTTACAAAGTGTCAAATTTACGGTGCGATAACGTCACGACCTCATCAGCCTTTTGAAATCAGGCTCTCCTCATTCGTCGCATCGAATCGACAAGGCATCATGCATTTTTTTCAAGATTCATGAGATGTTGGCTATATAACACCTGCCACTGAACAGTCTCGGTCTTGTATCTGTTCAAGTTACTTTCATCTCAAGACATGCCACACTTCAACTAAAAATGTTTAGTGTGCGCACCGCTTCTCTCCAGTTGCGCCAGTGTAGTAAATATTTCTCTCCTTTATTTGCCAGTCGAAGCATTCAACAGGCCGTCAGAATGTCTACCATCTCCGAGGCAATCATCAAAGATCACCGTGAGCTCAAAGAATACTATAATGAAGTGGTGAACAATCCGGGAAATCACGATCATCAAGGCCGTTATGGAAACCAATTCACTTGGGAACTAGCCCGCCATTCTGTTGGTGAAGAGCTAGTGGTCTATCCTGCAATGGAGAAATATCTGGGAGAGAGAGGCAAAGCCATGGCGGAGGAAGATCGAAAGGAGCACGCTGTGGTAAGTTTTAGTGCGACCACGCAAGTCTGTCGTGAGGATGACTTACTGACGGCGCCAAATGCAGGTCAAGGAATTGCTCAAAACCTTTCAGAACATGAAGGCTTCAGACCCAGACTATGTTAGCCAGCTACAGAAACTCTGGGGACCCCTATCGGAGCACATCAAGGAGGAGGAGGAGCGGGACTTGCCTACTCTAGAAGAGAAGCTCCAAGCTGTCGAAGGAGAATCGGCATCAATGGCCACGTCTTTTGGTTGGACAAAGGCCTTTGTGCCGACTCGCAGTCACCCGAGCGCTGGCGAACATCCGCCGTTTGAGACTGCCATGGGACTGCTTGCAGCGCCCATCGATCATGTAGCTGACCTGTTCCGCAAGTTTCCCAACAAGAAGGTGTCTCCGAATCCTTCTACTGAGTAAAGACAGTTTGTTTGTCAAGAATTCTAGTTGTATTGGGTCAGTGTTCGCATTTTCACGAGAATGATATGGAGATTTTTGCACTGTCACGGTTTGAATCATGTGTAACTGAATTTCTGGAGTGTATACACTGAACCTGAATGGCTTGAATCTTACGCTAATTCTATCTTCTTTTGGCAACCATTGCAACAAAGGCTGCCGTCTCTACCTATTGCTATGGCTCTCGTCTAGTTTGAGCACTTTGATCAGTCGTCGCAACATGCTGCTAACGCAAAGCTGAACGTTCCCCTCTACAACGCGCTGATACAGGGCCCTGTGCATGCGACTCCGTTGTTCCTGCGACATCGTCAACGCATTGTTGATCTCATCAGCGACTTGACCAACATCCCAAGGATTGATCCGGATTGCCTCTTCCAAGCTACTGGCTGTTCCGCTGAACTCTGATATGATGAGTGGCCCGTGGCTCTCTCTTTGGCACGCGATATATTCTAGACTGGTCGTGCTCATGCCTTCTCGCACAGATGTGTTGACGGCAATGTCTCCGAGTCGTAAAACGGCAAAATACTCGTCCTGCGATAATCTTTGGGTGTGTATTTGAACGGGGGTGAAGTCGAGAGAGCCGTAGGTCTGGTTGATCGAGGAGGCCAAGTCATTGACCTGGCGCGCATAGAGCATATTATCGCCGTCATCGTCTTCCATTGTGGCTGGACTTGTGATTTGCACGAGGACAACATGGTGCCTCCAGCTTGGATATCGGTCGAGGAAGCATTCGAAAGCCTCGAGCTTCTTGTGTACTCCTCCGAAGCGGCTCATCGGGTCGCAGCCAATGATGACCTTTTTTCCCTTGTATAGCCTACGCAACTCATCATGCGTTTTGTCGACTGCGGGTGAGAAACCTAGGGTTGTTATCTTGGAAATATTGATTCCTGATGGGAGCACAGTCAGATGAACTCGTGCTCTGGTGTTTTCAACCCATGCTTTGTTGGCATTGTAGCCAAGGATTCTGGTGCAAGAGTTGGCGAAGTGCTGCAAAAAGTGGAAGGCTTGAAAACAGACAAGGTCGGATCCAAGAATTCCGTTCAATATCTGTTCACGCCGGTGCAAGCATCGAATGAGCTCGCTAGATGGGAAAGGCGACTCGAGGAAGAAGACGATGTGCATGTCTGGATGACGCTGCCGAAGGAGTTCTGGTAGAAGCATCAAGTAGTGGTCGTGAACCACGATTATGTCGCCCGGCTTGTATACTTGGCAGATTCGATCTGCAAACGCCTTATTCATTTGCTGGTAGTCATTCCACCTGATATCCGCGTGACGACCATCTGTTGGCGGACGTTGCTTGTAGTGGAACAAAGCACAGAGATCATGTTCAGCATAGCGCCTCCACCTTGATTGCTGTATCAGCTTGATTCCACCATCCGTGATATGGCGGTCGTCAGCGAGCCAGACTGGCAAGGTTCGCATGTGGTCATTATACAGCTTCTCTTCAAGGGCTGCTTTGCTGTTGCGGGAAATGTACGTCTCTCCAGAAACGAGGTCGTCGTAACCTTGCGAGTGCCTACCGAGCGAAGTAGTCGTTGACGCCGGGATGGATTCTAGGAGCTGCTCGTGCGAGGAAGATGCATCGTCTGCGACAGGGTATATTTCCCCGGTCCACGCGATGACTGTATGCTCCCATGGACTCTCTTTCGAGGATAGATATGCGAGCGAGTCCAGGTGGGTGGAGCAATGGTGCTTGTGCTCTAATTCCTGCTCGACATTAGTTCTGTTTTCCATTGGCTTGTTGAGGTTTGGAAGACTTGCCCATTTCCCTCCTTTGCTATATCGCAGCAGCTGAGGCAGAGTAAACGTTGCAGAGAGGACAGTCCCGCTCAAGGAAACCTCGCCCTGCCGTGGTCCATTGAGAATTCCATCACCAAGTGGCTGAGCAAGCGCCCTGTTGGCCGGTCGTCGAGGGAAATAATCTTGTCTGCCAGATCCAGATTGGATCACCCTTGGGGTTGGGATCCCGTCGTTGGGCTCGCCGTATGTACCCTGAGAGATTCCTGGGGTAACCGGGATGCTGGTGATGGCCTCTTTTTCATGTGGCGGGAGGAATGATTCGGTCCGTTGGTGGACAGCTGGTCTCAGCGGAAGACGCTGTGTTGAGAAGGGCGTGCCAGACATTTTGTTGGGAGCAGCACACAAAACTCAAAGTCAAGAGTGTGATGGAGATGTAGAGGAAATCATGCAAATATTGGAGAATACCGAAATATGCGTGAGAATATTCGATGGCTGGGCAATTTATATCTCTTGTCTTGAAGTCGTCTAGAGGACAAGTGTTATATTGTGGCTCATCAAGAAGTCGAGATCGAGTTGGTGGAAGGAAAGTTTCGTTATATGAGGAATAGTTTTAAGCCTCAGCCAGGAACGACGCGCATACTCTGACGACACAATTTCAACGCCAAAAGCTAATTGGCACGTGTCGTTTAGCTGGTGACAGACTTGGAGGATAAAGGAATAGTTTTGGTTGCTGTTGCTGCTGTGATTCCCGGAGCACTTCCACCGAACAAGATGTCGTTGACGTCAACCCGAGTCATGTTTATGTATTACAGGGTAGATAATAGCTTGCCAAGGCCCGAGGAAGATAAAGATGGGAGGCACAATCGAGATAGTATTGAGATGCAGGAGCATTCGAAGAAAAGAATTGGCGACGAGACAATTTTCTTGCATGCTGCTGTTTGATGACGGAATTATGAACGAATGATGCAGCGTCCGAGCTGTGGCAGTAAGGCGATCTTTCCAGAATATCTCCGGCGTTGGTTACTCTGTTTCAGATCCAACACGCCACCAAAGAAAATTGCTTTACTTTCTGCTGGGGCCAATCTGACGAAGTGGCAATGTAGTTGTCACACGAGATCACGGAGGAGGGTAAGATAATTTGCAGAAGGCTGATTTCGAATCTCACCTTACACTACCTAGTATTCATCACGACGAAGCCGTGATGGAGGGCTTCTAGACGCAAGCAATTCAGCATTCGATGCTCACCAGATGGGGGCTTTACTTTGTGTAAACGCATTGTTCGTATCGCATCCTAGAAACATACAACTCTCCTGAAAAGATTCTACAACATTCTCTATTATTTCGAACTCCTCTACTCTAACCGCTCCGACACCATTGATAATTCCATCGCTCTTCACCAGGCTGTATGCCCGCCGTCGATAACCAGGTTGCTTCCAGTCATAAACGTGCTGGCATTGCTCATGAGGAACAGTCCAGCGCCCTTAAACTCGCTCGTTTCCGCCAGCCGACCCATCATGTTCTCCCGACTCCATGTCTCTCTCAAGCCCGGCACCTGTTCAAAGTTCCTAAGAACCATTGGCGTGACGATGTGTCCCGGGCTCAGGCAGTTGACGCGGATACCGCCCTCGCCGTTTTCTTTGACGGAGCTCCATTCCATGGCAAGGTTCCGTGCCAGCTGTATCAGCGCTGCCTTTGAGGAGTTGTATGCCGAGGACAACAGGCCCTTGTTTGCCACAGAGCCAGACATGCTGGCCACAAAGCAGATGCTCCCGCGGCTTTTGTACTTGAGCATCATCCTGGCCGCTGCCTGAGCTGTCATAAAAGCTGCTGTGTAGTTGGTTTGCATCATTTTGTCCACGTCTTCTACCGTGTAGTCTATGGCGGGTGTAAGCTGCTGTATACCAGCGGCTGCGATGACGCCTTGTAGGCCCCCATTCTCAGAAGCAATCTCTTCCATGAGATTGTTGAGTTCGGACGTGTTGGTGACGTCCAGTTGCCTATACTCTAAAGTGCCACCCCATTCAGGAACGACGCGCTGCTGAGCTCTTTGCCATTCTTGATCGGGCTCTGGTAGTCGATCAAGGCAGTAAACTGTGCAACAGTCAGACACATTGAACGATTCTACACGAAAGCAAGTATATATAGATACCTTTGCCGCCTGCCTCAACAAGCGCCTCTGCCAGGGCCAAGCCCAAGCCTCGAGCACCTCCTGTAACGACAAATGCATTGCCGGCAAGGTCAAAGTCGGAAAACCTCTTGGTACCAACATCGGCCTCCTTTGGTAGTCCAGTAACGTTGGTACCGCTCTCGCCGGCTGTAGTATAACGGCGCCTGTTATTCTGACAGACTATCCATGGTTTGTATGCTGAAAGAGTTGCTCTGCTAGTAGCTGTTTGCCATCTTCTTAGCCCTGCAATTGGCAATCTGCAGCGACTAAGAGAATTGAGACAAGGAGAAATTAGTTTTGTAGACATTGATGCTTTCCTTGAACGCCAAATCTCGCAGCGATTCGTAGTAGCTCGCAAGATGCATATCGGACGCCGCAATGGCAATCGCCGACTTCAAATATCCTTCATGCCAATCGCTATCACCATTTTCACTTATGCATATGCGACGTCATGATCTGCGGCATTCGTGTTTGATCTTTGCCAAGAGCGGTAACGCTAGATACACAATCATAAGCAGCTGCAGAGAAAATACAGAGAAATGTCCGTATTATCAAATAACATAAATCGGAGCATTGGCTCCGCTCTGAAAGGGAAATGCGAGCTCATGTTTGGTGGAGAATACCGTTGGAGTCTAAAGTTTGAGATAGGCAGCACAATTCTTTTCAGCTTACCGGGACCGTGGTTCCATCCTCGGCCCACAGCGTTTGCAGATCATTGCTTGCTGGCAACAACGTACGTGTAATCAACTGGGCAGCGATGTGATATCAAGAGTATTCTCTCGTGTAGCGCGTGGACTGATTCTTGCGAGTCAGGACGACTTCAATGGCTGTAGCCCCCTTTCCGTAGATGCATTCTCGGAGAATAAGGTGCCTTGGTATGAATCCGCATACAAGCGTTTACCCGTACGTCCCACGTCTGCAATGGAGGTCATCACACCAAAATCGTGCAAGTCGAGCAATCTCCGAGTTATATCTGCGGTAGAAAGGATCCGTTGCGTGTCTTTGATAGGGTTGTCCTTGCCATCCTGCCGCAGTTTCTTGGAGGCGTTGCTCTCCATAGCTGCAAAAAGAATAACGTGATAGAAGAGACATATCGAGCAGAGGAAACGTCGAAGATGCAATTCATCGTCACGGATTCGAGCTCGGTCAATCCAAGAAGCAGATATTCCCCACCATCTACATTGGCTTGGAATGCGTCAAAGACTTGTCTTGGGCGCAGTTGGCGCTTTGGCCTTTTGATGGAGTGTGCTGGAATACACCATGACTGCTATATCTGAACTGAATTCTGACAGCGGTCTGTATTGCTCAGTTGACATGAGGGCCTTCGAATCGATCGATCATCTCGTAGGTAGAATTCGGCATACTCGTGCTTGTGGAACGTTCTCGTGCTTGGAGGCATGTCGAAAGCGGTGGAATTTCTTCTGCGAATCCGCGAGAGAGATTCGGGACGAACAGCAGAGTGTTGCGGTTGGAGTTGTTTGCTCGGGCTGGGACCTATTCAAAGGAAATCGCTAGCAGAGATCGAATCAGCAGAGATCAAATCAGCAAGGGCTTGCGATGGACCGGCGCTTGTATGCGTTGGAGCAGCTTGCCAGGAGCCAGCCAGCCAGCTTCTCTGTCTCTGCCTCTGATGGCTTGGGTGCCATTGGAATTGGAGCGAGGAGAAGGTGTACGGTCTGCCGTCACGAGCTCATGCTGCTGCTGCTGCTGCTGCTGGGCAATGAGGGCGGCTGCTTGCACAGGTTCGTACTCGAGACATGGAGGGCTAGTCGACAGCATCTCCTCAAGGTGTGATTGAAGCAGGCCAGGAAGTACCTTCTACTACTGTGTACGATCACGACGTACCGGAGACACGGAGGACCAGTCGACAGCATCTCCTCAAGGTGTGATTGAAGCAGGCCAGGAAGTACCTTCTACTACTGTGTACGATCACGACGTACCGGAGACACGGAGGACCATTCGACAGCATCTCCTCAAGGTGGGATTGAAGGAGGCCGAGAAGTATCTACTACGGGGTACCTCCTTGTATGGTCTTGACGTACCGGGGACATGGGGGGCCAGTCGACAGCGTCTCCTCAAGGTGTGATCGAAGAAGGCCAGGAAGTATCTACTACCCCCATGTATGATCTCGATGAGGACCTTGACAAGCAGGAAACCATGACGAACGCCCACGGGTGGAACCACTCCCCCCCCTGAGCTACATGGTGCGGGCGTGTCGCCTCCTTTCTTTGTTTAGCTTGACAGCGTACCAAAGTTGGTTCCCATCTGTTCATCGAAGACAAATGGATCTCGAGGTTTGTCTGGTGTGTCATTGTTCATCATTTTGATCGCACATGGGCCAGATGCTTTTCCAGTCGGAGGTCGAGCGCTTCGTAGACGCAACATGATGGATCTTTGATGCGTCATACTCTACTGCTGGGATACATCGTGTGTCAAGAGAGTCTGTGCTTGGCCTCGAGAAAGAACATGCCACTACAATGTTTTGAATCTACAGCTGCAAACATCTGGCGTCCACTGACTACGTTTCTGTGTGCTGTGATACCCCACTGCAACTTCAAGTAGCTGTCACAGCTTGTAAAGAGCGCAGCTTGATTTCGCATGGTGGATGCTTGCGGCTATATAGTAGTCACATACATCACCAGCATCATGTCTGGGTTGGCATTGTGCCGTGCCGTAGTGGCATCCCCCCCTGAGGAAATGCTGAGGCGGTAGGCTCAGAGATTCCAGGCATCAACTGCCTTCACCCCCATTAGCCTGCCGAATACGACGACGAAGGAGCTGGTTTGTGAGAGTAACTACCTGTAACTGGCGAGTCTTGCCGAGCTCCTGCACTCAATGGAGTTTCCATTGGCGTTGCAGTGCCCCTTCACCGCCTCCCCCAACTGTCATTCCACCCCTCCCTCAAAACTCTCCTCTCTCCCCTCCCCTCTCCCATTTCCATTTCTTCCTCCACAAACTCATTGCTCTGCCACGAGCAATGAGTTTGCTTCTTCTTCTTCTTTTTCTGCCCTTCTTCTTTTGATATCCTTCTTCCCACCTCCCCCGACGTCGTCAAACCCCCCCAAAAAGCGGGGGAGGTGGGAGAACAACATCAGCATCAACATACCGCATCCTTTCCCCCTCCCCCGACGAACGTCGTTTGCCCCCATCTGGCGGGGGAGGGGGAGAGCAACAATAAACCGTCCTTTCTCTCTCTCCCTCTACCCACAAAACGGGGGAAGAAAACAACAACATCGGTGACAACAACATCGGTGACAACAACATCGGTGAACAACAACATCGGTGACAACAACAGACCGCCTCCTTTCTTCCTCATCCGACGTCGTCTTCCCCAACAAGCCGAGGTGAGAGAACGACAACATCGGTGACAACAAATCGTCCATTTCTTCATGTCCCCGTCCCTCGATGGCATGCTCAGGTGCGTATATTCTCTGCTTTCTCTCTCTCTCTCTTATTCATGGTGCTAATATATGCCACGAAGGGCCTTAACCCATGACCACAGCTTTTCTCTTCCGGCTATTGGCGGGCTAGACCGTTACTCGCCACACATACACAGCCCTTGGCTCACTGCAGCTGAAGACGTTACCAACAACAGGAGGAGACAACATGCTCACCACCGGGCCATTCCATCTCGGTTGACTCCAGAGGAGTGCAATTATCAATGCCGGGACCCGGCAATGCAAACTGGCTGTGCATGTTTGTGCTTCATTCCTGCTCCAGAAGTAAGTTCTACCCACACCAGATCATTGCACCTGGCCTAACAACTTTACTAGACTGCCACTTCAGTGAACCATTTGGACTGGAAGACAGCTCGACTACCTCGATTCACAATGATGAGCCAAGCGGCAAACGTCTATAGAGACAACGGATGGGTTTCCACACTTCTGAGGAAAGATACCTTGGGGCAGCGACATTGTAAGTATTCATGCGTCAATATCTTGGCATTTGTTCCTGAAGCTGATGGTGTAGCAAGACGAAGAGATCTCTACAAGTATTTCTTTTCCCTTCGCCCGCTGCCTGCTTAGCACGGCCGCTCAACCCCCCTAGATAGCCGCGACAATTTGTATTCGGCCGACTGTCTTTGCCGTCATCAGCATTTGGGCAATTTACACAACCAACCTCGGCTTTCTTCACGTTTGGGACAAAGCTTTGCCTGTTTGGTGCGTCGGTTTTTTGATTGTCCCTCAGCCAAACACAACGGTCTAATCCGTTCGGATGTTCAGAGACGCATGGAAGTTCAGGAGTCCTAGCTTTGATCAACCTGAATCCTTTCAACCTTCCAATGGGGACTGGCCCAAGTCCTTTGGATGCCGCATTCACTCCAGTTGGAAGTGTGAGTGGAAAGAGTAGAGGTAGATTGCGAGACATTCTAGTTGGAAGTGGTGAGTGATCAAGAGTAGTGTCAGATTGGGAGTTGGTTCGAAGGAAGATTTGGGGATGTATCACTGCTGAGACGATGGGGATAATAGGAATCGAAGGTCAGACTAGAGTGGCGGATACAATGCGAAAACCACAGCTTTGCACTTTGACCTTGAGATGCCACCGTAGTTGCGTGGCAGCTGCGTAGCTCTATCCATCGGCAGATAATCGTGTGTCGCAATGTGTTGCCATTGCCGTTCGACAGTCATGCCTATCTACATATCCAAACCATCCCTGGTTGTCCTTGATGGCTAAATAATCCTCGTCGGGCACCCAGCTGATAAGGTGTGTGACTCTTGCCTCCAGCTGCGCGCTGAGGAGCCAGAAGCTTGACTAACTGATAACAATCAAGAAACTGGACTCGTTTCAAACCTCGGCCTCTACACTCCATCAAACCAGCCCGACAGGAAACCGGAAAAGCCGAGAGAATCTTGCCGCAGGAGATGAAGCCATCATGGAATCCCAAACAAGAATCACTTCAATTACAGCCAGCCTTCGGTCTCCACTTCCGCCTGGCGAACGCCAGCTACTAGCAGCTGGTTTGCGGATAGCAAGCCCGCTAGCAAATCGCATATCGGCCGATCGAACGTTGCTCTGGGATGCGAGAGGCTACTCCGTTAGCAGCTAGGGGTGTCAGACGCTTGACTCCGGCATCAAGAGATGGCATATTTGCCGGAATGAGCCTGAAAGAGACAGACGTCAAACTCCGGATAGCTCGCTTCCAAACCAAGCAGCGGCGGGTCGATGAATGCGGCGATACGGTCGGCAACGAGGTCCGAGGAAGTCGAGGAGAGCGAAACAATCACCACGACATCGTTCCATCACATCACTTTGATTGTGCATATGCGCCCGGGCTGGCACCAACAATCACACAGTCTCCTACCCAAACACTTCCAGGCATCGTGCTACTGCTACTGTAGTATTTCCCGCAGCGAAATATCGATCCACGGATGCAGACAATTCGTCAAGTCTGTCCATCTCGCGGCCTGCCATTGGCCCATCTCCCCCCGTCAAGGCCCTGCATCACAATCTACAGCTGCTGCATCTCGCAACTCTGCACCAACTCCATCCAGATGGCGATTGGACGGGGGCGTCTCCGCAGGCACCGCAGGCGAGACCAGGGTCAGGCGCTTAATTCCTCGGTGGGCCAACCAAGAACGATTCTCACATCAGCATTGTGACGCCTCCGAGACGCCACAGGCCGCTCATTGGCCTGCCGGCAACGCTGGATTCGAAGCCCGCCTTTAGCTTTGCCGTGGAAGAAGGAGGAGAGATTGAGAGAGTTGTCGCATTCCAGTACGAGCAGCTGTGCGCCGTGGGTTACGATCTGGGAGTACTGCCGCACTACCTATGCCGTGCTGTGCTGTGCTACCAAGGCTGTTTAGTCTAAGCTCCTCATTACGAATACGTATTACATCGGTTCGTGAACATTGACTTTTGATGGTTCTCAATAAGCATGGCTTTGCCCGGACTACTAATAGTCCAACGACGTGAGAGAAGCATCAAGAATTTCAAATCTTTGCCCTTTTGCTCAAGCTAGCACCTCTTGCTAACGAAGCGCTACTCCTCTCAAGCATCGTCCTCGCTACCCGTCCGTCCCCCAAAGGTCGCTGCTCGTATAAAACCAGACAATCACCCGCCTTTGTGGAACGGCCAATGGGAGCCGTGAATCGGAGTCTTCGCAACGCAAGGGTCGGCATCTTGTGAGGGCCAGGGCCAGGTTTCCCTGATTGGGCCAGCCCGCGCCAAAAGCTGTGCGCGAATCACAGCGGGGAACAAGAGACAGAAACGACAGCTTTCCATCCACTCACAATTCTTCGCCTTCTAGCTTAGCCTGACCCGTCTCGGGTGGCGTCTGTCCTCGCCCTTGTCCTTGTCAAGGGAAGGGGGGGGACAATAGCTTGGGCGGCTGCAATGGCGCTTTTTCGTCGCTCCTCGGTGCGGTTGGTTGCTTTTGGCCCCCAGAGACCGTTCTTAAGAACGTCCCGGTTGCGCACGCCTCTTTTCTTTCCATCTTCTCTTCTACCCGCCCCGTCCTTGGCTTCCGCCAACAACAAAGAGAGAAATTCTTTGAGACTCTGTCTATCTGGACAAGAGCTCCGAGATTTGCGGCTTTTTGAGGCTGCCGAATATTCAAAGAGAGAGAAAAGGCTGGGCTTTTGGAGTCGACCCACACAAAAAGAAAGCGAGGAGAACCCTGCGACCAGGAAAATCAACCAGGACGGACGACATCGGAAGCGACATCGTGGCCGATCTACGATTTGATCGAATACATCTACATATACAACAACTACCGAGTTTACCTTACCCCCTCGATATATACGACAGAAAGCTTCGGAATAGAGGAACAAAGAGAATTTGAAATCGATTTCAAGGCGCAGCGGTTCGGCCATTTGCCAAGCCAGTAGAGCATCATATACACGGGGGCAAAGTTACACACACACACGCACACGTACAGATACGACTCAACATGAGGCTATCACTATTTCTCACGTTCGCCCTGACGGCCCTCATCGAGGCCCATACCATCATGGTATACCCGGGATGGCGCGGCAACAACCTCATCACCAACAAAACGTTTCCCTACGGCATGCAGTGGATGTATCCATGTCAGTAACACCAACATCGCTCCACATCCACTAAAGAAAGAAGGAAGGAAAAAAAGAAAACAAAACTAACCATGAATCAGGCGGCGGCATAGGAACAACCAGAAACCGAACATACTGGCCAACCACCGGCGGCGCTGTCTCCTTCCAGCCCGGCTGGTTCCGCGGCCATCTCCAGGCTCAGCTCCAGGTCAACCTCGGATACGGCACCGATGGCCCCGACGGCGGCCCGCCAAACATGTCCAACATCATGGTCAAGCCCTTCATGCTCCAAGGACCGACCAACAATCCCTATCCCGGAACCGTCTGCCTCCCCCAGGTGCCTCTACCTGCTGGCGCAAACGTTTCTGCCGGCGATAGGGCGACGATCCAAGTCGTTGAGCTGGCTCAACACGGTGCTGCTCTCTACTCTGTAAGTCCTGGTGGGAAAAAAAAAAGGAACAAGGAAAACCTTACACGGTCAATTTCAAAAAGCTAACTAAAAACCTTTCTTTCCAGTGCGTCGACATCATCTTCGCCGAGCCAGGCGACCCCCGCATCCCCATCGTCAACGAGACAAACTGCTTCAACTCGACGCAGTTCGGCTTCGGCCAAATCTACACAATCACCACCCAAGACCCCATCCTCGACGTGGTCTCCTCGACGACGTCCTCTGCCGAGTCTCTGCGCAGATACAGCTGGGCGGGCTGGCTTCCGCTCGTTGCTGGGGCGATGTGGATGCTTCTGTGATGAAGAGGCGATGCGAACGGCTCTCTGATGGAAAAGAGAATGGAGGCTAGAGATGTGACGGATGATGTTTCTGTCCTTTTCCTCTCTTTTTCTGCTTTTCCTCTTTCCTTTTCTTTTTTTGGTCCGCATAATTACAACATATACCCCTGGATCTTCACCCCGTTGACGAGAGCTGGTACATTCTTCCTTTTTCTTTTTCTTTTGCTTTCTTCCCTCTATTCTGGCGTGGGAACAGGACATGGCGTTGTTGGGCGTTTTACGAAAATCGGGGGCGAGGCCATGTTTACTTTCCCCCTTGTATATCTCAGTACCGTTGCTTTGACAGCTGAAGCTCAAAGATGGTGGTTCTTTCTAAACGAAACGTGTATATATAGTAGATATATATATCTATACCGCATATATATAGAGCAATGTGATATGATCTCACACTTGCCCAACCCCCTGTATATTATGCTTATGCGCCGAATGTCATCTTATCGTGCTTCATTTCTATTCATGATTTTCTTTATCCCTGATCCCTCAGCCGACCGCTGTCTCTTCTCCAAGCCTATCGCGGGATTACCTTTAAGCACTCATTCGCGACTCCCTTGATCCGCTCTTCCGAACTCTTGCTCGCGGCCCCTTCTACCCATGCCACCACTCCTAAGCTCCTGGCTTCATCCTTGGAGGTTGAGAGGATAGTGCCGAGGGCGACCAGCGCACGATAGAGAACCTCTGAATCGGTCTGGTCCTTAAGGATAGTGCCCAGCACAGTGACCAGCCGCCGTCGTTGTTCGGGAATCAGCAGCTTCTCCTTGTTGACAAGAACAGAGTAGTTGACTGCCACTGTTGTCAAAGCGACCAGCACATTGCGGTTGAACTTGCCAATCGGCTCTCCGCCCTTGATGCCGGCGACACGTTCCAAAAACGAAATGGCTTTGTCTGCTTGAGAGCTGGCAAGGCTTCGTCCGTCGGCAGAGCCAAAGAGGTTGGCAATCGTTCGTGCGCCCATCATGGCAGCATTCTCATTGGGGGGAAAGTCGTCGGGGATCGACGAAGCAACGGCAATGTCCAAGAGGGTCAGGTCCTGGGGACCCTTGAATTGCGCAGCTATGGGAAATCTAGCCACACAGCGAAGCAAATCAAGGCCGGCCAATCGATCAGCATAGGGCCACTCTGTGACAATCTTGAGGATCACGTTGAGGGTTGGGGTTGTAATGGCCTTTGAAGAGTCTAGAGCTGCCTTTGATGACTGTAGGGTGGCCTCTTCTCCGGGATTAAGAGCAACATCTTTTCGCCCAGACGACATCATGGTCTTGTTAACATTGGAGATTTTGTTCAGGATGGCTATTAAGCGGCTACTGTTAGAAAATGATACTGTAAAACCAGCATGAAAAGGGTGCTTGGTTTACTCACCTTCGTACTTTGCGGCAGAAATATTAAGGTATTCCCTCTGCGGCAACACCTTTGGCGTCTGAGACTGAGATTCTTCTTCCCCGGGTCGATATCGTGACTCGGTGCCGTATGGGTCGGGACCTGTGGATCGTTCAGACTTTCCGAGGGTGGCACCCTTTGTGTTTTCAGTAATGAAGTTGGCCACGTTATCCAGGTAGGATAGGGGCAGTTCGTTGTCATTGAGGAACTTGGTCGCCCTCTCGTAAGGATTCTCGGACAGGTTGTAGGGGAGCTTGAGCGCAGGCTTCCCGTCCTCAATATCGACGTCAAAGACGAAATCGTAAGACTGTCCGTTGTACTCAACCTTCTTGCCGGTGCTGCCGACGGCATCCACTACCGTACCGACGTTGATCCATTGCTGCTGGGCCATGGACCATGTGTGCGCAGTGATATTGCCGTTGCTCTCCTTGATCATCTGAACTTGGCCCTCCTTGGTGCCTGCCTTGGACGTCAGAAATTCCGGGCCAGGCAGCTTTTCCTTGTTGATGCCCCCGAGCTGTTGCTGAGGGATAGCCGAGGCTTTGACTGAGTCCTGAAACTCTTTGAGCGTGGCTTCGTCTGCTACGGCCTCTGATCGCCGAGTGAAGATGCGCGCAACGCCATCGCTGGCCCCTGAAATGATGTCTCCCGTCTCTGGGTTGACAGCAACTGTCCACACAGATATGGCTGGGTGTGTGATGGTCTGGACACATTCGGATCCCTTCCATACTCTGACGGTGCGATCCTCTCCAGAGCTGACGAGTTCACCAGATGGCAAGCTCGCCAGGCTGTACACGAAGCTTTCGTGCCCGTGGAGCTCACCGACCTGCTGACCGTTGAGCTTCCACAACCGCAGAGTGCCATCGTTGCTTGCACTGGCAATATCGGCACCGCTGGGGTGGCCCTTGGGAACCTTGCACAGCGCTCGAACAACATCGGGAGTGTAAATGGTGGCTGCCGGAACGACGTCGCCGCCCCTTGACTGCTTCAGATCAAACACTCGAATGCTCTTGTCAGCGCATCCCGTCACCACTGTTGCCTCATCAAAAGCAACGACGCTCCAGACGGCCATGCCCTCGTGGCCGCTCAGCATGTGCTCAGTCTCCCACTTGCTCAGGTTCCAAACTCGAGCCTGACCGTCCCATCCTCCAGAGACAAGGCAGGTCCCTTTGGGAGAGACATCGAGAGTACACACGTTGTGCGCATGTCCAATGAGAAGGCGCTCGGCATTATCGGCTGCTGATAAGCTGGGCGACTTGACCTCGATGATGGTATCTTTGCCTCCCGAGACGACGAGACCGTTCTGATGCTCTTGGTTCGGCGGGAAGAAGGCCACAGTGTTGACGTACTCGGAGCCGCGGCTGACAAGCGAGCCCTCAAAGGCCGGGGGCGTGGTCTGTGTTCGTCGCCATATCCGGACGGTACAGTCTCTTGATGCCGAGAGAGCGAAGTCGGGACAAGGGAAGCTGACGGCACGGACCTGCAGTAGTAGAAGAGGGGAATCAGTAAAGGAAAGGCTCGCACATGACATGGAGATGTAAACAGAGGGTACACAGGGGGTAAACGGAGGGTGAACGAAGCTGAGGGATCTCGTACGTCGGCTTCGTGGCCAAGAAGCTGCGCTGAGAGCTTGAATTCGGCCATGGCAATGTCAAGCTCCGGATCGCGATGCCTCGGTCTCGCTGGTGGGGGTTGCGCCTCAATCTGGCGAAGAGGGGAGCGATGATGCGACTGACGGCAGAGAAGGAGAGACGAGGCAAAGGGAGCGGTTGAATTGCTGTTGCAAAGCGGGTGAAAAGACGACGGTATGAGCAAGATGGGTCTGCTTGAGATGAGCCAAGAAAGCCGGAGCTGAATTGCTTTGTCAGGCGTTTTGGGCGGTTGTTGGAAGTGGATGACGATGGAAGCTTGAAGACAGCTGGAGAGGCAGCTGCAGTACGTACTCGGGCTGGTGACTGCACTGCGATCCCCACCGAGTCTCAGCACCAGCATCAGCACAGGCGCGCAATGGCCCCCTTCACAACGGATACAGGCAGTTTAGCGGGCAGTTTAGCGGGCAGCTCCAGTGGGCTTTAGGGCGCTTTGGAACATGTACATGTAAGCAGGGTGTGGCTTGTGGCGCTAGAACGAGGAAACGAGACGGTTTGTCCAGGCACGGGGGCGGGTAATATTGAAGGAGGTTTTGCCTGCTTGTGTTGGCATAATCTTTGTATATTGAATGCCTGATGCCACGTATCAATCATAAAGATTCATTCAAAAAATCAGATCTTGCAATAGGTCATAGGTACTATGTAGGTAGGTAGCATAACCAATCCTCTCCAAGTCTGACGTATTGAATCATGAGCAAAGGTAAACAAAGGCGCCACACTTCAGCGACCCCTCCATTTGTGGCGGTGCTCCCAATTCACATCTTCACCAGCTGGGAGCCCAAAATCCTAGCATCGATAGCGATAGCCACAGAGGCTCGCAATAGCGCCTGCTCGCCTGCTAAACCCAGAAGCTCGATGCGCTGCCCCGCTTCCCCAGCAGCGGACAGAAATCATCATCCAGATCGTCCTGCTGAATCTTTGTGGCCCCGGAATCTCATCAGGGGGCTGTGGTGATCGCCTCCAGCTCCAGCTCCAGCTCTCTCTCTCTCTCTCTCTCTCTCTCTCTCTCTCTCTCTCTCTCTCTCCCCTCCCCTGCGCTCTGCTCCTTCAACCTCCAACGGCGCCATTCACACGCTGACGCCCGCTGCAATTCCCGTGTGCTGGCCCTGTCTGTCTCGCCCGCTGTTGGACAGCTGCTTCCAACTCCTTGCATGACACGCCCTCGATTCGACTCGACTTGATTGCCAGCTGCCAACCGTCTTCTCTCCTTGTCGGCCGATTGATACCTCCTCGTGCGCTCGGCGAACTTTTTTTTCTGCCTTCTTCTCTCTCTCTTGCTTTTCGACCAGGGCTTCTCTCCCTCATCGCTGGGATCGTCGATTTTGTCTAGAGCCTCGCTGACCCCCTAATCCAAACCCATCTTCAAACTTGAAACACCTCATACGGTCCTTTTTATTTTCCGATTGACCTTTGGCTCTCGGTCCTGGCGCTTCTGCTCGCGACGCAAAGACTCCGACACTCTAATTACCTCCGCTCTCCTTCAATTCACGCGATCATTCATCGTCATCATCGTCGTCATGGCAGCCGAGGTGCCCCGACAATACGTTCCGCTGACCTGCCACGGTCACTCGCGACCAGTTCCTCACATCAGCTTCTCTCTTCTCGAGAAGGAAGAAACCTACTACATGATATCAGCTTGCAAGGGTACGCATTGGCCCATCTCAGGCGGAAGCATGTTACTTGGCCTGGGCTAACTTTGTATTCCTATTCTGCAGACGGCAATCCCATGCTTCGCGATGGTGTAACGGGCGACTGGTAGATATACCCTTTTGTGCGCCATGCTGTCATGGACGAACCCATGCTGATTTCTTGCGTCAGGATCGGCACCTTCATCGGACACAAGGGCGCTGTCTGGCAGGCCAGGCTGAGCCCTGATGCGTCCAACGCCGCGACCGCGTCTGCCGACTTTACTGCGTACGTGACATTTTCTTTTCTGCGGGCGTCGAGTAGTGGGAATTGCACGTGTTCAAACATTGATGATATATTGTAGCAAGATCTGGGACACCCACACCGGCGAACTCCTGTACACCCTGCAGCACGACCACATCGTCCGCGCCGTTGCGTATCCGCCCGACAATTCAGACCTCGTAGCCACTGGCGGCATGGAGAAGAAACTTCGCGTCTTTGACTTGTCCGACGTCCCGGGCGCCAACAGCGGCAACCCAATCACGATCCCTGCCTCGGCCGGATTCGAAATTGGCGAGGGTGTGCACACGGGCTCCATCAAGTTCATCTGCTGGACCCAAGATCCAAACGTCATCGTCACGGCTTCGGACAAGACCATCCGCTGGCTCGATCTTCCCAGCCGAGCTTGCATTCACCAGGAAGTGCTGGACGGTGAGATCCGCTCTTGCGAGATGGTATCTCTGTCGCCAGAGTACACCTCTGTTACGGATATCGGCGGCGGAAAGCCCGTTCTTGCTGTTTCCGCTGGCAAGACTGCCTACTTCTGGGGAGGCCACCAGGCGATGGAAGAACTGAAGCGCATCGTTCTCCCCTACACCATTGCCAGCGTGGCCCTCGATGTCAAGGGGCGCAAGCTGGTTGTCGGAGAAGAGCCGGGAACATGGGCCAAGGTCATTAGCTACGACGACGAGGTGGAGCTGGATGTTCACAAGGGCCACCACGGACCCATCTGGTCCATCGCCTTTTCGCCCGACGGCAAGCTTTACGCAACAGGCTCAGAAGACGGAACCATCAAGATGTGGAAGAACTGCGACGGGTTCTATGGCTTGTGGAGAGGCGGCACGGAGCGATCTGCGGAGTAGAGAGACGCAGACCGCAGCTTCGCCTCCTCATCAGACGCGGCGCGGACCTCGAGCCAATGCTTCACGCCAGGCAGCGGACAATCCGAGGACTTGATCTGCTGTGACGTGATAGTGCCTCCAGCTGAGAGCTCCCTTGCCAAACTCAATTTCCTTGACGAGAGCTACGGTGGCAGCGGCAACATGCGACGGCGTGCTTTTCGGTCGTCCAAGGGCTGAAGGCTGCTCCGGGATGCCATCAGGGGGATTGACTGACGCGGCAAAGGATGGGAACAAGCCGTGCCGCCGACATCATCCTCACCCACGGGCGAGATGACTAGATGCATGTTTTTTTTTTATATTTATATGAAAAGCATGTGCCTAATTTTTACACATAGTTAGACATAGAGCTCGGTTTTGAGCCGCCTAGTTAACCTTGTATGATGGTAACAAATCAGTGGAATAAAAAAGAGACTAGCTAGAGTCGACTATGCAACCATCACTTTTCCATGATGCCAATTTTCGGCTGAATTTCTACTTTAGTTTCCATATTTAATATTCCTAATATTCTCCCATGATAATCGCGATTAATCTATATTCTTTTTTATCAGATTTAAAAGGAATATGTTAGGTAGTTATCAAAAGTGATATAGGCTTACCCTCCGCTGTCACCCTGCAGGTCTAAAGTGGTCAAAAGTCTGCGACCGCTCTCCTCTGAGCTCCACCCAAGCACATATAATTCAAAAGAATCAACATTGAATCCACGTGCATAAATAGAAATAGAGAGCTACTATCCACTTAGAAAAATAATTATTATTTCGAGTTTAAGAATATCAAGGCTTGGAAATAATCCCCATACAAATTCTGCGTGGGTTTCGGTTTTTGAACGGTTCCTAAGGTACTAGGTAGGTAGGTACCTAGGTACTCAAGTACCTCGCCCTCCGTAAATCGCCCAGCGGCCGGAAAAACATTGTTGCTCCGCTGTCCGCAATCTGCCCCTCCCCCTCCATCTGCCAGCCAAAAGATTGAGTCACCCTTGAGAGGCCGATTTCGACCAAAAGGCAGCGCCAACGATCGTCACCAAGTCGCAAGGACGACACAAAAGCACAGCATCATGGCTCCCGTATCCGCTGACCCGGCCGGCGATCTCGCCCTCCAGGTGCTCCAGGCATTGGCCAACGCCGACCAGATTCTCTCGACCGAGGCCTTCCCCAGCGTGCCCTTTGAGACGATCAAGGCTGCTCTGGACCGTCTTTCCTCACGGTCCATGGTTGTATACGAGCAGATTGAGAGACAGGAAGCGATTCTGGAGGCTGAGGCTGAGGAGATTGTCCAGCATGGAAGCCACGAGGCTCGCGTCTTTGAGGCGGTGCACAAGGCCCTTGGCGGTCTCTCCATCCAGGACCTGGAGACGGCAATCGGCGACAAGAATGTGACCAAGGTTGGCCAAGGAAAGGCCTTTAGGGAGAAATGGATCAAGAAGGACGACAACAAGCTTGTCGCGCTGGTTAGTTTCTCTTTGAGGGGAGGAGGAGAGAACAGGAACGAGCGACAAGACGTGATCTAACCCAACCCTGCTGCAGGTCGACTCGATTGAAGACGTTACGAGATCGCAACTCCGCTTCATCAAGGAGACCAAGTCGCACGACGGCAAGATCATCGCCGACCTGAAGAAGCGAAAGCTCATCACCACCGCAAAGGTCATTTCCTTCAAGGTTTCCAAGGGACCCAAGTTTGCGCTGGAAATTGTCAAGGAGGAGACGGATTTGACGGCTGACATGCTGGCGTCTGGAGCGTGGAAGACGGCCAACTTTAGTGAGTGGTCTTATTCAAACTTGCACATACCGTTTGTTGCGGGACACGAGAGTTAATGTTTGAACAGAGCCGTACAACTTCAAGGCCTTGGGCGGGCACCAGGTCTCTGGAGCGCTTCACCCTCTCAACAAGATGCGACACGAGTTCCGGTTAGTTGGCTAAATCTTGAACGGCTACTGGGATTCTATTTGTACACGGAAAGGCTAACTGTTTTCTTCTCCCCTTTACAGACAGATCTTCTTCGAGACTGGCTTCACAGAAATGCCTACCAACCAGTACATCGAGTCTGGTTTCTGGGTATGTCTCACTCCAAGATTCTCCCGTTTTGACACTTGAAGAAATATTAAGCTTGCAAATGCTAACTTTTTAAACTAAATAGAACTTCGATGCTCTTTTCGTCCCTCAAGTACGTTTATAGCTGAGAATTATACCCCCATCCTCTTCTTAGCATCACTAACAATAAACAGCAACACCCTGCCCGTGATTTGCAAGATACCTTTTACATCTCCGACCCCAAGACAGCTGGCCGCCCCGGCCCCGTCTCCGCCGACGATAAACAAAACTACGACGAGTACTTTGAGAACGTAAAGCAGGTGCATGAGAACGGAAAGTACGGCTCCATCGGCTACCGATACCCCTGGGCCGAGGAGGAGTCATTAAGGTATGTGTTTCCTAAGATAAATGTGTATAAACATTCAAGTATCATGCTAACAGGCCCCAGACTTGTTCTCCGTACTCACACCACATCTGTTTCGGCAGCCATGCTACACAAATTGGCGGCGCAAAAAGGACCTGACGGTCGTGTGCCGCCTGTTCGCTACTTCTCCATCGATCGCGTTTTCAGGTAACTATCGATATAACTCCTCATATGTGATGATGGTGACTTACCATATTTATAGAAACGAGGCTGTTGACGCAACACATCTGTGCGAGTTCCACCAGGTAGAAGGTATAGTTGACTTGACGTGATAGCTTAATACTTGTTTTATTATTCGAATGCTTATAATAATTAGGTGTTATTGCCGACTACGGATTGACCCTTGGAGGTCTGATGGAGTTCTTCGAGACCTTCTTTGCCAAGATGGGCCTGACAGAGTGAGTACATCAATTTGGTCTTGAATAAGTCTGCGATTTAATACTAATATGCACTTTGCAGTCTCAAATTCAAACCAGCGTAAGAAACGATAACCCTCTTGCCGAGCATCCCTAGACGCCACTAACAAAGGAAATAGTTTCAACCCCTACACAGAGCCTAGTATGGAGCTTTTCAGCTACCACAAGGGCCTAAAGAAGCTTGTAGAGGTAAGAACGGCGTTACTAAACTAAGCACTACAACGTATTCGGAATGCTAATCGTGGAAATTACGCACAGATTGGCAACAGTGGCATGTTCCGACCGGAAATGCTCGAGGCCATGGGACTGCCCAAGGATCTGAGAGTGTACGGATTCGGCCTCAGCTTGGAGAGACCGACCATGATCAAGTACGCCATTTCAAATATCCGTGAGCTGCTTGGTCACCAAGTAGACCTCAACTTTATCGAGAGGAACGCCGCCGTGCGACTGGACAAGGATTAGATGATGGAGCGCATATAGAAAGCAAGATGAATCGGCATATGATGGATTAAAAAAAGAAGAAGAAGAAGAGTCCAATGCTTGGACAGAGGGGGAGAGAAGAAAGAAGAGAAATAAAAAGGGCAGATTCGGAATATCGCCGTTCTGGGCCACGATGTTTCGATCAAGACGGCAGCAACGATGTAACGACACGGTTTGGTTGCAGAACGCAAAAGTCAAACCTCATCAATGCACTAGACTTTTGAGTCGCTGAGAGACAAAGAAAACAAAAAAAGATCAATCATGGTACTATTGCCCAGAGTATCGCTCCTATTCCGTAAAACGGCAGCGGTGACTGTATTTCCGATTGAGCCTCTTTACTAATGTCCCAATCGGAAGGAATACGCTCTGTGTTTCAGATTATCAAGACGAATGAGAATACTTTGCATCTGTTGATATTCCGTCACTCACAGGAAGAACTTGCCTACATTCTCGTCATTAAACCGAGCAAAGCTTAAGAATCCAGGACTTTGTCTGAGGAATTGCCTGTTTCGGAATATGTAGGTGGGGTTGTTCGCGATCTTGGTGGCGTCAACAGGGGATCGATTGTTAGTCGTATCATGACTGAGCTCAACGTCGGAGTTACGGGATTGGTCGAATCCTTATGGCATTGTTTGAAATGTAGTTAATCCTCCGTCACAAGATTCTACCGAGATTAGTAATAGTAACAAAGATGAGCCACTGAGAATAGGTAGCAGAGCGGACGTAGACCATGGAGTTTGTCGTTTCGTAATTGCACCTAGTTTGCGAGCTTATGAATCGTCTCTTAGAAGATATGGAGATGGACATCACTAGGTGTATAAAGCAATCCGTCTCCTCGTGAGTTGGGATACCTTTTTGTACTCGCCACCGAAGATCTCAGAACTCAAACTTGTTTAGTACACCTTTTATACAACCAACGCAAAAAATGTCTTCTTGGGCTATTGTCGGAGCCACTCGTGGTATTGGAGTAAGTGATTAATGGCGATGTGAACTTACGTGCCCCTTTTCGTGAGGCTAATCATACCACCCAATAGTTTGGATACGTGAAAGAACTGGTACGTTGCTCGTCGATATCGCTCTAGTGACTGATTGCTCACCTATAGGCCAGTCTGCTGATTCCAAGAACACGGTTATTGCTTTGATTCGAAGCCAGGCTACGGCTGGTCCGCTGAATGAGTTGGCCGCAACTCGCAAGAACATCCACGTCATTGAAACGGACATCTCTAGCGTCTCAAGGCTCGAAGAGACTGCAAAAAGCATCAGCAAGGTCACCAACGGCAGCCTGGACGTTCTGATTTACAACGCCTACTCTGCCGGAACTGACGAGGCCAAGCTTTTGCCGCCTTCTGCCTTGTGAGTATTTCATTATTCTGTGTTCGATATTCGCCAGAGAGACTGATTGCGTCAAGCCGCGGAAAGGAAGATCTTTTTAAGCGAGAAATCGACGAATCTGTAAGTCTTGTTAGGGAACGAGAAGCCGATTCATGGATGCTCACACCGTAAGCAGTTGGCTGTGAATCTCTTCCATGCTGTGAATACGATCAATACACTGCTCCCTTTGGTCGAAAACGGTCAGCAAAAGAAGATTGTATACATTTCGTCAGGAATTGGCGATATTCCTACCACTCGCTTCACCGAACTGCCCAATCTTCTTGGGTATGCTGTCAGCAAGTCCGCCGGAAATATTATCATGGCAAAATACGCAGTCGAACTCAAGGCCAAGGGCATCAAGACTCTCTCTCTGAGCCCTGGTTGGGTGGAGACCGACGCTGGTGAGTGTTTGTCATGCTTGGTAACCGAGTTAACCGACCGACATCTGCTGACATTATCTGGCACCATTAGCTCAAGACATTTCCAACTCGCCTGAGGCCTTCCAGTGGATGCTCAGCTCGTTCCAGAAAATGGACCCGAGAGTCAAGGGCATGATCTCGACCGAAGAATCCGTCAAGGCCCAGTTGTCTGTTATTGCTTCTCTTGATGAGAAGCTCAGCGGCGACTTTATTTCCCACCGCGGCAACAATAAGGACTGGTTTTAGACGCTATCACGGCCGCATCTCGACGCTTGTTCGCTTTTTGAGATTGATGCTGAAGAAGGCAAGTTCGTAAGGAAGCTGTGTTTTATAGTTAGCCAAAATGAGCAGAATAAATTGGATTGTTATTAGGAAGAGATGTTATCCTGTGTGAATACTTGTTGCATATGTTCCCAAGAACAAATAATTCTGATTCAGGCCCTTTCCTCGGCGTCAGCAGGACTACGTAAAAACTATGGCTTCCATCAATTTCAAAGTATGAGCGCTCAAAGAAAAGGATAATGCTACGTCATGCTCAAATCTTGGGCATGCCGTCATTATTTGTTCGGAGATCGGTTGGTCCCTGGAATAGATTGTCTTTGTTCCAGCTAACGCAGGTAAGCGTGAGGCTTGAATCCGGTTCATTGCTGCCCTCTGCTGCTGTGATTCCGTCTCGGTGTAAGCCTTGTGCCCTTGACTGGTGTAGGAAGTGCCCAATGAAGAGACTCTCCAGCCAGGAGACTCCAAGCCATGTCTTACCCCAGTCGAACGGCCCACAGATTATGTCTGCCGTCACTTGAGAAACTTCCTCTTTTGGTATGTGTAAGTGGAGTACGGGTTTCGCGGCTTGATTGTTTCGACTAAAAGGCAATTAGTCAGAAAGCTAGATTAAGCCTCGAAGGACAACCACCATGCTCCCTCACCCTTAAACAAAGTGTTGTCAAGAGCGTCTTGCGAGGTCGATTTTTGAATTCTTGAGAAGAGTAGTAGCTGAGAAGATGGTGAGAAGCAATTCCGCAAATGAGCCGCAGCTCAAGGTGCGAATACGTCGCTGGAGAAGCTACCAGCCGACAAAAACCCTAGCAAAGGATAAAGGATGTGATGAGACGACTTCGGAGACATCATCCGAGCATCTGCCATCTGGGCTTCCGTCGATATCATTGACCAAAAGAGTGGGAGTCGAGTTCATCAACGCAGCACATCCCCGCGATGCCACTTCGGCAGTGGCTGTATCTAGCATTCGATCGCATGCAGCTCGGGGAGTTCACGCTTCCCGGCGCGCATCAACCTTGCCGCTAAATATGGATTCAAAAGGAAGGGGAACGCAAGTGGATACTGGGAAAATTCCCCAAGTGGTCGTCGTTTGGCCCGCTAGACTGAACATTCCCCGGTTTGAATGGTTATTCCAAGGGAGCAGACCTATCACAAAGCTTGAGTATTTCCTCTTGGACTACTGTAGGTGATCCTATGCGGACGGTTTTGAGAACTCACCCAAAGCTAACTCGATGTAGACGTAAAGTCTGTTATTCCAGAATCTCGGGATTGGTGTGACCATGGCGAGGGAGAGCTTCCATTTTTCGAAACCGCAAGCCAGCATTGGCTCCCCTTTATCGTCTCGGACGACGGCATGCTAGCCGGGGTCTTTCTGTCCGCATGTCGTAATCTCGTACTACATGAGCGGCAAGGACCAGTTGACTGTGATTACGCACAGGTGGCAACCATGTACAAGGTGGAGTGTATCAGATCTATTAACGCGGACATTGCTGCAGAACGATGCTCTATTAGTAGTGCGTCAATTGCAAAGGCACTGATGTTGTGCAGCGATGAGGTAAGTTTGTCTTACGTTTGATAAGAAACTTTCCGAGATGAAAATCCTGATGCGTTTGATGATAGGCTCTGTGCAAGAATGAGGCCGCTTCGTTCCAGCACTACGAAGGCATGAGGCAAATGATTCAGCTCAAGGGAGGCCTGCCAAACCTTGGTGTTGAAGGTTTTTTACGCAAAGCCTTCAAAGGGTGCAACGTGTACCAATACTTTGGGAAGCCTCATCTCGAATATGCCAGATGAAATGGAGTCGAATCCATGCCGCAAATTGCTGGAGCAGACGGGACGAGAGTGCTTTAATGTCCTTAGGATGATGTTTCTGTCATCAGGAAATGTCAAGTGCGAGCTATAGAGACTTCTTCGCCGTCGATTCTTGGGAAGAGCGATCTCCAGAAGTTGCGAAGGGCGGCGTGGGGGTTCGAGGATGACGATCGTGGTTTGTTGATCCCTTGAGTGGTTGGCGATCGCGATTTGCCTCGTGTCCATCGTTATTGGGGATAGGAACTCACAGAGCTGATACATCACGGGGCGGTTGTGGAGTGGAAGAGGCCGCTTCAGAAGAGAAATTCAGAAGAGGGATTGTGGGAAGATGATGTAGCCGTCAAGATTGGGGCGTGCCTACGCGTCGGGGCAGAAGTGTTGATGGTCTTGGTACATGTACGTACAGAGGGAACAAACAAACCTAAACCAAGGCCAAAGTTAAAGAGGGAAATTGAATTTACCTTACGTTTAAACAATAAATTAACAAAAAAAAAAAACACTCTTATCTTTCTTTCGTTCGCTTCGCACGCCCCATCCATCCAATTTTCTTTTCGCCTTTTTGTTGGTTTTAGAACTGGATAACGACCCCAACAACATGCCCGCGTATCAGCATCGGGCATTTGACCAAGGAATCATTCGGTGCGGCCATTTTCAAAAGATATGTAGAATGAGGCAGGAAATAGGTTTTTTTATAGTACTATGGCGCCAACGAGTCTAATGTCGCCGCCATATGCTCAAGTGAATTCTATAGCAGCCCTCTGAGCAAATTGACCAAAGATACATCTGATGGGACTCTGCGGATCGGATTCAACGCCACAATCTGCGAGTAGGAAAACTATCAGACGCATTTTAGATTCAGGTCTAGTTCAAAACTGTACTATATAGGTATTTAAAGTTGAGTCACGATTCAGCTGGTATATAAAGGGCGTAGAGACCCCGGAGCCAACTCCTCGATGTAGGGAAAGTTGAACATTTCGCCAGAGCCTGGCTGCTACTATATCGAGTGCAAGAGGAACCGTTTGCAGACTCTCAAAATGTACCGGAATCGTGGAAGAGGAGGCAAAACACGGCCCGAGGGCTTCGTTCCACCACCTCCACCACCTTCACCATCATCACCACCTCCGCCATCATCACCACCTCCGCCATCACCGCCATCGTCGCCATCGTCGCCATCGTCACCATCGTCGCCATCATCACCACCAACAACACCAACACAGCCCCCATCGTTAACGCCGTCACGATCGCCGTCACGATCGCCGTCACCACTGCTATCGCCATGGTTGCGGGAACCACTGGAACAAGAGTCACCAGAATTGCCACTGCCCCCATTCTGGCGTCCCCTTCCTCCTCGGCCACCAATTTCTACAGAATTTCTCACGCCTCGCCCAGTTCGTTCCTCGAGACATGCTTTTTCTCATCTAACTGACCCTCCTATTATAAACCCTCATCTTCTTGACCATGCTCCTGCAAATCCTCCTCCTCCACCTTCTTTTCTTTCTCGGCTCCCCTCCTCGCAGCTTCCTCGCATACAACCTGCTGTGGACCGTCCTCTTTCGAGTCGTTCTTCCTCTTTTCACGGGCGCCTTCCTTCCGCTCGCAATCCTCATGGCAATTCTCCTTTCGTTGTACGTGCAGTTGCTCGTCACCGTCAACCTCCTGGGCCTCCTCCTCGTTCACATCTTCCGCTTTCATATCCCCGCCAACAACGTCTACATCCTCATCCTTTTCTGCCTACGTGTCCGCGCCCTACACCAACTCTTCCCACGTCCCACGGCTCTTCCGGCGATGGCCCCCAATACACCTCCGGCTCCCGACCCTCGACCAAGCGGTACACCACCACCTCCCGTCTCTAAACCAGATGGTACGCCCCCAGCTACCGACTCCCCGCCAAGAACCAAGGCGCGAGAGAAGCCTAGCAACGAGCAAACTTGCTTGACATACTGGAAGTGCTGTGCATGTGGCCAGCCGGGAATTTTTGGCGACCGCGTCAAGTCTTGCGTCAAGGACGGCTGCGAACATGACCAATGCAAACGCTGCACCTTTTACAACTCTTACGACGATGAAGGCTTCAAGGAGAAGGGGAGATTCCCCTGGTCCCGCAAGAGTCCGCCCATATCGCCTGCCAAGTATCTGGGCTGGGGAGGGATTATATCATGAGGTCATGATAATCAATTTCTAGGGAGGCACTGAACCTGGAACTGCGATGGAGGGAGTAACAGGGGTGCGATTCTTTGCCTGTCAATGGTTTTTTGATTGGTATCTGATTGATGGAGAATGGGGATAATGTGTTGTGTTGAGATTGCTCTTGTAACACACTCGTTTACGTTATGAAAGTTTGTTGTGGATTGCTCTGTATCTTCGTTGTTAAAGATGGTGACTGTGTGGGCGATTAAATTGCGGTGGAGATTAAAACAGTAATCGGTTCTCGCTCACCTCAGCAGTGTTCATACACTCTGCGATGGAAACAATGTCATTGGAGGAATAAATTCTTTATAAATCACTTCATTTCAAATGTAACAATCGTCATTCGCTGTTCAACTTGTTTGCCGTACATCATCGGAAGCTGTTCAGTTTCACAAACCAACTCATCCATATCGATAGGCATCGCCAGGCAGCAGCCGCACAAGTTCGCGGCGAGTTTTGATTCGCCTGAGGCCACGGCGATCTGGCTGCCTCAACGGAAAAACGATTCGCCTCTGCAGGGAAATCATCGGAAACGACTTCAATTGGACCACGGCTCAATTCATCTCGCGGTTGTGAATCATTGGCATCTCAACCGAATTTGGTGTAAGACGGTTGGCTGGTTTGCAGCATCAAGTGGACCTCGGACTTTATCAGCGTGTGACTTTGTCTTGGCTTGGGAGAGGGAAAAAACTATATAAAGCTTCCATGGTTCCCCTCGTTGATATTCGTCTTCATCTCCTTCATCATCATCGCCTTCATCAGTTTCTTCCTTTTACCGCTGGTGATACAAAACTGAGCGTTGCGATACTGCGGTATTGCTTGTTGTTTCTACCCCGCCACTTCCAAGCATCAGTTGATCATCACCAGACGTCATCCATCATCACAGCACTTGAAGCATCTTCTTTTATCATCATCTCTATTGCCTATTGGACTTGTCATTTATTGTTGTTTCTCTGTGATTTCATCATTGGAATTTTCATCAGTGGTCGTTTCTTTGAATCTCTCTCTACCATTGACCCACTTCTGATATCTCGGATTACCTCCCCTGTTCACATCTCAAACTAACCTGCCGTTGTCATCTTCTCCCATCCATCCATCCATCCATCGCCATCTGACTTGAGTTCTTACCCGCATCAAAACTCACCATCACAATGTTTCGATACAATAACCCCAACGCCATCCCCAGCTGTGGCGTCTACATCATTACCGACGACAACATCAAGTATCTTCCCATCGCGTCTCTTGATGTGCACACTTCCATCGTCGCCTCAACCTCGCGAACAGTCCTGACGCAGACATTTGTCACCACAGGTACCTCTCTCAAGAATGTGAAATACGTCTTCCCCATGTATGACGGTGTCTCCGTGGTGGGATTCGAATGCACCATCGGCTCGCGCGTTATCAAGGGCGTTGTGAAGGAGCGAGAAGAAGCCAAGCAGGAATACCAGGCTGCTGTAGCAAGTGGTAGAATAGCGGGCTTGATCGAGCGGTCCTTGGAGGCATCCGACGTCTTCAGCACCTCGCTCGGCAATATTCCCAGCCGCGCTAAGAGTGTCAAGGTTGAGATTACGTATCTTGGAGAGCTGAAGCATGATGCTCAGGTGGATGGACTGCGCTTCACCATCCCCACCAGGTTGGCTCCGCGATATGGGCAGCATTCCATGACTGGTAGCAACACTTTTCAAGGTGGGAAACACATCACCATCACGGTTGATGCCGACGTTTCCAGTGGTTCGGCCATCAAGAGCATTCAGTCGCCGTCCCATCCAATTTCTGTCAACATTGGCACCCTTTCTACCGCGACATCCGACCCGCCATCTCTACAGAAAGCCTATGCGACTCTGTCCCAAGGGTCAGCAGAGCTAGACAGGGACTTCATCATCCAGATTGTCGCTACCGGTCTCGGTGATCCCATGGCGGTCCTGGAAACGCACCCGACAATTCCAAACCAGCGGGCTTTGATGGCGACGCTTGTTCCCAGATTCAACTTGCCCATGGAAATGACTGAGGTTGTCTTTCTGTGCGATCGAAGCGGAAGCATGGGGGGCGGAAACAAGATTCCCAACATTGTTAATGCGTTGAAGATTTTTCTAAAGTCTTTGCCTGTTGGAGTCAAGTTTAACATTTGCAGCTTTGGATCACGCTATGAATTCTTGTGGGAACGATCCATGACATACGAAGAAGGGACATTGGAAACAGCTATAAGCTATGTCAGTGGGTTCGCAGCCAACTTTGGCGGTACAGAAATGTACCATCCAATGGAGGATGTATTCAAGCGACGATACAAAGACTTGAACCTCGAAGTGATTTTGCTCACTGACGGAGAGATTTGGAATCAGGGAGACCTGTTCAGACTCATCAATACTGAGGTTTCTGAAAGCAAAGGTGCTGTGCGTGTCTTCACTCTGGGTGTGGGATTAGATGTCAGCCATGCCCTGATTGAAGGCGTCGCTCGTGCAGGCAATGGCTTTGCTCAGACGGTGGGAGAGAACGAAAAGATGGACAGGATGTTGATCCGAATGTTGAAGGGGGCTCTGACGCCTCACATTACGGATTACTCTCTTGAAATCAAGTATGATAACAATGATGGTTCGGCAGAAGAGAATGATGACGACTTTGAAGTTATCGAAAGGGTTATGGACGCGATAACCTTGGAAGTCCCCTCCTCAGGACAGGCGGAAGAAAGTCGCATTCAAGAAGCCCAGCAGCCTATATCTCTGTTTGATCAAAGCGTTTCAGACAAGGACTTGGAGATGCCTAATACCTCTAATTCAGTCAAGGGGAAACTTCCACCCTTGACCGTCCCTCGATATCTTCAAGCCCCATTTCAAATCCCACCTCTTTTCCCTTTCACTCGCACGAGTGTCTATGTCTTGCTCTCAGACTCGACACCAGATCGTCAGCCTAAGAGTGTTATACTCAAAGGCACATCTGTCCATGGTCCACTGTCACTGGAAATCCCCATTGCGACTCTTACGGAGAGAGGTACCACTATTCATCAATTAGCAGCACGAAAGGCCACCGGAGAGCTTGAAGATGGTCGCGGTTGGATATTCCACGTCAAGAACCAAGATGGCAAGCTTTTGCAAGAGCAGTTTGACGGTCAATTCAGTGACATGGTGAAGCGAGAGGCGGTCCGCCTGGGGACGCAGTATCAAGTCAGCGGCAAGTGGTGCTCATTCGTGGCCATCCAGGATACTGATAGAAATGCCCACACGGGGGAAGAAGGCGAAGAGAATGACGATGATGGCGACGAAGAAGATGATGGAGATGAAGAGACGGACGAGTTTGAGGAGATCTCGTTTGATGAAATCGCAGCTCCAGAAGCCGCTGCTCGGAAAAGGAAAGCTCGCCGGGCTCAAGGCAAGGCTCTAGGCAAGGCGGCTGTTGCGGCATCTCCTCAACGGGGTTTTGCCGCAAGAGTGGCCCGAAAGTCCGCAACGTCCGCCGATTCAGGGGTTAAACGGCAAAAGGTTGCCTCTCAACCCAATCAACGAGCACAGCAGCTAATGTTACAGCAGCTACCTAGTCAACAAGCACATCCGCTAATTGCACAGCAACAAGGGATAATGCCACATGGGATGCAACAGATGATGCAACAGGGGGCTGTACCACAGATGGCGGGTGGTATGCCAGCTCAAGCTCTAATGCTACGGCAGGCTCAGGCACAGGCTCAGGCACAGGCACAGGCACAGGCTCAGGCACAACAGACGCAGAGTCAAGCAGGGAGGCCGCCACAGACAAGCAATGGTAGTTCTTTGTTTGGAAGTTCTGCTCCCATTCCTTCTTCTGGGGGCTTGTTTGGTAGTTCTACTACTCCTTCTACTTCTGGTGGGTTGTTCGGTTCTGCGAACGGTTCTGGTCCAGCGACTGGTGGTTTGTTAGGCGCTGGAACGTCGTCTCCCATGCCATTTGGTAACTCGTTCAACGCATCTGGTGGTTTATTCGGTTCTGCAAATAGTTCTCCTCCAGCGACTGGTGGTTTGTTCGGCGGGTATGCTTCTACTTCTTCTTCTGGTGGCTTGTTTGGCAGATCTAACCCTTCCCATTCTAGTGGTTTGTTCGGCGCTGGAACATCATCTTCCATGTCATTTGGTAACTCTAATAACGCATCTGGTGGCATTGGTAGCAGCGGAAATGATGTGCTGTCAACGCTGTCTGCTTTGCAGACATTCGCTGGCAATTGGCAATGGAGTCCAAGTCTCGAAGGTATTTTGGGCATCGCACCGCTGGCTGCCTCTGTCAAGATTGAGTTGCCTGGCCAGTATACCCAACACATGGATGTGTTGGCAACGCTTTGTGCTGTGGTATTTTTGAAGAAGAAGTTGGCGTCTGAAAAGGACTCTTGGGAGCTGCTTGTGCAAAAAGCAGAGGATTGGCTGAGGGCCCAAACAGGGGCAGACGTGCTGGAGTTGGAGAAGCAGGTGGAGCAAAAGTTGTGGCCAGCCTACTAGGCATTTATGAATTATGAATCAGATTGTCAGCAGCACTCGAAGCTCAATTGTTTCTATTGTGGTAAGGGATGTTGGATCACGAGGTAGAGCACATGAAGATATTTAAAGGGGCGTTATTTACTCACCTACAATATCAAGTGTCTGATACTGTCACTAATTTCTTCTACTATTGAATCTATTTTCTGCTACTATTGTTATATCTTTCTAGTATGTGCTACTATTGGTATATACTTTTAGTCTGTGCTATCATGGGTATATTCTTCTAGTACCTGATGGTATAGCTAAATTTCTCTATAAGTATTGTCGTTTCTGGTCAATGTATTCATCACTGATGAGTTTGGTTGAAAGTTTGTGACATGATGCTGGTTACCTGCGTTGGGGCATTGGCTAGTATTTTCCAGTCCAGATATATCAAGATTGCTATTTCTAATTTACACTTAATGCTGTACAATCGATTCACCATGCTGGGTGATAAATACTCAAGAGGGACTTATGGTAAAGAGCTTGAGAGTGAGGTAGACAGGTATCAGTTATAAGACCTTTGACATCTCAGAGTATCAGCGTAATACGTGAGCCTCATCCATGGGTTGGCACACCGTCCCTTGCCTTTTGTATAGCAAGCTCCCCCAACCTGGCAAGTTCCATCGAAAAGGCATCCAGAAGTTTCAGGTGCGTCAATTCGGCCAGCGTGAGCTTTCGTATGGGGATGCTTCTGAATAGCGTAGGGGCGCTCTTGAGTATTTCTAGATCTCCGGGAGCGGTTTCGTCGAGAGGGCTTGAGAGGATATTGGAAAATAGGGCGAGTATAGCGCTGATGGGGTAATAGATGATGACCCTGCATAGAACATAGAATCAGTAGTTGTTTAGCTTTATTATACAATATTCATCAAGAGAGAACAGGGTGTGGTTGATCATACCAGAAGCAATCGTCTGTTATGACGTGGAGAGCTACGCGCAAGTATACCAACGTCGATCTGCTAGCATCCAGGGAGAGATTGAAACTAGATCGTACGCCCTCGTGATAGTTCCCTGGTGACTGAGCCATGCACCTCCCGCTCGCTCGATGAACGATTGCGACAAAGTGGTAGTATGCCAACCGAACCATGGAGGACTGCATGCTGACATCTGCACTCACAGGTGTCGTTTTGCCAAATGTGAGTGTCGGGCGGAAATCAGGTGGAAGAGACATACGCCATTGCTCAAGGGATTCATCAAGGACACGGATGCTTTCAAGAAGCTCACATTGCGATTTGCGGTGCGCCATGGGCGAATACAGAGCGTCGTAGGCTCGAGACTTGATCTGAGAAAGGAGAAGTTCCCAGGGATACATGGGGACGGTTCGGCTACCAAGGCCAGGGATGGTGTGGCTCTGGATGTGGCGGTTTTGCATTACGGAGTAGTCAGGGGGGAGTGTGAGATCACAATGGATGTCTGACAGACACGATGGCTGGCCAGTGCGGATGCAGAGGTCTTTGTCAAGGGAGTAGCAGGTCCAGAAGAGATCGCGGAGATGATGAGTTCGGTCGTTCTTGTCGTAGGCTTGCGAGGTCGGGGGTGAAGATGCTTGATTTGAAGATGATGGAGAGGAAAAGTAAGATCTGGCAACGTCTTGAGGGTTTGTGTGGGCCTTGAGAGCAAAGATGAACCGTGTAGCGATCGATAGGAAGAGGCCCATAGACTGGAGGTCGCCCAGGAAATAATAAACAATGGCCTGATGTGGATAATCAAGTGTTAGACAGAGTGCACCATGGTTTACCACACGTTTGGATGACTAGGGAGGCCAAGCGCGGCTTGAAGGAATAGGGGAAAGAATTTTCGAAGAAATCAAGTTACTGGAAGGGACTGGAGCATAAACGTACTAATGTGACGAGGGTTTGAAGGCCATCCCCTGTCATTTCTTGCGTAACCTGGGGTATTAACGACCTGGCTGCTGCTAAATACGACTCACAGGACATCGTCGCAGCAGAATCATCTTCAATATGTAGAATAGAAGCTACAGCTAGAAACGAGTAGACGCACGCTCTAGCAGCAACGACAGAAGGAGAATCAGGCGAGGAATATGCCAAGTCGAGTGTCTTGGCAAAGAGACCTTTACTTAGGACGGGAAAGATGAGGCACACAGTCGAAGAGCAATAGGCCGCGGCATATCTCTCCAAAGTCGACCTTTGAGGGAGCTCGCAAGGCTGAGCACCGGCAGCTATTGCATCCGAGTCTAGATACAGACGGCGCGGACTGTGCCATTGGCGACCAAATGAGCAGAGGGTCTGAGGCGTCATACGGCTTCCAGTGCGTGATTCGATCCATGCTTGTCCTTTCTCAGAGAAGAGCGAGATGCCAGTAAACGAGGTAGCGTTGCGGAGGTCGGACTGAGACGAGGTCGGGTATTCAAACTGAATATCTGCGAAAAAGTTAGACAAAGATGTAAACAGATGGCGGGGAAAATAGACATGGATAGGTGAATATAGAGAGAGAGATGTATATGAAGAATAAGGTGCTTAGGCTGTTATGCTCGTACGAACAAGCACACCGTCCAAAGGATAACAAAGTCCAAGTACAAACAAAGCTAGGGGAAAACGAAGAGCAAGGAGGCGTGGTAATTCTATAATATGCCGTCATGGTAAGGAACAACAAGGTGCAAGAGGCCGAGATTGGCGAGCAAGGTTCTGTCTCGTTAACCAAGAGGATCAGGAGACTTACCATCATCGTGCTGGGATAACCGTTGGGCTAAGATGACCTCCATTCTGGTAACGGAATCTGGAGTTTGGGCAATCTTATGATCCGGGCTTCTCAAGGCGGGTCAGCAGTTGGCATAATGCCAAGGAATACTCGATCCGCATGTCCGTACGTGGCACGAGCTGGGGATGAGGCTACGAATGAGGAATGGCCTTACCCTTTCTTCTTGGTATTTGCCACCAATCGGCGGTAGGTGCAGGCTAGGTCATGGTGTTTACACCAATTGCATTGTGGAACGTCGGCATCGCATTGGATCTGTCATGCCGGTCTGTCAGTTGGTTCCTGGCCCGAGGCTTGTCTTGATCGGAGCAATCTTGCATCTCCATTGGCCCACCGGGCGAGAAATAAAGTTGACAGACACGTTTGACATGTATTGCCTCTCCTGTCCAAGATCCACTGGCTCTGGTGGGAACGCACCTTTCTCCTGGAGCACGAATCACACGCCTTTGCACGCCGTCCCCTGTTTGATTTGCGAGGCGCCCTAGTATCCATAGTGTGTTGACTGAAGCCAAACGAGGTTATTTTCCCGATCAAACGAGTTTATCGAAATGAATCAGACAATGATCTGAGTCGACTCAGAATTGCGAATTCGACTGCGGGCGCAGAAGACAGGAGATCTGGGAGCAAGAGATGGTTCTCTGAATCGTCAAAACTTGGGGATTTGACCGCTGAGTCAGCGGAATTCGGAATCATCCCCTGCAGCTCACGATGTGCCCGGGATTTGGTGGCTGACATCCTTGTTGCGGTGTTCTGAGAGGAACAAGTTGCATCGCGTCCGAAGCGAACCTAAGATGGATTAGTAAGGCCGGTGGAATGGAGAGAGAGGAGAGAGTGTACACGCACAAGCAATGCCGGAGTCACAATTCGTAGAAAGATGGAAGAAACGTAAAAGAAAAGTAGATGGAAAGAGAGAAGAGCAGCGAGATGGTAAAAGGTGAGATTGCCAAGGCTGCACTCACTTTATGCATTTACTGCCAGTTATTGTATTAAGGGAATTTTATCTTCCGTGCGTGTCCGCTGACTTTCCTTCTTCCCCAAGGCTAAACCACAACCGGATATCTCTTTGTCTCCTACTCTTCCCCATGCTCAACCATTTTTGACTAGGGACAATGCCACACAAGAAGCCTGAGATTAGCGAGTCAAGTTACAATTCTGTCCAGTGTCATATCCCCGGCTTGGTTGTCATCGTTTGACACATTCGAAGCTTCCATCAACCACAAGTTAGATGCACTACCGGATCGAACAACGGTAAGTTGTTACGTCTATTCATCCTTGCTAAACTGGCTAACCAACGTTACTAGAAGCAGGATTGGCTTTAAACAATTCGACAACTGACTCCTTGGAAGTACGACTCCAAACTCTACCCATGACGCTTGTCAAATCAATTCGACACACACTGGTGCTTAATGACCCCATCGAGATGGACCCTCGCCTGATTCAATCTTGGCTATCAACTCTTCCTTGTTCTCGAGGACAAACTCGTCCCACGTCTTCAACGATAGACCGGGAATCTACAAGCATTTGTCGTTAGCGTTGCACGGAGATTACCGGCAACCAAGTAAGTGTCAAAACTCACTTCATGCGCCTGAATGTAATCATGGCTTGCATAAACCTGTCCAAAGTACTCGAAAATCAAAAGTTGTTCCGTAAAGTCCAGAGCGGACTCAGGAGACATGCCAACACTCTCAAGCCGTCTTTGGAACTGCTCCGGGGTTGATTTCCGGTACTCAAAGGGAATTCCAATTACTGACCATTTCTCATTAGCTCCACGCTCTGCCTCCAACGACCCATGAAACGTACCCTTTGCCAGTGTGACAAGCTTTTCGCCCTCCGATATCGCCTGGGCATAAAACGCGATGGACTTTCCAAAGTAGGTCTTTGGGTTCTTCACGACGGTACGGACGAGCCTACCCGTGTCGGTGATGGCTACGTTTGGCAAAATTGTGCCGAGGCCGACTGGAAACTCGCGCACAAGCTTACCGGAAATCTTGATATGAGAATCGTTTAGCTTCCATATCTCTTGAGCCTCGACGCGAATGGAAACGCACCTTTTGTGGCAAATACCCCCGAGGGTCAGTCAAGCAGTTTTCAAAGTAGTTGGGGAACAGAACCGTCGTCGTCTTCTTCCAAAGCTCGTGCTTCTGCTCCTTGATGTACTCCGTCACGTCTGCCTTGCTCTTCCAATGGTGGACATGGTAGAATCTTCCCTGGGAAAGCTCCATCGGATCAGGGAGAGCGCTCCAGACAAAGTGCTCTAGCGTCGGGATCTTGGCAGCAGCATCGGCCAAGGCCTTACCCTGGGCGATCTCGATGACTTTGGATCTCGAAGCCCAGAAATCAGTCAGGGCAAAGATGATGCTTGCTTCGGCAAAGATCTTTTCCAGTGCCTTAGGGCCGTCGTTGAGGTCTACAGCTTGGACATCCACCCCTTTTGCAGAGAGTTGCAAAGCAGCGGGCTTGGAGGCATCACGCGTAAGACCCTTGATACGATACTCGTTGGGATACTTGAGAAACTCTTCAACGACGGATCCTCCCTAGCTCAGCCTCAGGTTAGATGCTAGATGGATCTGTCTGGATGGGGGATTGAGATACAAACCTGTAAGCCAGTAGCACCTACGACGACGACTGTTTTAGGAGACATTTTGATCTAATGTTTGCTGCTTTGCTTGGCAGGAGTTCCTCGATGCTAATGTGTTTCCGAATGGTTTTCCTAGGATTGGAACCTGGGAGATCATCTTTATATACTCCTTCCCCAGCCCCAGCCAACACGATCCAATTGCGCAATTTCGACCGAGTAAGCGGAAGACGTACGACCTTGCTTCACCGACATCTTGAGATTCGAGTCAGAATTCTGTTGAGAATTTCCGACATTCTGTCAACCCTGGCCTAGTGCTGTGTGTCGAGACGCGGGGATGTGCCTCAACGCTCTGCAATGTGACCCCTGACGTTGCATTCGAATGCCGTAGCGCCGGCTGAAGATCTTCCCAACCGACACCAACGCCAACGGCAGCTATCGGCTGTTTCAATTCTCCGCTTTGCAGAGCATCGTCGTCACTCATTTATTGACAGTCTACACCCGTCTGACACAGATGTCCTCCGTTGAGACTGTGTGCTTTCATGAGCCCATGCTCGGCCTCGGACCTTCAGTGTTGTGCGAGCCTTCGTTTTTCGGATTGGCGTTCCCACAGACTCCTCCGTACCCATCTTAGATTTTGCATCAGCACATGGTAAAGTCATGTTACAACTTGTGTGGATTCTGATTGCTAATGTGCAGTATATTTAGGTAATACGAAAGACTACAAGTCCTCCTCTCGTTCTACAACAGGTCTCCCTGATCCGATGACTCAGTACAGGGCCCATCACATCAAACGGATTTCCCGATTACCAAGGAATCTCCCCACCGTCCAAGTCCAAAAATCGCCCCGTAGTCTCTTTGGACGCCGCGTCAATCAGCTTCATAACACCAATCGTACTGTCTTCCACCGTCACGGGCGCCTTTTCGAGCCCTTGAGCCTTGGCCCCACGATTTCACATGTCCGTCTGTACAAACCTAACAGCATTTTAGAAACCAGATTCTATTACCAATGTTTGAATCATGTTACCCAGGGCTAATGGAAAGAGCAATCACATTGCTGTGCTCAATGCTAATCATCTTCATCAAAAAGTTGCCGGCCATCTTGGATATCCCATATTCCGTCGTGATGGACCATGTGTTGAGCTGACTGATACTGGCCACGCTTGTAGATATGTATACCAGCTTGGATTCCTCCGAGACACCCAAGAGTGGAATAGTGGCCTTGAACAGCCGAAGTAAGCCTACGGTGTTGACCTCAAAGTGCTTCAACATCTCGTCCTCGGATATTTTCGCCACGGGGCCAAAGGTATCGCAAATACCGGCATTGGCAATGACCAGATCCAAGGTTGTTATACCAAATTCATCTTTGAGAAGAGCAACTCCCTCTGTAATACTCGAGGCAACATTCATGTCAAGCGGGAGTACAATCACCTTCGAACCTTGCCCGCAAGACAGGGAGTGAAGTCTTTCTTCCTGTTGAGCCGTGACATGTCGAACCGTTGCAATCACTGTGGTGTCAGGCCGTAGCAGTTATTTGGCTACCAGAGATGCCCCGATACCTGATCCAGCATGGTTTAGCCCTTTCTACTTTGCGAAAGAGGAAGATATCCGTACACACCTCTACTAGCACCAGTGATAAGAATGGTAGGTTGAGACATTCGTGAATAAGGCTTTCGACTCTATGAGTGGTATTGCACTTCAGGGCAAGACGTAGACAATCATGCTTCGCATTAAATGCTTTTTCACGCCGTTTTCACTTTTCCCGAGACAACATCATCTCCATCACCAAAACCTCAACCATGTGTGTTCTATTGTGCGATTACTAAGCGCTGATGATGATCGTTGTCGATGTTTGTCCATTGGTTCGTTGCAACGTTCGGAAATCTTTCAAGTTCCGAAACTGGATCTCGGACTTCGCTTATTTCCTGTCTTTCACGTTAGTAGGATCATGTCATGAAGCAGGCCTTAAACCCGAATTCTGGTACATTTCTCACCTCCCGGCTAAAAATAGATGACGGCGGGCTTCTCGTATCATCAGCAGCTAATCGAAACGGCTAGAATCCCGACCACTTTTGACAGGGCGTACGAGATTCCAGCAGATGTGCCCGTCTATTAGGTTGAACATATGATCAGTAATTTCGGGTAGCGTAGTCTTCTAAGCGAGGGAGCCGATTTCTCTGTCATCTAACACGGATGTCTCTGGTGATTGCACCGGCTGCGTCGTTTGTAGGCCGAGACTCTTGAAACTAGATGGATGGAGATGGAGGGGGAAATGGTGGTGTTTGGAAATGATACTAAAAGGCATATCAAGTATCACCAAGTTGTGTACTGAGAAATCTCTCTCGGGACGGCGCGCCATAGCTGGTGAAATGCAAAACAACGATGAGCTTCATGTCGGAGCGTCAAAGGTGATGATGCTAGCACTAAAGACACTTTCGAGAGCCGTTTTATAAAATCAATTCATCATCCAAAAGGGGTGATATTTTTAACAAAGCAACAATTCCGTTTGGCGAAATATGTCGAATCTCGATGTCTGCCCCGATGTCAACTCCTCTTCCACTCTCCCTCTTTTCTCCTTTCCGTCACTCATTTGCGTGTGCGTGCTTGTAGACATAGCCAGGTGAGAGGGCATGGCCTTGTTCAGACGAGGGGACATGGTCGCACTGCATTGTTGCTGGGAAATATGCCCACTTATCAGAGCCGTCAGCGTCAGTCCGAGTACATGAAAAGGAGACGTAGGGGCCGTTGGCAATGTCATCCAGGTTGACAGGGTATATCCGAATGGCCTCTGTAGGGACACCGGCCGTAGTAGCAACTCGTCGAGAGCCGTCTTTAGTCATAGCGACCAAATTTGCATTACCGCCAAATTACCAGGTGGCCAATGCAATCACAGGGCTGTCACATTTATCAACCTCCTAGAGCTTGAATGTTTTGTCGAAACTGGAGGTGAATGCCAAACCACGAGCGCTGTCGTAGTCAGAGCTTTAGTCAAGCGGGCTGGAAAGGGACAGCAACCGTGAAGGTATATGCACAAGCTGAATAACAGGAGGCTGGATGTAATTAGTATAAATAGGTACTCCCTACCTGATCAGGCCAGTAGAGAAGAAAGCTATTGGACATACCTTCAAAAAGGCGAGGGGACATGGCCTTTGTGAGGCGGGGATGTTCGTATCTTTTTTGTCAAAGACGAGGGAGGACGAAGACGAAGATTCATCTGTGTGGCTTTGCAGCGTTCGTGGCGTATCAATCTTGCCACGGGATATTGAGTCTTCTCTTCAGGCCTATTCAAGGTGACATCCAGCTCGTTTAGTTGCGTCGAGTACCGTTACAAGGTCCGTTACTGTTGACATGTTAGCATAGATACTCGTCTAAGCTGGAAATGAAACATACGTGGCACAGAGCTTCGCCCGTTGATAAATAATCCGGGTGTGAATCCGGGTCTCAACCAGCGGGGCCAGCCGGCTGGGTCCTCTAGTAGCACCCCGGCCAGCCAGCCTTGCTTGATAGGCGAGGATGTTGGTATCCTTCTCGTCGAACACGAGGGAGGACGAAGACGAAGACGCGAGAGGACAAAGATGAAGACGAGGGCCAGGGAGAACGAAGACGAGGGTGAAGACAAAGATCTAGTTGCCTGGCTTTGCAGAACTCGTGGCGCGTTGTTTGCCATGGGATATTAAACCTTCTCTTCAGGCCTATTTGAGGTGATATCCAGTTCGTTGAACTGCATCGATATCATGGATACAGTATGTTACAACCATGGGTGTATGCTCTTCCGGCGCTTGATTCTTCTCCTTTCTAGATGAATGATCCCATCCCCTGACAATGCAAGGGCTAATCTTGAATCGTATGGTGACGCAGCTCTTGATGGCTAGTTCTGTCGACAAGTTAGCATACGTACTTCTAAACGCACAATACAAATACGTGAAACTGACCTTCGTCCGTTGACAAATAATCCGGGCGTGAATCCGGGCTTCAACCGGCGGATGGGTCCTCTAGTAGCACCCCAGCCATCCATTCTACATGAACGATTCCATCCCCTGATAACGCGAGGGCCAATCATGAATTGTATGGTGACACAACTCTTTATAGCTGGTCGGAACCGAGCTGGACTTGACTCCCACGCTGGTGCACTGCCACCTTTCCTAGAGCTGCAGCTGCATCCTCCTCTCCTCCTGAGCCTCCAGGGCCAGCCGGCTGGGTCCTCTAGTAGCACCCCGGCCGGCCAGCCTTGGCGACTACATCAGCCATCTTGATCTCGATAGCCTCTCTGCGCTCCGCCGCCTCAGGAATTTCGGCAGCAAGGTGACCTCGGCATCACTATACCTCCTGCCACCTCGGTGCGTCATCAATCCCTGTGCTTCCAGAGTAGTAGGTAAGGAGCCTTGGCCTCAATTTCCCCAATGTTTCGGACCTCTTGCGGGAAGGACGGCGCAGGCGAGATGGGAAAGCTTTCTACCTTGGTCAGCATCGTGAATGCGTCTCAGATGAATGGCAGAAGTTTTTGATGAGGATAATTGGCTGGCTAGACGATCTTACAAGAGAAGTGGCGGCTTATGAGAGATGCGATGCGCTGTAACGGAGCAAGTATAGAGTAGCTCAAACGTTGGAAGAGAGGAGGGAGAAGGGAGCAGTGGGCAGTGAATAGACTTGAGAGAGGATGGAAAGGTCGAGAAAACAAACGAAACCGTTCTGAGTATCTCTTTACCTTGAGGAACGTATCCCGTCCCCCGAGCAGAGAGAAACGACAGAGATCTCAGCAACGTAGTGGGCTTCGGCGTCAATAACTCTCCTACCACACTCGGCACCACGATTCACCAACTGGGGTATTTGAAACGAATCTATGGAGAGAGTCAGCAGATGAATCGATATAAATACGTGAGTTGATACGAGAGCAGGGACGTACTTTTGGGTTGTGGCGACTGAAGATCCGGCCCAACGCATTATTTGGAGGGAACATACGCAAGCATGTTGTAGAAGCAGCACTGTTGATATCACTTGATTGATTCAAGGGCGAGCAAGTTAGTGAATGTGCCAATGCAGAGACGTAGGTTTTCAAGGGAAAAAGAACACACTGTTCAAATGAACCGGTTTAGGGATTAGCACAAGGTGATTTCTGACTGTTGATTTGTACCGAACGCGTGATGAAGCAGCTCTGACATCGCCATTCGGCAGAGATGAAAGAGTTGCTGAGAAGTGTGTAGATGCAGGCTGTATGAATGCAGAGGCTGGTGGCGGCACGACGCCATCTCGATGGTGACGTATGGAAAGAATTGGCAGAGATTCACAAGGAGGAGAAATCAAAGAGAAGCAAGAAGCCTTGGTGGACGGAAATTGCGAGAGATACAGAAAGAAGAGAATGGAAGAGAGGAGAAGATGGCAGAGGGCCTTGGCGGTCAACCATAAGCTGTTTGTTTACGAGTACGAGCAGCAGCCTCCATCGGACCCACGCACCTCGCCTCGATGCTGCCAATGAGGAAACAGAATATCCGAGAGTGACTTGAAGGAAGCAGCTCTTTCTTCCTAAACTAGGTGCTTGTTACGTAGTCTCAATGCTTAGAGAAGGTGAAAGAGGAATGGCATTACGCGGCCTTCGCTTGATGAATCAGGTGGCAACTATTGCTCGGAGCCCAGAGGGAAGGCAGGTTCAGGCCTATTGATCTCTATTTTAGAGGCCACATTTCCCCCTTTGACGAGACAACTTTCCATCAACAACACCGAATCTCTCACCTGCGTTCACTTTCATTACGCGTAGGGGTTTGACACCCGAGCCCCCCTGCCCTACCCCCAGCAATCGACAAGCGAGACAATGATCAGAACGAGTCTGGGGCAATTGCGGGGGGTGAGGGTGTCTCCCCTTTAAGAGGCTACTTTGAGGCGACCAAGCCAAATGTTGTGAACCCTTCACCTGTTGGCGTCAACGGCAACAAGAACCAGCCAGCTCGTACAAACAACCACGAGGCAACTGAGCCACCTCAGTCCACGCCGAGCTCGACACTCCAGTGCAGCAAGCGCCCGCCGCCTACAGCATTACTCTCCAGCCTGAACGGCCATTCAACAGCTGTTCTGTATCCACCTGAACTACACTCTTGTCTCGTACGGAGGTGAGCTTCCTTTGTTTTTTGCTAGCCTTGGGAGATTACTGACAATTGTCAGGATCTCTGAGAATCTCTTTCGTCGACATTTCATCTTGTCTCTCAACAGGACTTGTTCTTCTTTTTTGTTGGAAGGGGAAGGGGAGGAGAGGAGACTTTGCGGTAATGGCAATGGACAGGGACGGGCATCATGATGGAGTTGGAAGACACATGTAGAGGTTTCATCTGGTGAATACACAACTTGTCACAACTGTCAATTCAACTGCCATTAGACGCGTGCATCCCGAACCATCGCACACTGAACATACGTCCCGTCCAAAAACGTATCCCTCTGCACAACTCTGAACCCATACCTCTCGTAAATAGGCTGTCCCGCCGGAGAAGCATCCAGAAAACACTCCACCTTGTCCTCGTCAGCCTTGTTCACGCCGTACTTGAGCATCAAGCTGGCCGCTCCTTTGCCCTGATACTGCGGCTTGACTGCTACCAGTTCGAGATACCAGTGTGGCCTCTTGCCCATGGCCTCGTGATGCATCTCGCCGAGCCTGCCAAAGAAGAAGACGGAAAACTGCTGGTCGCCTTCGCTGGGCCATTGGTCAGCCGGCGGGAGAGGCTCTGGGGAAGCTCCTGGGACGATCCATTTCACAAAGCCAACAAACGTTTCCGGCGTGGAAGAGTCGTCCCATACAGAGAGAAAATGGTTGTTCTCGTCGCGAATCTCTGCCGACAGCGACGTTGTCCAGAAATCGCGTGCCGATTGCGTTCCTCTTGGGGCGAAGCGCTGATGGATCGGATCTTGCGAGAAGGCCTCAAAGTACGTCTCTACCATCAGCGGCACCTCTTCAGGTTTACTGGGTACGAGTTTCAGTGGCATTTTGCGGCGATCTGAGTTGGAAACTTGTTTGGTGGATTTTGGGCTTTGGCGGCTCTGTTGCTGAAGATCCGCGGCTCTAAATATGTAGTTTGACAGACACCTGGTTAGCTAACGACAGAATCGGATAGTCTGGTTCGATAGCATCAATTGATGTTTCTCCCCCCCATGCATACCTTGTTATTTCTACAAGCGCGTCATTCCTATTCCGGCTTCGTTGTGGAATTTTTGTAACCAGTGGTGTTTTTGCACGGGCTGTGGTCGTGGATTGAATTATTGAAAAATCAGGGAAGAAGGAATTAATTAAGCAGTCTTAATTGTATAATAACACATTCTTCACGCAAAACGAAATCTCAGTCTCGACTGTCCTTCTTTTGGAAGGTGTATATGACTGTCAGATTCCAAGCAAGGCACAGGCCAAGTAGTCTTCATAATGCAGACGAAATGTTCAAAGGTCCATTTCTTCCAGCCTTGCAATAACCTGGCGATGCCTTGTCTCAATAGAGAGACGATTTCCGACTTCGGCAGCCCGACACATTTCAGATGCTAGCTGAGTAATATGTCGCTGATCATCTCCTGAGGCCCTTGTCCCAGCTATCCAGTAGGTCTTGAACCTTTCTTGGCCGATAGAAACCAACTTCTTGTTTCGTTGACTGCGAACGTGTGTATCTATTGGATCTTCGGATGAAAAGTCGAGCCGTGCCGATCTGCTGCCAGATGCTCCCTACTGAAATCCATACCTACCAAACCCTGACCGTCCTGTCTTCTCCCCCAGTGACTTTCCGCGAAGACGTTGGACACCAAGCTACCGCGATGACTTGGTCATCATGGTGAAGTGTCGACAAACACTTGCCCAAGCCCGCGTCCCATATCTTTGCTGTTTTGTCTGACGACGCCGAGACGACTTGTGTTTGATCCGGGGACCAGTTGACGCAGAGACCCTAGTCAGTATTTCCCTCGAGGTTCAATAGACATTGAGTTAATCTCCAGTCCCAGATTCGGACGTTCCTGTCGTACCCTGCAGAGGCGATGCGTGTTCCATCGGGTGACCAGCGCGCACAACGAGGATCGCTCTTGTCGCCTTGAGGCCTTGATTTTGCCTCGAATGTGGACGAATCCCAGATCTTGAGCGTGTCGTTGGCTGACAGGATCTGTTTGGAATTGTTTGACCAGGCCACCGAGGTGACCGCGCCGGGCTCTTGATGATCAAGTGTGAAAATGGATTGGAGACACTGAGCTGTTTGGGTATCGAATCCTGACGGTGTTGTCATACGACCCAGAGGCAAACATGTTTCCATCGCGATTCCAGGCCACCGTCATGACTGAGCTGGTATGGCTATGGAGAATGTGGAGGCATTGGCTCGTCTCTGCGTCCCAGATTCTCACCGTCTTGTCGTATGACGCCGAAGCGACCCGTTTGTTGCCAGGTTTCCAGTTGGGTGCGCAGGCAACTCCCCATATAAAGTCGGTATGGCCTCGAAGTGTTGTGACGCACTCGCCCGTTGACGAGTCCCAGATTTTGACAGTGTGGTCATATGATCCGGATGCAATCTCCTTTCCGTCGGACGACCAAGATACTGAGTTGACCCCAGACTCGTGGCCCTTGAGGATGAGCTCAAGGACTGGTTGGACTGGTTGGGCTGGTTCGCCGGTACTGACATCTCATATCTTGACCTTTTTGTCGGCGGACACCGAAGCGGCATGGGTCGTTGTGTTGCACCATGCCACCGAGTTGACGGCATCGGTATGGCCCTTGAGTGTTGATACACACGCTTTCGTTTCTGTATCCCAGATCTTCATCGTGTTATCGAAGGATCCTGATGCGAGCCGCTTCGCATTGCACGACCAGGACACTGACGTGGCCTAGTCCTCGTGGCCCGTGAATGTTGCGGTGGCCTCGCCTGTTTCTGGATTCCAGATCTTTGCTGAGGCATCCATCGACCCCGAAGCGAGGCGAGTTCCATCTGGGGACCAGGCTACTGCCATGACTGATTTGAAATGTCCTGTAAGTGTGCGAATGCAATCTTGCAAAACGGTATCACAGATCTTGACTGTAGCATCGGCTGATGCTGAAGCAACTCCTCCCTTTTCTGACCAGGCCACTGACCGGACGTCGGCGGTATGGCCCTCGAGCGTCATGAGAAGCTTGCCGTTCGCTGCATTCCAGACTTTGATGGTGCGGTCAAACGACGCTGACCCGAGCCTCGCTCCATCAGGGGACCAGACGACGGATGTGACTGCATCGGCATGGCCCTAGAGGGTAAGCATACACTCCTGTGAGTCTGGATACCAAATTTTGATTGTATAATCCGATGATGCAGATGCGAGTCGAGATTTGTCTGGCGACCAGGCCACCGACATGACGCTTTGTGCATGGCCACTGATTGTCGATAAACATCTGGCTGTCTTTGTATCCCAGAGCTTGATGGTGTTATCGTCAGACCCTGAGGCTACTCGCGTGTTATCCAAAGACCAGGCCACGGCGAGAAATGAGTCGGTGTGGCCTTTGAGATTCTCGATGGATGCATCCTTCTTCTTATCTTGGTCATCCATTTTTTACTTCTCTGATATTACGGTCAGTTTTTTTTTTCGTTCTTATGATGTCACTTCATTATACTTTGTCTCCTCACATGCTATTGTCTAGTAGTAGTAGAGAGGTTGATGAGAAAACTGAGTATTCGAGGTATTTGTGTTCAAATCTATAGATATTGATGCGTATTAATACTTTTTTCTGGAGTTCTAAACAGCTGCAACAATTTCGCACGTTGGCTAAGAGAGAGAGCTGCGATTCTCTTCCCATGAAAAGAATCTGATTCGTCTCGTTCAGCTGCACTACCCGCTTACATCTCGAAATGAAGATGAGGGCTGGGAACCGCGACTCCAATGCCAAACCTCAATCCATTCGCTACGGCTTCGTCGGACTCCCCAATAGGAAGAGGTTCGGTGCGGGGTTTGGTCAGTCGGATTTCTTCGCCAGAGCAACTTGGAAGGGAAAGACGATGCAGTTTGGAGGATTCGGAATCTCGCAAGACAGGACACAGCCAATGGGCATTTGAACAAGCCCTCACCTGGCAGCCGTTGGATATGCCACTATGGCAATGAATCCCTGCTCAATTTCCACCTCGCAAATGCATTCACAGATTTGCCAGCGAGACGGTACTTTTGCCAATGCCGTGGTCTCGGTCTCCGTTGGGGGCGACAAAAAATAATGATAAAACGGGCCCGTGTCGAAGAAATACATACATGGCATATGTGAGTAACAAAGTCTTCTGCTGTGTCTCTTTGAACAAGAAGCCGTTTGATGCTGTTGAAATATAAGCCTCAATAGGCCTCTGGGGCTAATCTTTTTTGTTTTCAACAGGCGTTACTAGAACCCCCCATAAGCATAGCCGAGCAAGGCAGCTTCATATAAGCCATGTTCGTTTATCAAGGACTCATCGGCTAGAAGATATCTAAGGGCACAGAATTCCTCGTTGTGGTTCTCCCTTCGAGGATCGATGTAGGAGCTCCAGTCATCGTCTTTCGCCAAAGTCTGGATGATGATTGCTAGAACCTCGGCGACCATGGCAGATTTGGCACTGTGATTGAGAGTGTCGACATTGCCGAAGATGGCAACACAGCCAGCCTTAACTGTGGAGGCTACAATTTGATGATGCTGCTTCCGCGAAATCTGCTTCCGCTATATGCCCACTTCTAAGTCAATGGAGACACGACTCAATCCACCTCATCGGTGGGCCTTGTTACGCGCAAGCATCTGACGAAAACCGAGTTCTTGAGCTGTGAACCTGTTAATTTCCATGGGCCAGTTCGGATCAACGACCAATCGCACGGCAATCGTATAGCGCTAGTTGTCTTCAACAAAACAAAAGAAGGCAGTGCCCCAGTTGCAACCCATGTCTGCATTTATCGGAAGTCCAAGGTGGCGACGACTGAAACGCCTGCCGCCTCCCAGGTATTTCGTATTGCGGAGGGACAGGAACAGCAGCAATCGGAGAATCAACAAAACGAGCAGAATGAGGGAGCCTTCTTCATCAGTGGCCAAACCCATGAATTTCAGGGATCCCTGAACAGGGCTAGAGATGCGCTGGAGCTGTCGCTTCGCAGTCGTTGCGGCTTCTCGGATGAAACACATTGGACGGCGGTGGCGATTCCGCGGTTGGACAAACACCAGCAAGCTTCCCAAAGCTGTTTTCCTTTAGCCCCAAATATGCAACGGTCACAAACAACAGCGCTGAAATGGTCAGCTGTACCGTTAAGAACAGGAATGATGCTCGAGGCGAGCTATTGACACCTGCTGGCCTCGCCCTCGCTCTGCTCGGATTACTTGCTGGAGTGCCTCAAGCCTTTTGCGCTGTGGTGGCAATCGGCGGACTCAGTCTCGCTGCCGAATCATGGAAGGACATGATGTGGATCAATGACACGAAAAACGACGAGTCAACTGCGATGCTGTTCCCTGGGGACAAGATCCGACATGTTGTGGGAGGTTGGGGGCCATTTGAAAACGACTACGATATTATAACGATGCAAAATCACGTCGAGGAACACACAAATACCTCCGGGGGTCCAGTCATACACCTTCCAAGTAACAATGCACTCCATCATCAACGCCATATACAAGGAGTGGACGGTGAAGCGCATCCGGGACAGCGGCACGTCCACGCAGATGGTCCATCTCCCTCTTGAGCTCCTACAGGAAATGGTACAGCGCCGGCTCCTGTTTATAGACGGCCTGAAGCCTTCCGGGTCTTCGAATCCGTCTAAAAGTCCGCCATTTGCCCTAGAAGAAGGCTCTGTCCTGTCGTACAACACCGCCTTCAAGTCTGGGCAGGGTATCTACGATTGCTGGTACTCCAACAGTTACTGGGGTGAACAATCCGACACCCTCTCGGAAGCCAATGAAGAGAAGAAAATTGCCATTGTCCAAGGCCCAGATTCGCATTTCAAGCCGGCCGGGTACTGTTCGACCGGTTATCACGTGCGTCATTTCGGGGAGGACCCATTCACGCCGGTGCTAGAACTCACACGCTGCTGCTATATCAAGGTACCCTCCTCGGAGAGAGAAACAGCTCGTCGCTTGATCGGCAGGGTTGACGGTTCTGCTGGCGCAATCGAGTTGATTGAAAAGAGCGAGAAGAGAGAAAAGAATACTAGGGCGTATCATCTACAGAAGGTGGCTAGAGACACCTACGATCTGTATGCTTGGGCATGGAAAAAGTCACTCACAATAAGGTCTACCGGCGGCGATAGAGTATACTTTGTGGTGAGGAAATGGTCGCCGGCGAAACGGGCGATTAGTCGAGACATTTGGACGTTTAGACGATGTCAAGTGCCTGTCTCTTGGATTAGTCGGTAGTTGCAAAATAATTAAAGGTTGGACAGAACCAACAAGATTGTGGTTGAATGAGTAGCAAGCAATTGGCGGCGATGTTTCTGCTGTGTGAAGAGAAGAATCTGCAAGATTAGGGGAACGCGAAGCTGTTGAATCCCATCAAATGGATCTTGTGGAAATGTCTGAGAGCAACTCGGAACAGCCAAGCGGGTGGATGGACAGGAAAGCAGCAACAGGGAAACAGCGACTGGAGAGATAGAGATGTTGCACGTGCACACTCGCTAGAAATATGCGCTTACGGAAATGATCGTCACACAGTGGAGCTGGATGCCCATATTTCAGAGTTTGTGTGCCCCATTTTTAAGGTCGCGGCCCCGCTTTCCGTTGCATGCACAGAAAAGGTACTTGATACCAGCGGACACAGTACATTCTCGTGTCGCAGTGCCGGTACTGGGTACATTAGCGTATGGGTGTCGCAGAGGTGCCGCTCAGCCAACCCAACCACCAAAAGGGAACGTTTGGATTCCAAAAGTCCAGTTATCGTAACAGCGCTGTAACCGTAACGAAGGCGCTGCAACGATGACAAAAGCGCGCTGTGATGATTTAAAAGGGAATTTCTGTCCACCACCCTGATATTTGGTAGGAGATATACGAAGTGAAAAAAAAAAAGGAAATAAGAAATAAAGAGAAAATATGTGAGTGAATTTTTTAAGAAGATCTCTGTAAAATGGATGTTGGCAGAGGTTTTATTTAAACCGTAAAAGAATGGGACTTGGGGTCTTTTTGCCAAGCAACTGGTGGACAGAACAAGTGAGATCGCAAAATAGATAAGTGCATACATTCAGGAATATAAGAACCCAACCAGCCAGCGCTCGAATTTTACTATATAACTATAATAACAATTACTAAATATATATAAATGTAGTAGCAGCTACTAGAGAAATGTAAATATAATAGTAAATAGTAGCAATTACTAGAGAGATGTAGACATGATAGTAAACGGTAGGAGTTACGAAAGAAATATACATATAGCAAAGAAAATATAAGTACTAGAGGTAGGTACCTAGTAGCTATAGTAGAAGATACTAAAAAGCAAAAGGCATATACCTAGGTAGTAATTTACTACGTGAGTGTTTGAAAGTACTCAGTCTGTCCTCCGCTTATCAGGTCAGCCCGCTGGGTGGTACTAGATTGGAGGCTAGGGCACGGTCACAACGGCAGAGGGGTGTGCCAGAGCGTATTTTGCATCCATGTATGCCTCCAACCCAAAATTGGGCTTCTGCATCAGATCACACCAGACGTGGTACCCCAGTATTATGACAGGCATGGGGGTGTAGTCGTGGCGTAATGCTTTATCAATTGCACGGAAGGCTGTCAGGAGGGCTGGGGGGTACCTCATTGCGAAAATATATGGGACCTCCAACACGTATCCCGAGGGTTTGTCGCCTCCTCTCAGTAGCTGCCAGACTCCCCAACAGTATCATTAAATTAAGTAAGGATGCATAAGGAAGAAGAAGAAGAGACCCAGGTCCATGACGAAGACCACCTTAAATACACACAGGCTGCCTGAGGCAGCTAGAGCCCTGTGTGGAAGGCACAGCCCAGCAGTACTGGGGTTTATGTGGTGTTGGCATAGTGCTGATAAGTACCCTTGGGTGCTAGATTAGGTACCTAGGGAATGGATTCCATTCGTGAAGCTTGATCGGGGTCACAGCTTACAACCGTAACAAGCAACTTGCTAGGTACTGTAATATGCGTTTACATGTATGCATTAGGCTCTCATAACTTGGACTGTCGTCTCTCACAACTTCGACTATCCTCTTTCACAGCTTGGACTGTCCTCTCTGCGTTATAACTGGGGTAATTTCCTCCGCCAAAGCCAGCAGCTTCTCATCTTCAAACCTTTGACCAATTAGTTGAACGGATAATGGCAGACCATGAAACTTTTCGGCATCATATAGCTTCTGAATGGACAGATCTAGGTCGTTGTAGCAATCTTCAAGTGGCATCGCAACGTCTATATTCTTGTCCGCATTCTCGTTGAGCGGTATCGCGATGCTTGTCCAATCGACAACGTTGATAATGCCAGTAAAGGCAACCCAGAGATATTTGTCAAATGGGACAGCAGTATGTGGCGCGTTGACAAACAGAATACCGTCGAGTGGTTTGCCGTCATGTAGCCAATACCTCTTCATCTGCATAGCGATGCGAGCAATCTGGAAGTTTAGCTCGTGTAGATACTCGACGGAGAGCTCTGGCTGCATTCCTTTGGGGGTCATGTTGCCCATCGCTTGGACAATGTTGGTGTGTGGTTCGGACTCGAGCAGTTTGCGCATATGAGACACGTCCATGAACTCGCCCATCTTGAAGTGTATTTCACTCGCCTTTTCGAAAGGCGGCGGGGCCAGCTCAATGACTTCGTAGCCGGCTCTCTTCAGTCTATCGTGAGCAAGACGCAGACCTCGCGCAACGGGCGGATGAAGATGCACCACGCCCGTCGTAAGCCACACGCCGATTCGAGGCTTGTCGGGAGAAGGAATCTGCATCCAAGGGTGAGGGTAAATAAACGGACTGTCGTTCCACGGCTGTGCCTCTGCCATGACTCTTGCTGCCAGCCTTGCATCTCTGACCGACCTCGCCAGAAACCCGCTGACTCCTGGCGGCCCTAGAGACGTGGTACCCATGATACCTTTGCCCAGGATTCTCTGGCCATCGATGGGAATCCTATATGCGCTTGGCTTGTATCCAACAACTCCGCACACCGCTGCCGGCATGCGCACACTTCCTGCTGCGTCTGTCCCTAGTCCTAGAGCAGAGCCGCCCATGGCCATCAGCGCGCCCTCGCCTCCCGAAGAACCGCCCGCTCCAAACTCGGCATTGTGAGGATTGGCCGTGCGTCCAAAGACAATCGAATCCGTGTCGGCGGTGAGGACAGTCTGGGGAACGGTGGTCTTGGCGATTATGACGCAGCCGGCGTTGAGCAGCATCTGCACTGCCTGGCTTGTTGATTTGGCGGGATTGAAGCACAGGGCAGTAATTCCGATGGAGCTGTCGTATCCCTTGATGTAGAATTGATCCTTGACACTGATGGGTAGGCCGTGGAGAGGGCCGACGGGCTTATTGCCGTTCTTGAACTCGGAATCTAGCCACTTGGCTCTTTCAATGGCTTCTGAGAACATGATTTCCGTCAGGCAGTTAGTTAGCTGGTGTGCAACGGCGGCACGCTTGCAAAACGATCGGACGACATCTTCAGCCGTCACTTTTCCAGCGGATATTCGCGCGAGCAATTCGGTGGCATCAGGGGCTGTGATGGCCAGATCGTGCTCTGTGAGTATTCCGCAACGAGGGAGAAAGTCTATGGGCCTAGTTACCGAGGGCCTAGCGCCAGAGGGAAGAGACCCGGCGAGACGCCATTCAGAGAGAAGAGACTCGGCGAGACGCCATTCAGAGGGGATTTTGGCGTCTCGCTCGGCCCGTTTGCGAGCAACAATGCCCTGCCACATTGGTTGAGGAGGCATGGCTGGATGGAGCTGGAGGAGGTGGTAAAAGGCGAAAGTTTTGGATCAAAATCGCGGTGTGTTGCTTTTAAAGAGAGCCCGACAAATTAATAGCCTACCAAGCGGAGGTCAGAAAAGGCGAGACCGCAAAATGACCAAGTGCATACGTTTAGTAATATAAGCATTTAATCAGCTCACGAAGTTGTCCTTTTATAGAAGAACGCAGATGCAGCCCGCATCCGAATATATTATACTGATATAGTCGCAGTTCTGTAATTTTTCTTTAAAAAATAGCAGTTGCTAGAGAAATATAGATATAGTAGCAGCTACTAAAGGAATCTAGATATAATAGCAGCTACTAAAGGAATCTAGACATAATAGCAGATACTTAAAGAGCAGTTGTATAATTTAACGCGTGGGTGTTCGTAATCTTCTCGGTCTCGGGTTTTCTGTCCTCCGCTTGCCAAGGTACCTACAGTGGGTGTCCAAAAGTAACGGTAACGATCCAACCCCAAATTCCCATATAAACACACCTCACACAATTTAATAGTAAAACACTCCACATTTTAATATAATATACCCTGGAGCGCCAATGGTGTTTCTGGTGACGGGTCTAGTGATGAATTTCTAGTCAGAAATTATTTTGCCGAATTGGCTGCCTTGCAAGTCCAAACGAGCAAAAATCGTTTTGACAGATCAGCCTCATTATGACTTGTTATGGCTTTTTTGACTAGATAGATGCTACGGTACTGAGTGGCTGATAGGACCATTATCTCGGATTCTTCGTATCCGACCATCCGTCCCCGTCTATGAAAGTCCAACAACTCCAACTTGGAGGTAAGTTGGCTTCTCCTCGATCCTCTTCCGCCATTCCTCGCTCTGCAGCTCATTCACGTCCCATGCTGCCCAAGTAAATCGTCCGTGCAGAAATTTGGCCTCGTCAGAAGCCGCCCAGACGGCGTAATTTCCTGGTAGGGTTTCTGCAAATATAGTCGTCAGCACCTATATAAAACCTCACGTAACAGAAATAAAGGAAATCTTGGAGAAACTGCCATACCATCATCCCAAGCCACAGCCTCCTTCGGAACGCCGCTTTTCTTTACACTGTCCGTGTAAATTCCTCCGGGATGGAAGCTCAAGATTTGCATATCATCGGCATCAATCGTCTGAGCATACATCTGCACCAGCAGAGTTCCCGCATTCTTGGACGCGCAGTAGGCAGGAAAGGCTTTGACAAATTCAAAATCGTGAATGGCCATGGTTGAGAGGTTGATGAGATACTGCGAACCCTCACGTTAGTACGCATTCCCAAATATTTCTGCATCTCGAAATCAAGCAGACGTACCAGCTTTCGACCTGCTTCTCGCTTCTTCTGGTGGTAGAATCGGTCAATGAGATCCATGTTGGCGCCCACGTTGGTTGTCCAGCTAGGCCACGCTTCGTCGAATTCCAGATCAATCATTTTAGACTGCCTGTACGTGACGAAAGCAGCATTCAAGATCAAGACGTCGACAACAATCCCATCGGCATCGAGCTGTGCCCAGGCCTTTTCCGTTGCTGGGCGATCAGAAGCATCGAGGACCTGGCCGATGAACTTGGTCTTTGGGTGATTCTTCGAGAGAGTTTCGACGGCTTCGTTCAGAGCACCTTGGCGGCGACCAGTAAGGATAACGGTGGCAGCTTGAGCTTCACCAAAGGCGTTGCAGATGGCAAGACCGATTCCCGCAGAGCCTCCAGTGACGTAGATGACACGGCCTTGTTGGGAGAGCTCTGGACGGGTCGCTAGAATGGCTGGATACGCCGAATTGTGGGAGGTCTTTGCGACTGAAGGGTTTTGGAGAAGAGCCATGGCTGCAGTTGAACTTGATAATTGCTTCAAAAAGGACGGATTCGGTACTATGATGTGATTGTTGATGTTGATAGAAGATGGTTGCAGGATGGATCGAGGTAATTCACCATCACAGCAAGCAGCAGTGATGATATTTATACATCAACTTCGTCCATCAAGGCACCATGAATCGGATCGGAGTACTAGCTGCGGACCAATCCCCATGGAATGTATTTCCCAAACAGGACAAGAGATCCTCGATGTTTAACCCACCGTACGCCGATTTTAGACATTGGTCTTCCCTGTCACGCTGCAATACGCCGCTATACGCTCTTTCGCAAAGTAGGCTAATTTCTACCGCGTCCGCGCCAACATCTTATAACTCTATTTTGACTTCCACTGGTTTATGTACAATGGTAATCGAGAGTCTAGCGATTCTATCGAGAAAAGATTCCATTCATCATCCATCATCGCTAGGCAAATATCCTCACTTACTACCTATACAATGAGTGGCAGGCAAATTGTAACCCACGTATCAACCCACCCTCCCCTCCCCAAATCTAATTCCGCAACTGTCATTCGGCGGAGCGCCGTCCATCAAAGTGTCAGCCATCGTATTGCTATTTCTGCGGAAAACCGCCCATCGGAGTTTCTTCCCATCGGAATAGTCGCCCTGGATAGCCGTAGCTGAATATTGATTTGATTCGATATCCTCGCCTTGTCGACCGGGGGTCGATGCCTTTTGCCCGTTGTGGCTCTGGCGGATCTTTTGCGGGAGTTTGAATCGCGTTATACCGCCCTGACTCTCGAACAGCGGGTCAACTAGCTTCACAGCAACACGAATGACATTGGATTCAAAGAAGGTAAAAAATAATAAAATGGAAAAATACGTCTAAATCCATGAGTAAGAGAGAGCCGATGGTATGATTTCTTTGGATGCGCGTAACTAAGGCGATGTTGCGGCTTCGGCGTATTGACCACTGACAAACAAACAGAGCCACAGCAGTCAAGAGAAAACAGCATCAAAACCTCGACAGTCCATAATTCAAAAATCCGATATCGCCAAGGCGGCAAGATCGATCTCAGTCCCAAACCACTTATCCCAGCGCCAAATCTTTAGTCGCGCGAGGCCATCGCTCGTCTTACAATGAACATGACGCCACGGATCTTCCTTAGTCGGAGTTCCGCAAATGTTCCGCCGGATTATAAACCGTCAAACCAGCGGCATCTCCTTTTCCCCGACTCCCATCTGAGCCTCATCAAAGTCCCGTCCCCTAGGTACATACCGGTACGTGTACTATACTCTCTGCAACTGCAGCATATTCTAAATCTTCCGCATATCGATTGTCTAATCCTAACAAATCATCCGCAGCCATGGATTCTTCTTTGATAAGCAAAGACTCCAGTCCTAACTCCGATCGGATTCCCGCATTGCGGCGAAGAGCCTGCATTCCCTGCACCAGTTCAAAGCGCCGCTGCGACATGGCCCGCCCGTCCTGCGAACGATGCTTGGACAAACAGGTCGCGTGTCGATACTCGGCGGCTCGTCTCTATGCTCGGCGAGGCATTCAATCAAAGCCCAGCGGAGTTACGGAGCCGGAAGCATCGCTCAACTCTCCCTTCTCCGCATTGTTCGAGAGTGGCGACGATGAGTGTGATGGAAGTTATAATGGCGGAAACCACCATAGGAGTGACGACGCCACCAATTCTTTCGATCCAGCCCCTTGGTTTCTCCAGGCTGAGCACTGGGTCATCCACTACCATGAGGATCTTCCAAGCCCGCCGCCTTACGTCCGCAGCACAGCCGTACGGCAGTACATTCTCTGCGTGAAGAAATGGCTTCAACAGTGGGTTGAGACCGGCCATTGCCCCATGATACACAAGTCTCTATTCGCCGACACGAAGCTGCCGCCATGTCTTCAAGATGCATATGCCGCTCTGGCGGTGTACAGTCTCAAAAACGACCAAAACGAGCATGTCGTAATGCAGCACATCGAGGACAAGGCCAATTCACTGCTTGAAGAGCATTGTGCCCATCAGGAGCTCCTCATTGATCCCTTTGTCGCCCCATGTCCCCTCACAACCGTTCAACATCTCGCCAGGGTTCTGTCCTTGATCATCTACCAGTTCATCCGTCTATTTGACGGCAACATCCGTCATCGGGCCCAGGCTGAGAAATACATTCCATTGTTGAAATCATGGACTTGTCAGCTTTGGAGCTCGGTCAACATCGACGTTACCGTTCAAAACACGTTCGGCGGCGATTACCTCGTCACTCAAGAAAACGCCGACGCAACCGTCAAGCTGTGGCGGACCTGGCTCCTGATGGAGAGTGTACGTCGCGCCTGGAAAGTGAGCGCCTACATGAGGTGCATCTACTACGTCTTTCGCGATGGAACTGCACCGTGCGAGGGCACCATTGATTTCACAGCTCGGCGGGGGCTGTGGGATGCTACTTCTGCCGCGGTTTGGAGACGCTTGCTCGAACAAAAGGACCCTTTGTTTGCTGTGCCGTTTGCATCTTCTTGGCTGCTTGACGCCACGACTCCCAAGGATATTGATGCCTTTGGGTTGGCTACTATGAGTATCTCGATGGATTCAGACAAGTTGGATTCGTGGATTGCCCATTCTTCGGCTATGCATTTGGAGGGTTTATTAATGGCTACATGATTAAGGGTTTTTGTCTCGATATGAGATGTACGAAGCAGCTGACAACTGACTATAGACATGGAAGGGGAGATGGTAGCAAGAAAACAGAAACAAGATTAGAAAATGGGCATACCAACTAATGCATGAATGGTTCAACCTGATCCAGGCACCAGTCATACCAAATCTTTCCCAAGCCAGTTCCTCCTTCTTTCGTACTTCGCGATCCCTTCTCGATGTCTTCTCTAATCTTCGCAAATCTTCCCCACGGTATCGCTGTTGCGGGAACCCCATTAGCTCATGCAACTTCAAAAGTTCAACGTCGCGGATTCTTACCATAACTTCCCGACTTGTCTGCCGTCACTTGTGGAGAGAGGCCACAGAATAGCTCAGAGTATGCACCATTGATTGCGGGAAACAAAATGACTTTCTGGTTTATTTTGTGAACGAAACCCTGCCCGCCATATCTCTGAAGGTCTGATCTGAGGTTTCCAGGGTTCACAGCCTGTTTGCTCGTCAGTACATACTCGTCCGATTTGGTACTATGTACATTTAGCTTACCAGACTAATGATTCCCTTGTCCTTGTATCGTTTCGCGTACTCTGCTGCCTGATAGTATACGCCCGCCTTGCTCACAGAGTACTTGTAATAGGTACTCTCCTCCTTTTTCGTAAATCCCATGTTCTCGGGATCAAATCCTCCCTTTGGTGAGCCCATTTCCGAGTACAGAGAGCTCACCCAGACAACTCGCACCGTGTTGGCAGAGCTCGCAGGATAGCTCGCCGCAGTTGTAGCAAGCAACGGCGTCAGAAGCTCTGTAAACAGCAAATGACCGAGATTGTTCACGCCCAGTTGGAGTTCGTATCCCTGCTTTGTCGTTGATCCTTGTGGCGGATGCATCACGCCCGCATTATTGAACAAGACATCAAGCTTAGACTCCCTCGTGATGAACTCTTTAGCCGACCTTGCAACGGCTCTCAAGTCGGACAGGTCGAGAGCAAGAAACTCGAGGCGACCGGTGGAAGTCGGAAAGGCGGCGCGAATATCTTGAATGGCTTCAGTGGCTTTGGCTTCGCTTCGGGCCGCGACATAGACGGCTGCCCCTTTGGAATAAAGGATTTGTGCGAGTTCTTTGCCGACGCCGGTATTGGAGCCGGTAACGATGTAGATCTATGTTATACATCAGCTATTGGGTCGATATAGAGAATCTCGTCAGAGTCTGATACCTTTCCGGACAAGTCTCCCAGATTCTGCTCTGTAAAGGCAGGCTTTGGTGGCCACATCTGAGTTATGATGCCGCCCATGATGTTGATAGTCGTTTCCCCTAGCAAATGATGGATAACAAATGATGTAGAGGTGGTTACTGGAGACGGACATTCGAGACGATTCTTGGCTCAACAAGTCCTTATATATATGCCAAACACTCCTTTTCCATCTCGAGAATATCTATCAATGCAAGTGGAATTCGGGAAGCTAACCGGCTTTTTTGTCCGATCATTTCTGCGGCGATTCCGTCTGCCGGTGAAGCCCCAGCCACGGCATTCGGGCAGCCACGCGATTATCTCCACTACCCATGATCCTATATCTTGGTTTTCGAAGTGAATAGATGGTCAAAGTTCGAGGCTAGCTGACATTTAGATGCTTGAGTATCCGATTGTAGAATAAATGGCTGACACCTAGCTCCTGGACCTCGGGATTGCGGCGGCCGCTTCTGCGCTAACGAGCGGCCGCTCTCTGACAACGGCGCGTTTGCCTCATTTTGCTTCTTATCAGTTGCTCTGGACGAAACATGGTTCTCTGTGACAGTGATTTGTGCATGTATTTGCCGTTTTTCAATCCGTTGCATCATGTTTGAGGGCTTTTTTCGAATCTTGTTTCACCGAGGGACATGAGCATTATTGAAGGCTTACTTCAAGTGCCTTGTCTGGCTCCCGTTAACTCGAAACCTTGTGCTTGGATGTCGAATGCCGATTGAACGATTCAACTAGGTATGTTATTCAGCTAGAATGGCGATAGCCGTCATGTCATATTTCTCCGCACTCCCTCTTCGAAGGAATTAGTTGCGCGTCGTCGTCCGCGGGCACGCGTTTCTTTAGAATAGGTCTATCGAATACGGTATTCCACTGTCTAGTCACCTGTCAGTCCATCAAGACGTGGTTCACATTGCAAAGCATGATGGCCTCAGTTGTAGCAGAGCTCCACGGTTGAAGAATGGCATTGAGGAGCGGGAGCGTACCAAGAAGAAATAATCCCCCGCCTGCTGCTTGGACATATTTGCCATTGCACCAGACACTGTGGATGACGGGGCTTTCGTCTATGTGTTTGAACTCAACGTTCTTGATGAAGATTGCATTTGAGCTGGATTCAACTCCCTCGCTAGTGCGCTGCCACCTTTTCCAGAGCTATAGCTGCATCCTTTTCTCTTCCTACGTAACCAGCCATTATCATAGCCTCCAGTTCTTCCGTTTTTATATCTGCCTTGGCCACTAGATCGGCCATTTTGCGTGGTTGTAGTCGGTTTCTTATCCCCTTTAGCCATCGTGGCTGTTTGGCGTAGACTTCGGTTGGCCGTTGACTTGTCTTGTAGTAGTTGTTGCAGGGGCTCGTTGCTTTTGTGGTGGGATGTCTCGTTGGGTGGTCTTTTGATCTTGAAAGGGTTGCGCTATAGATTTATTGTAGATTTTGACCCAAGCGTAGCCTTGCTCTGACTTCGCTATTTCAGCTTTACTGATCCTCTTGATAATAAACATAACATCTATATCGACCATCTTAACCTCAATAGCCTCTCTGCGCTCGGTCAAGTCAATAATCTCCGTTAGACATTGCAACATTCTTTGTGTTCTATAAAGATTTTAGTCGATAGTTGCAGAAAAGGTCAAGTAATTCGTTGCCGTCGACGCTGCAAGTCTTCAAGCCAAGCACTAGCCCTTGCCTGGATTTCTGCCAGGGCAACACTATACTTTTCGCTCACTGCTCTGCTGCTCTCATCTCGATCTTTCGTAAGCTGCTTGATGTTAGCCTCTACACGCCTTAGCTGAAAAGAGAAATATAGATAAAAAGACCTTGTAGAGTGATAGAAAGATAAAAAGCACCTTGAAAAGAAAGTTAAATAGTACGTGAAATTGTTTAGATGGACGACAGGTTTGTGCGTGTATTTGCCGATTTTCATCTCGGTTCATCATATTGGGGGTTCTTTTTTCGAGTTTTATTGCCAAATCCATGAACATTACTGAGAGCTTCGTTCATGTGTGGCTCCCATTCATCTGAAAGCTTGTACTTCCATGGATATTGTCAGTTGTCATGCAACTTTCTTGCGCACGTATTTTTCGAAGAATCTAGCAGCGTGTCCTCTACAGTACCCCCCGTTCCAATAGGAATAGAAGGATACTCCTTCTCTCTCTTGTGGGTATCGGCAATCTCGTGCCAAAGGCCTAGAATATGATCAACTTCGTGTGCCAAGATGTTAGCTGGGACGTCTTCCATGGGAACAGAGTTGGGCTCAGTTTGCGCGGACGTGTTAGGTGTGGGACTCCATTGTCTAGTTGTCACGTTAGTTTGTCAATTCATAGTGCATATTGAAAAGAATGACTGCATCACAGTCTTGATAGGGCATGCAAAAAAAGAATGGTTATGAAGAGAAGGCATAGTGAAAAGGAAAATACACAAAGAGACAGGGAGACATAAATCCAAATTTGCTGGTAGAAACCTGCTGAGAAATCCTTGCAGAGCTCTATGTTGCCTGCTTTGGTACCGCCATATGCGGTAAACAATGCGTTCCTGGTTATCAGGTTGGACTTGTTCATGAAGACTGACGATCTTATCTTCTTCCAATTCCACATGGATTTCTACACGGATACTCCAACGCCAGAGGGTAATAATCGCCGCAACGCAATTGTCTTCTCGGACAATTGCCCATACCTTCCGCAAGGAACGGGGGTGAATATCTTATGGAAAAAAGTAGAGACTACCACTCACTCATGAAGTAGGAGTCCCCGGTACTGCGATAGGAGCCTTAAACCCCCTCCGGGACGTTGTTGACAGCGACGGCGATATAGAGAAGTAAGACTTATCCATGATCAAAGAGCTTATGACATTCATCACCTCGGCACTTGGATAGGGGTTGAACAAAGCTTGACATGAGTAGTGACCGGTTACTGCTAAGAGATCAGCATTTCTGTATTCCCAGAAGGGCTGATAATCTTTCTTACAAGATTTTTCTTTCAGAAGTCACCTGGGACCCTGATGGGGCTAATATTGAAGGTGCCGTTTTCAGGCTCGGGCCTAGACTAATCGAAACTCTTACCATGCGCCATACTCCTTTTGGTCTCTGCCTATTACTTAGCCCACTTGCTGGTTCACAGAGCCAGATTGCTGAAATCGTGCATTCAGAGACGCCTGCTTGAGAGCCTGAAAGGCTTGATGCTGATACCACCACACAAGAGGGTCCTTCGCTTGCGCGTGAAATTCGGCAAGCTCCCGGGCGCTAAGCCTCGATCGCAAATGCATTCGAGTGCTGACTCTCTGCCGTTCTGTAGATCGATTCATCAACTTGGTTGCAAGTTCGTTTACCTTGGTCCTATCATCGGGCCCCAGCCTTGCCATTTCAATTGAGCTTGAGAATGTCGGCCTATTAGGAGTAGAAGCACCCTCAATGCCCACAACCTGTTGATTGGGTTTTGCCATAAGGGAGTTATGACTATTATAAAGCTGATCCTTAGTGATCGACATCAGTGGCTCTCCCCTCTGCCCCGATTCTTCACTTCGTAGTAGCTGGTGTTGGAGAAAATGAATATGGGCTTGCTGTATATCAATCCTCCGAGATAAAGCGAGGCTATCTGCCTCAGAAAGACCGTAGACAAGAGACAGCCTTTCTGCCAGATTCTCCATGTCGGACAAATCCCCGGGACTCAATCTCAGTGCTGTTTCCAGAACTAGTCGGTCTACCGTAGACGGACCAATTTTGAAGTCAATATCTACCAACTGAATCTGTTTATATCGGCCGATATCGTCCTCTGGATATTGAGGCTTTGGTGGCCTAGGTCCTTGAAACCGAGTTGGGGGATCTTTTGTTGAAACCTCTACTCGGTTTGCCTGAATGCTGGGTGAATCACTACTGATCTGGATGTCTTGAGTCTCTTCGATTCGCCTGAAATCTAATGAGCATCGACGACTGTGGTACCGTTTGCATTAGTATTCAATCTATCGAGAATTTGTTGGCTCAAAGGTAATATAAAAAGGTGATGCTCTCAAAAGCCCCCCATGCCATACCATTGAACTTGATCGGATTGAAGGCCGAGATTCATAAAGCCACAGGATGGGCATTTTGTGGAGCTATGGTTTTGCCTTCGGAATATCATTCGCATATTAAGAATTTGATTTGGCTATTTAGCTAGGTCAGCAGTTTGCGACTATTCGAGAGCATGAGTAGGTGACCTTGATGACAGTTTGCCAATCTTTGGACAGATCAAGGCGATGTCCATTGTGCTGATACTCGAGAGTCCATTCGCCCCGCTCTATCTTGTTGGTTCCCAAATCCTTAAATCTATGTTTGAGGATCTCGACAAAAAGCTAAGAGGGATATAAGTATACAGCAGTGGCAGATATATAAGAAAGTGAGAAGCACAATACCTCTTTCGAGTCAACTGTTTCCAGGTGAAAGGGTAAATAGCAACCCCTGGAGTCGATAACAACCACTAGGCTAAGTGGTAATTGCTGGCAGAGCTATTGCTGAAACAAGAAAGATCTTGATCGTTGTAGCTGATGTGTTTTCCATTGTGAACCTGTTGCAAGCCATGGGGCAAGGGCTGTTTCGGGCTCTATATACTGCCAGTCAGTACGCGTTGTCAACTGCAGATATAAGAGTTCGTTTTACCAGCTGAGTATGAATCATTAGACTTCTGGAACGGCTCCATCACAGCCACTGGTATTCCTTCAATCAGTAATTCTTTGGCGTAAGCTGCCGCGGTCGCTGCTGCGTACTCTTGCCATTGCTTATTCTTGTGAGAATCTGAGTAGTCGCAGATTCCTCGGATTACCAAGCATGGCAAAACATCGACTAGGCCAGCTGCTTCCATTTCGAAGCATATGGCATTTAGCTCCTGGGCTATTTCATCTCGTGAGATGGCGTCTTTCATCACCTGGTTGCCAGAGGCAACATTGCCGTGGTGAATGACTGGGTGATTGTCCGCTCGAGGAACTCGGTAGACTAACATGGACGTATCACAGCCATCGCAAGTAGCCATTTCTGGGCTGTGATGGTAGGTAGCGAGAAAGAGCCTGTCTTGTGATGAGCTCGGATAAGTATATTTGGTCATTTTCGGATGCTTCATTATCATTTGTTGAAGGAAACCTGGTACTCTGCTCGTCTTAGACTCGTGAATTGCCTTCAGTTTGTTCACAGCGGCCAAGAGGTTAGAAGGAGGGCTTTTTGGTGTTCCGGTTCGATGGACTCGAGAGCCTTGGATGACTTTACCAAGGTCGTGCTGGACCACATTGTAACCGACGACGATGTCACCGAGGCGCACATCGACACTGTCAAGCACTCCGCCGCCGATTCCCACCATCAAGCCGAATCGAATAGAGGGAAAAGTGCGGATCAAGTTGTTGGCCACGACTGCTGCGGAGTTTGTGCCATAGTGGTTTGCTGGGAGGCACGCCAATACAATATTGTGCCGGCCAATATTGCCCAATATGTAAGAGTCGGAATCCTTCGCATTCGAAGGCAAGCTTGGATGAATTCCGTCAAGCATCGCGTTCGCAGCGGCCATTTCGATAGAGAGGGCGCAAATCCAGGCGATTGTGTAGCTCTCATTTTGTAGTTTAACGGTGCTTTCTTCGATCCTTGGTCGTTTGAAAGCTTGTACCAATGGAACTTCATCATTATCGTTAAGCCGAGTCCTCTTGCGTGATCTGGAGCTGTCGGTGTCCATTTCTCTGATGAATATTTGGACCTTGGGTGATGGTTGGTAGCAGTTCAAAGGATTTAGAAGACGAACCTGAGGCGATAAAGAAAAGTACAAGGAACTACCGATTGTGTGTCAGGCAAGGCCGGCCCATCAACGTTGACAGCTGAATCACCTGCACAGCCACATCCACGTCAGGCACTGATATTGATTTAGGCGCCAGGCTGTCTGTCGCACGAGTGCAGGAGAATACGTTTTTTCCCGAGGATTTGCAAAGCGAGCTACATGCAGAATTGCCTTGATATCCCAGATGTGACGAAATGATATCTATCGAGGTAGTTTGGATGCGGTTTCCAGGTGAGAAGTCCCCAAGCTCTAGGTGTATGTCGACAAGCAGTCAAAATCGGCGATTAATCAATGCGACATCGTCCATCCAATAGCAGTGAAGGGATTGCTGGGGCCCTGATATCGGTAGATTGTAAGTTAACTGTTCACAACTGGCAATCCAAGCCATCCAAAAGATTATAGAGGGGTACATACATGTAGTTGGCTTGCTGTTCACTGTACTGAGCGTGAACACTCTCTTTTGAGTGTCCATTCACTTGACAATTACAATGGCTCGTGTAAACGCTTTGACGATCAGCTGGCGGGGGTCTGTGTATGGCACATACCCTGCAGCCTTGTTGCTGCGGCTATCGAATTCGGAGCTCGTAACACCATCACATGCGGAGGAATTCGACTGCAAATCAAATTAGTAGCCAAAGAAGGGAAAATTATCTGAACCTTACCGAGATAGCAACACTTTGCCGGCTGCGAGACAACTTGCGGTTGTTCTAAATCGAGGTTTTGAGATAGACTATGGTCAACGACAAGCCACTTTCAATACAGTAAATCAAAAGAAAATGTACAATGACGTGTTTCTTTCAGTGTGACAATGACTTGGAATTCAAATAAGGCCCATACAAACTAAACCTATCTCAATTCGTGCTTGGCTGGTTTCGGAGAGGCTGGCGGTTCGTTTCTGCATTTCACCATGTATCACTTGTCGACACAATAACGGCCGATGCTATCCGCCAGCTGCACTAAGGCGAGTAGTGGTAAATCAAGCACACAAAGAGCTGCCAATAGATGATACCAGGGCCACGGAATCTCTCAGATTGATTTCATGGGGATGAAGGAAACCTACTATTAGCCGTAAAGCATCTCAAAATGTCGATATGGGCTCCAGATCAAACACCAAACACCTACACCACCTTTTCCTGCACAACGCCAGAACTGTTCTCTACTATACCTGCCCATCTACGGAGAGCATACCATCAGGTATCATTGATGTCATACAATCACTGCACAGGAGAAGGCCAAACTGGCCACTGATACTTCAATCTTTCCCTACAACCTGCCCCAGCACAAGAAATCGCATGCCAAGGATCCGCAGCAGACACACACTCGGCAAAACCAATCCACTTTCCCTCCAGAAGCAATTATTTCACCGCTCCTGACTCTGCAAAACTTGCTCAGTTGTATCAATACGCGAAGAGCGGGTGAATGAGCGAGCAACAAATAAGAATACGGGGAGGAGGCTGCACGGATGCCTGGGGCAACCTCCCCATCAGCCAGTGAATGACGAGTTCGTCTGATGTCAAGGCGCACTTTCCAAGCAAACGAGTCTCCAGAAGGTAGGTCAGTTAGCGAAGAGGACGCGCGGCCTGTTTCCCTCCCTCCTCTCCCCCTCGAGGGTATACCTTGACTTTCTCATCTTCTCTGGAACTTTTCTTCTCTCATCATCATCATCTTCTCTCTTCAAGCAGTTTTCTGTGGCCTCTGGCGAGGGTCTCGTCCTCTCCGAAGCTTTTCTTCTCCTGTATTCTCCTTATCCTTCTCTTAAGCAGCTTTCTCTCTTCAAGCAGCTTTCTCTCTTCAAGCAGCTTTCTCTGGTCTCTGGTGAGGTTCTCGTCTTCTCTAGCCGCTTTCTTCTTTTATCGTCTTTTCTCTCTATAAGCAGTTTCTCCTAACCTCTGGCCAGGTCCTCGTCTTCTCTGAAACTTTTCTCCACTCATCGTCTCCTCTCAACTTCTTCTCTCCCTCCAAGCAGCTCGCTCCCTCCAAGCATCTCGCCATCTCCAAGCAGCTTTCTCTCGTCTCTGGTGAGGTTCTTGTATTCCCTGGAACTTTTCTTCTCTGACCATCATTTTCTCTCTCCAAGCAGTTTTCCCTGGCCTCTGGCGAGCTTGGCAAAGCGATAGAAGACTTGAATCCATCGCAGCCCATGGAAGCTGCCGGACGATGCTGGGTGGCAGAGACGGTAGGTCTTTCCCCTTTCCCTTCTCGTCTCTATCAGAACCAGTCGTGGAGCCCATACTGACAACTGAGCAAGGACGCCTGCTGCACGTCACAATCTGCGGTGAAAACTTGACAGACACTGTCTATTGTGGCCATTTACCCTCACTTTGAGAGCCCACCTCCTGGCCTTTCTCTGTTAGTTGGCCTTCCACGCTGTTGAGATGCTTGTGTTGATTTGGCCATCTGACAACTTGAAATAGGCACCATCTTCCATTTCAGGTCACTTTATAGGCATGCCTTGATCTTACTTTATGAGTCACACGACGGAAGCTTCGACTGATCAAATGTCGGTGACAGTTGTGAACATGACACCATGTCTATCGAGGCACCGACTAGTCAACATCGTTGATTTTGGTCATCTTTGCTCATCGACTTGTCTCACTGTTTGGAGCTTGTCTTCTCCGAACCACTCTCACCCTACACTTGACCATGCATCCAACGCTTGCTAGGGTCGAGGTCTCCTGAGTTGTGGCATCATTTGTCAGTTGCTCACGGGGAGAAACATCCAACGCGAGTTACGCAAGCGTCTGTTGAGGTACTCCAAGCTCGCAAAGCATCGTCACACTCCTTCATCATTGCTGACAAATACCCCCCTCTTTTAGCAGCCGGCCGACAAGTTGCACAGAGACAGGACATCCTTCGATGCCTCATCCTTCGATGCCTCATTATTTATATCTCGGGGGAATCTGTTGCTGGTCGGCCCTAGCCCAAGGACAGAAGCTATCCAGGCGGAGATTTCGATGTCAGAATGCGGCGAAATCCGACCTAACTCAGCAGACGGCGGTCGTTGGTAAGTAGATACACTGTCCTCCTGCTCGAGACAATATTCTCATGTCACGACTGCCATAGATGCGAGATGCCCCAACAAGTCACGGATTTCTCATTCGTCAGCCGTTTGGCCGGGCATGAGGGGATCGATGATGCATCTAGTGTGGTAAGAGATGTATTGGCTCTTTGAACTCAAACCAAACCAACCAACAATCTCAAAAAAAAGATGATTCGCCGTGACATGGACACGAGCATAATCTCCATCCTCGTCTCCATCCTCCCTTGGAAAAGACACTGGCTGCACATCATCTCCTACATATTCTTCAGTTTAAACATCCTGCTCTTCACCATCTTCTGCATCATCTCGCTACTACTACATACGGTCTATCCCAAGACTTGGATGGTCGAGATTTCACATCCCACGCAGTCTTCCTTCCCAGGATGCTTCTCCATGGGGTTTGCTTGCTGTCAAGATCCTCTACATGCTCCCTGACAAACGGGCTGAAGCCCAACGAGAGATAACCTCCCAAATCTCCGACTTTGCCATCCTCTTGTCCTCCATGGCAGCCGACATGGACTAGCTGTACGCAAACATGCCATATCACGGGCACGAGGAGGTTGATGACGCGAGTTTGGCAGGAAGTGTATTGACGCTGAGGCCCCTTGCTGTCAAGGTCCCGAAACTCTTTGCCAGACACATTGAGACGCTCTTTGTTTGCGCGGCGACGCAGGCTACAAAATCATGGAAGAGAGGCTGGCAAAGCGCCTCAAAGCCACGCCGCTCGCTTTGTCTGTTCAGGCTACCTCATTTGTGTCGCCGCTGCCAATATTGCAGCCAGTACCATCGCCTCTTCCAATACTCCTACAACCAGATCCCCCCGGCCAGACCATTACCGACCACCCAATCTTCATCGCTGACCTCATTGACGGCACATCCAACTTCGTCCACGGCTTCCTCGACGTCACCGTCTCCATCACCGTCGCCGTAGGCAGAGTGACCACAGCGGGCGTCGTCTACAACCCTCTTCCGCGACGAGCTTGACAGCCGTCACAGCGCTACATCTCTCTCACTTCGCGTCCTCGCTTCAGCTGCTGCTTGCCACTTATAAGGTGATATCGCGCATAATCCATTTCTTTTTCTGCTTTTGAGGCCACGCGTCACGCGCCAGGTTTTTGTGCCTCTTCGCCCTCCTACGCAGGCTCTCGCAGAGCGTGTTTTTGGTTACCACCACCTTACAACACGATATTCTTCTCGAGCCGACATACTTTGTCCCGACCTTTCTTCTTGTCAGACATCATTATCACTACGACGTCTGACGGTCTCGATGCCGTAGAGGCCGGTCCTTCTGTCGCCGCCCCGGGAGATGAAGGAACTGACACCGAGGAACCTCTGGTCCACCACCAAGGGCCACGGCGCACATCCTACCACACAAGTCAGCACCACCGCCACCACCGACCACATCTCTAATAACAATCATACGAAGCACTTCTCCCCCAACTATCCTTTCAAGGCCTCTTCTACGAATGGATCCCCCTGTACAAGCTCGAAGAATACTATCACCTAGACTTGAAGAAGAATCAACCTCTCAAGATCCACATGCTCCCAAAGGAGTCACCTTCTGTTCATGGGAGCTTTCGCTGCTATACCTGGAACGAGGTCATCAATTTCCCTTGGTTGTTCGTGCACCGTTTGACCCGGCTTATAAAGACCAAAAAAATGAGACCAAGACTTCTTCCATCCCTGTGCTTTCTGCGGCTTGACTTGGATAATTTTTCAGATCCTCTACTGCCATTTTCCGAATTTCAACTTCGCGAAGTCATATACCACGAGTTAGGATATGCCCTGAAGGAACTTCAAGTAAATGGAATACCATTCGACGATGTGGATATCAAGGTTTCTGCTGAGCTCAGTTGTCTGGTGAAGGACGAAGGCCTCTATCTGGATGCATCTACAGCTTTCATCACCCACCCCGGAAGTCCGCAGAGCCTCTCGGAAGATAAGTCCAGGACCAAATGGCAACCAGACAGTGGTAAACAATGATACCAAGGGCCCGCTGCTCCCATTGAAGAGGCTCATTCTGGGCTTCTCCGTCGTCCAGTATGTCATCGAGTCTCTGCTCAACTACCGTATCCTCCAGCTGCATAACTACCCCCGTCATCCTCGCCAAAAAAAAGTCAACCAAGAGACTTTTGACAAGTCACAAGCCTATGGTCGTGCTAAAGCTCAGTTCTCCGGCATCAGCGGCCTCTGGGGCCAGATACTCAACTTCGTCTTTGTCTATTTCGAAGTCATGTCTAAGCTGTGGTCCTGGACCGGCGACCTGCTTCTCAAGTATGCGCCAGCGCCCTTCACCGGCTAAATCTCGCGCTCGATTGTCTTCGTCTGTATTTTTATACTCCTGTCCCAGGCAACTATTCGTCCAAAGCCGCTTTACAGCCAATGGGGAAGGGGCGGCGACCAAGAATCAGAAAACCCACCAAGGGCCTCGGCACAGCCAGAACATCTTCAGGCAGGCATGGGCGGTTGATGACGCACCGAGGTAGCAGGAGGTATAGTGATGCCGAGGCTACCTTGCTGCTGAAATCCCCTACGAGCCGCCGGACACAGATATGAGCTCTGCTCCGGGAATCTCCAGCTGGTGTGGATGGACACGGGGAGGTTGATGACGCACCGAGGCGGCAGGAGGTATAATGATGCCGAGGCCCCTTGCTGCTGAAATCCTCCCGTTCCAGAATAAATCATTTGCCTCCCGACGAGCTTTATGACTTGACCCCGAAGAAAGCTGCTGCGCCAACGCATACAGATACCGAATGGTTTGGACGGGCACAGGGAGGTTGATGACGCACCGAGGCGGCATGAGGTATAATGATGCCGAGGCCCCTTGCTGTTGAAATTCCCCTGCTGTTCGTCTGAACCTTTCGGTATCTGCAGAACAAGACCGGCAATCGTGCACCCCGATAAAAGCAGTTGATTTTTCTGAAACTGCGTCCACTATTCATCGCAGCTCCTCTTTCGTAGGGGCTAATGAACACAACGATATCTGTAACTTTGACGACAGCCCATCAGATAGCAGCCCTGTTCCAGAAACATCCAAGGAGATGCCAACCGTATCGTTGGATCATTTACCTCCAGACGAACTTTACGACTTGACTCCCAAGAAGGCTGTTGCACAAACACACATGGATGCCAAGGGGGTTTAGGCGGGCACGGGGAGATTGATGACGCACCGAGGTGGCAGGAGGTATATTGATGCCGAGGTCCCTTGCTGTTGAAATCCACCTGCTGTTTGTCCAAACCCTTTGGTGTCTGCAATCAGCCGGTGATCAACGACGATACCAATGGCTGTTCAGCCAATATTACCTTACCATTAAAGGGAAAGAAACAGCGACAGAAAGCCAAAAAGCCTAGCTGTTTCGATTCTCTTACCCAAGAATACTCAACCGAAAGCCAAACCCTCATTCGCTTCGACCGTCTTACACAAAAAATACTGAACGACTCCATTTCTATGCGGAACAAACAATCTGCGGCTCCCAGACACAATACCTTTAATGTCAGCAGAGCAAGACGACCAATCGTGTACCCCGATGAAGAGAGACGACTTTTCCGAGACTGCGTCTACCATTTATCGCAGCCCTGTTCCAGAAACATCCGAGGAGATACCAATTTCATTATTGGATTATCTCCTGACGAGCGTTACGACGTCACTCCCAAGAAAGCCACCACACCAACGCAAGCCGCTGCCAAACCAAACGGCAGCTAGCTCGTCGTCGACGATAATATCAAGAGCTTTTCATCAAAAACTATTATCAAAAGGAAGAAATAATCACCAAGCCCGTGATGCTCCAAGGACCTGTTGCTCCCGACGGGTGGGATTCAGGTATGCGTCGATGGGCTAAACGGCCATGCCCTAGAAGTTCTTATAGCGACGTGCCTCAAGCCTCTTTCGCACCCTTCCTCCGCTGCTCATTCCACCACAAGATCCGTCGGCTCCCGCTGCGGTACTCAAGAAGCCTATCAACACCTTATCCGCCTAAATTGCCTCCGGCACCGACAAGGATGTCAAACTCAAGCACACCGCCGGAAAGGTCGCCGAGGCCGCCCAGTCGGGTTCCAAGCTCGTGATCCTGCCCGAGTGCTTCAACTCGCCCTACGGATACGACTACTTTCCCAAATGCGCATAGACACTGCTCCCGTCGCCGCCGACCAATAAACGTGGCCTCCGTTCCCAATCTTGGTGTCATGTTTGTGGCAGGCCTTGATGCGCACATGTTAGAACGTGAGAGGGACTGTGAACAGCAGTATAGAGGCTGACTCACCTCAGCTGGCTGGTGGTGTTGTACTGCTTTGAAAAGTCTATCTCAATGCTGCCAAACTTGTCGGCCTCTTCGTCGAATTGGAGTCAGGAGGCCAATTTCGTCCCAGACCTCGTTGAAACGATCCATTTTACCCTTCATGTCGCGGATGGCATCGTCCCAGAAGCCTTCAGCCTCGGCCTTTTCGAAATCAACAGCACAGGCTCCCTGTAGAGGCGATACATATGAGTAGAAAATTCGTGCGTGTGCCGCAGAGATACATTTGATGAGATGCTCCGGGCCCATGAGCCAGCCGAGAAAACTCAGGTCAACATACAGAAATATTCATCAATACTGTCGGCATGAGTACCGTACCAACACGCCAACCTCTGGCATAAAAGTTCTTGCCGGCAGAGCCAACCGTGATCGTCAGCTTCTCTATTTCAGGAGACAAGTCCATTGAGCCGAGCGCCGCACTCACTGTCGGATTTACCGATGCGACGCCCATTGTTCGACAGCAGACGTTGAAATCCGTGTTGGTTGTCATTGGCAAGCTCTCAGACCGCACTATCAACAGCGACCTTTTGGAGCAGCCGGCAAAGACGGCAAACGATGAACAGCCTGGCATTCGCACAAATACCACCATCTGTCTCGGCAAAATTACCAAAAATCGCAGTATGGAGGTTGTATTTATTATCAAGATGAGCTGCCACAGCTAGGTCAGAGGAAGGATACGCCCCGGCCTTTGGTTCAAAATCCAGAATCAATCCGTAGCTCAACCCGATCGGCCACAGCCGACCAAGTCAACCCTCGAAAATTCAGGCCACAAAGTATGACTGATCGAGGTTCAAGGCCAAATTCAAAATAGACGCGAAAAAAGGCTCGAACAACGAGGTTCCAGCACAACGCAAGCTTCAACCCCCGCAACTAATAGTTCAATGACTCAACGATCGTTCCGTCATGTTATCAAAGGCAGCGATAATCCTTGAAAATGGATTGCGCACGCAACGCAAAAGACCACCCAATGAGACCACGCAACATCAAGAGAGACGACCCTTGCAAAAGCTCCCAAGCAATAGCCGCAACCCGACCTCAACATGAGCAAGATGGCTGAGCGAACAGTCAAATCCACAATCAACAAGACAAAATCCCAGTATATCTTCAAGATACAAAGTCTTCAGAACTGCCTCAGAATAATCACTACAACGTCACCTTCTCCCTTCACCTAGCACACGGCAACTAGGAGCCCAAATACTATCCCAACCTCAAATTTGGCGTCCTCAACGGCACCGGTGTTCAAATGGCTTTATAACCTTCAATGCCGTCTGCCACGAGCACTGCCAAAGCTGGCCAGCCGGCGAAACTTCCAAGGGTTGCATTGATGTGTCGTCTCCAAACTAACAGGCCATCTACGCTGTGGGAGGCAAAGAAAGCTTCAGCGACGACGAAGTGGATCCAAATCTCAAGATGCACAGTCAACACGGCACCTTTACCATTGGCATGAAGAGACGGCAAGGCCGGGTCGATTTGCCTTACATGTTCCTTGCGCGACCTCTGTGTTTACCCGAGAAATGCGGCACCCTAAGCACTCGCTGCAACGGCCGAAGGTTTGAACAAGGACGATGGCACCAACTGCGTTGTGCCAGTCATATACCCGACTTTAATTGATAAGGGAAAACGTCCATCTCGTCGGCGGCTCGATCCGACAAGCACACACTACTCTAGCAGTACGGAGTCCAGCACCGCGGATGTGGTTGTGATACAAAGGACTTGCACGTTGGTGCAGGGGATTTCACCATTGCTGCCGGTCAATTACCTTCAAGCCTGCAGCGACAAGCAGTAGCTTGACAAGTCTTTGCCTTTGAAGAGACAATGGTGTTGCATCCAAGTCGGTGATCCGGCGCCAGGGTTCTCGACATCGTCTGAGATTCCCATCTTGTTATTGACAGCACCGCTATTTCCCTCGACCGAGAACCAGAAAACCCGTTCGCTTCGATCCTCTTACTCAAGAGATACTACACGACCCCACGACCATGAGAGAAACAATCTGCAGCTCCTGGATTGCCAATTATCAGCACCTTGGTGGTACCAAAGCCCCTACAGTCGAGATCCTCCCAACCACCGAGCTGAACATGAAGAGGAAACTGGCATCAACGTATATACAGGGCTGCCACTCGCTTCTCAATACATATTCTTCAATAAATAACAGTTCACAAAATACTTGTCTTCAGCTGTTCTGTCAAGTAATACAGCAGCACAACCATAAACCATAAGCCTCAAACCACCATCACCACCAACCTATTACTTTGAAGTGTGCGAATCAGAGCCACAACACAAGCCGCGACCAGTGGGATGCATCAAGCAGAGTTCAAATGGACCCCTACATCCTGGATCACTGCCCCTTAGCAGCTTGCAAGGACGAGGATGAGGAGGTCGATGACGCACTTCGGTGGCAGGAGGTGTATTGACGCCGAGGCCCCTTACTGTCGAGACCCCCTCTAGCCCAGATACTAGAGTAGCATCTCTAGCAGAGGAGATTATCAAACGTACTTCAGTCTCCCTAGAACAGGAGGACTTGGTGAAGAAGCTATTTGAGGCTCACTCTCGGCTTCCTGCTGCTTATCGGACACGGATCCTCGCCCTGCTTGCTAAGTCGAACATCGCATCAACAATGTCACAGAGCATTATGAAGGTGGTGACAGATCATTACCCTTTGGCGTCTTGGGCGAGAACGAAGACAAGGAGATTGATGAAACACCGAGGTGGCAGGAGGTGTATTGACGCCGAGGCCCTTTGCTGTCGAGATCCCCTTCATCCTCTTCGGTGGGGGCGGCTTGGGGTTGCGGCTTGGGAGGATTAATGACGCACCGAGACTGGCAGGAGGTATAGTGATGCCGAGGCCGTCTTGCTGTTGAGATCCCTCTGAAGCCGCTCTCCCATCGCAGGCTCTCAAAAGCCAAAGCCGAAACGGGCTCGACCTCAGAAAAAAGCGACGCCGCTGATGGACCGGAGATATGCTGGCGAAGACACGGAAGAGAAAGGCGTCGGAGGAAGGTAGGTGGTTGCGAGTGGACTTTTGTTGCTTAGTGCTGCATATGTGTAGCTGACTTTGATGCTCTTAGAAGGAGATGATCCTTCGGCCTACGAAGAAGACAGGTCATACGACACAGAGAAAGCAGCAGTCCAAAGTGCGAGCAGGGCTCAGGTAAGACGGTAGTTTGAAATATTACGGGTCACCGTGAGGATCAAGCTCTAACCCTGTTAAGCAGTGACTTTTGTTCTTTTATTGTTGTGCATTCTCTTGCTTTCCTCATACTTGATATGCCGGTGAAGACACGGAAGAGAATGGCATCGAAGTAAGGTAAGTAGCTCAGCGGGCGTCTGCTGTTTGTTGTTGCATATGTGTAGCTGACTTTGATGCCCCTAGGTGGAGAAGAAGTTGAAGAGATTCTTCAGCCTTCGAAGAAGACAAGTCGTTTGACGCAGATGCAGCCTCCCTCTAAAGTGCGAGCGGGGCCCAGGTAAGACGGCGGCTTGGAATGCCATGTGCGAGTTGAACTAGTATTAACCGATGCGAGCAGCAATCGGGCCGCCAATAGTACTTTGGAGAAATCATAGTCGGCTTCATCTTCCGCCAAGAGCGCAAAAAGTCAGATTCGTCGAAATGCGCATAGCTTCCGCGAACCCCAGGGTCCTGACGATAGCTGAATACCTCCAGCCCCCAAAAAGCCACCCACATCTAGTGGCCTGTGCACTTCCTTTGGGGTTGAGAAGATACGACTCGCCCTTTTGAGCAAGCCGGGCATACAGTGGGTTTCCTGTGAGGTCACTCATGTGCATCCACTTAAGTACCAGTGTTCTAATCTCAGTAGTATTATTGCTGGAAACACCGCTTTTCCGGAAAGTGGGATTAAAGAAGACGGGGGGAGGGGGTCTGGGACACTACAGACAAAGATCGTGGCGATGACAAGAGATGAGAGGGCCCGGAGGAAGGATTATTCTTCCTAGAGCTACTGTAAAGCTCTCCAGGAGGCACTTCTGCCCATGTACGACGGTACACGGCTTTCAACAAGATGAAGCGAGGATCCATGTACCGAGAGAGATCGAAGAGTTCCTCTACGCCAACGCGATTGACTGGACTGAATGGCCGCCACACCCGCCCAATTTGAGTGTGATTGAGAACTGCTAGGCCTTTCTCAAGTGGAATTTACGTTCTTTATTTCCTGGTCTAGGGAATCACAGAGACAACGAAGCCGACTGGGCAGCATTGATTGAGAAAATTGAGTTCGCGTTGGATGTTATTCAGTCGCTGTTCAACTCTATGGAGCGCCAGCTGCGCGCCGTTATCCGCGCCCAGGGATGGTATACGAAATATGAATCCCTGATTTCAGGGCTACAATGGGGGTGATCGCAGACTTTTGACCGCTTACTTTACTCGGGATGTTAAACGAGACCTTGAGGCTATTGGCCAGTGTTTGAGCTTATGTCAGGAGGTTGTTCGCCAGAATCTAGTTTGACACCAATCGAACTAAATGGGCTGTTTAACAGTATAATTTATATTAACATGGGGTACGTATATTGAAACTTCCTGGCTAGCATGTCACTAATTTTTCGGATATTCTTCTCAAACACAGAGATGACCTGGTTGTCAACCTCAGTGGTGGTAAAGTTGATCTGAGGCACACGCTGCAGAATCGTGTGGACAATATCAGTCGCTCCCATGAGGATCGCCGTGTCCAGTCGAAGATCTTGTCACCTTTATCGACAGCCCAGCCCAGCCAGTTGCCGAAAGTCCTTCAAAATGTCTACCAGAGCTCTCAAATGGTTCAGTCAGCCTATTGGCAGTCTACAATATCAGCGTGCATAACTATGTGGGCCAAATGATGCAACACCGTACGGCTCTCGAATACGACGTTGAAATCCTGTATACATATGTATGTCTCGACCGCAAAGAACGCCATAGGGTATCGCTCCGGCGTGGGTATAATGACCACAGCGGGTTACTAGAGGACTGGGGAAAGGGTTATTCGGAAGACAAGGGCCTGGCTACAGCACGTCGTTCAGAAATGGGTATATTCTCTTTGCCGACATTCCTAGGGTTTTATTCCCCAGAGAGCTTTTTCCTAGGGCTTTCCTATGTCAGCCGACGTGCCTAGAATGGCTATCATTTGTGGCGGCTACCTCAGGCCGACATATTGCTACTTGCAGCGGGGTCGTTAATACTAAACAAACAAGCAAACATCCTGTTATTGCAGATCCAATCTATAAGGATCACATTCATTCTCTTCAATCGGCTTCTCAAAGTTGGACTTATATCACACTGGTGTTATTTTTCGGGGGTGGTTGGAGATGTTAGAGAGTGGCGGCAATGGGAAGAGGAGAATAGTCAGAGCTGAGGGCTGCACGGTCACTATCACGGACCACACAGCTGGGTCGTACAAAGGACTGTTTTTACTTTCAATACCTTGTTCGACTCTTCAGCCCAATCAGCCTGCCAGTTGAGATCTTTGACGCCTTTGACTGCACTCTCTGAACAAAGGAACGTCCGCTTTGTAACTAGCCCCTGACAGGAGAAAAGGCGTGAGATATTGATGGCTTTAGGCGGATTTCGACCCATGATGGTCTACTACTTGATCCAAGCAGTGATGCGGCTGCTGAGGAGACTTTTACGGAAAACAAGTGGCGGCTCATGAGCGGTGCGGTGCTATGCCACCAGCTCACCTTGTCTGGTGTCTATCCGCACACGGCAAAGTCGAGCATTGGGATATCATATCGAAGCATGCGATAACGCTACGGCCGCGATGAGAGCCCGGCGGTGCCCAGGCCCAATCCAGCAGGGAACCGCCATCACTGACAGCCTCATGCCCAAGCCGCAGACGCATCCATCAGGTAGCCCTTCTTGTTGCTGGAAGGGGGAGGTTGTTGTCATGGGCTACAACGGCTGGTTCAAGGACATGGGCAAGCCTGACAACAAGAGTAAGATGTACTGGTTGAACGGAACCCTTTCACTGATCCTGCCATGAATACTAATGAATGTTCAACAGGTTCGGCACTTCTTACGGCCGAAGCCCTCAGACACAGCGTAGATGCCATTCCGAGGCTAACACAAAGGTCTCAATTGACCCGAAGTAAGCCATCCGGTCCTTGGTCATTCGCCGTTGATTCCAAACTAACCGTTGAAACAATATTTAGCAGTGTTCCCACAAGCAATTATGGATGTAAAAGTCCCGTTTAACGGCCCCGTCCATATCAAGCGCAATTATCGCAGAGCAAAGCACGGCATCTCAATAGAGGAGGTCACCGTGCTTCGTGTCATCGTTATAGAGAGAATGAAGGATTGGCGACAGTGTATCCGCCTTTCGAGGCAGAAATTGACATCGGCCGTGTCATTGAGGCTTCTTTTGACCACGAATCCTCGACAAGTGGCGGCAAGAAGCGCAAGATCCACACGACTAACAACAGGCTCTGCCACAAATGCAACAAGAACTTTCCGAGCCGAACGTCCCTTGACGAGCACTGACTCGAAGCACCCTAGCCCCTACGTCTGCGTCTTCCATTACGCCAACTGCAACACCAGATTCGATGCAAAGAAGAAATGGAAGTGCCATGTTAGTACCAGGCATCTGAGCCTAGAGTACTGGGTTTGCGCAGAGGGCATGTGTGCTGATGAGCGGCAGTCATCTCACCAGCGATACGCGGGGTGCGTTTCCCAGCGATGATGACTTCACTTCAGTCAGTCGTTGAATCTGACGAAGATATAAAAGAGACAATGAGAGAAAGAGAAACAAAACTCACCTTGGCAACGTGCCACTACATCCAATCAAACACCATCCACCACTCCCACAGCGGCAACGAGTATCGTTCACTGACAAAGTGCTTCTCCTCGTCTCTCCAGAGTCTGGAGCCGCTAGAAGTCGCGTAGAACCTCCAGCTGTCGTCTATGACCTAATGGCTATAGTCCTGCCACCCCTTACCATGCAGCCGGCCACTGTGACCCAGGGACGCTCTCACAGCGAGCTGGATGGGCCAGCAACGTCCGAATTCTGCCCTTCTCGACAACCCGTTAAGTTCACAATCCTAGAGACTTTGAAGTCTTTGGGGATTCAAATGTTGGGGATCAAGCCGAAGATTATTTTTGCCCTCTCTGCAAAGCATTCTTTCGCTCCAATACTGCTTCAACCTACCTGCACTTTCCAGGTGCTGTTGAGGGTGATACAGAGGTGGGATGCGTTTAAGCGTTTAGACTCTCTTGGGCGGGAGATTGGTGGTTCATTCAACGAGACCTCATTTGATCTACTTATATGTATTGTGTGGCGGATTAATGGATTATGTGAGTTGATGCTGAGGATACCTGAGAGTTGGTAATAATATAAACGTTGATGGGTATTTGTTCGCTGCTATTCTCTTTTTATCTCACAAATGTGCCAAATAGTTGCCCCAGGTAAACCCCATGTGAACAGGTACATCCATGCGCTAGTAGAGCTGGGGCGGATTAATTACTGGCAGTTGAATCCTGTTGAATGACGAATAAAAGATCCATGCTACGCAATCGGGTGAGTTTCGCGATGCTGCTGCTGCTGCATGCCAGTCATCAGTACTTGAAACTTGCTAGCTGCGCCACCGAAACTGCATGTACCGCGATGCACTCACCGGGAGACGAGCTGCGCAGGTGAGGCTGTCCCTACCATCATGGATATTTACTATGAATACTACCATAACTTGATGGAATTGGCTTCGTACGAATATCACATGTGGATGCTCCCAACAATTATTAACTCAATTCATCTTCAATAAGGGAGATGGATGAGACCGACACACAATGGGTGGCTCATCATGACAAAGAACTATTTGATGTAGTATCTAATGGTCGACGAACTGTATAAATAGATCCAGTCAACAGATTTCGATTGATGATTTCCATGTTATGGCGCGTGCCCCTCTCGTACATGTACATGACGATGGATCCGGCCAAGATGCCTCTCGTCAATCATGTCACGTTGCCCAATTCCCTCCCAGCTATCATTCGGCTCCAATCATTGCATATATGATCACATTGATTCTGTAGAAATTTCTACTGGCAATGGATGACTCGCCATGCCCGACTAGTTACAGAGGCTGGATGAAACCAGGGACCACAGAACTCCATTCCTTCAGCATTCAGCATTCAGCGTTCAGCATCATTTGGTCGGCATCGTGTCCAGGCTACGTTGCGTGAAAAGCTGCAGTCGACACCGTATCATTGACGACTCGTTTCCACTCCAGTTGTCCTTGTTTTCCCAAACCCGCCAAGTCCCATCCATTACGATCGGAACTCGGCTGGCTACAGCCAAGCACGGATACATGTAGCCACCAGCTAGCAAATGCTACTGCGGTTAGCACCATCTCGGGCTACCCCAGAGCCAAGACATCTTGGAGACGTGCTGTCACCGTCGTTATCTAGATAGCTGAGCTCTGACACTGGAGCTGATGCTTGCAAAACACGTTGCAGTGGCATGTCACTACAGTGAGAAGCCATCGAACCGGCCGCTGATAGCAGTAGATCGACTACTGTCACGTATGTGCCTCTCTCAGACTCGTTCTCGGGTCAGTCTGCCACCGAGCAAATACTCGTATTAGCAAAATCCAAAGCCTAGCAGCCACAATGCAACGTTAACCTTGAATGATTCCCCCACGCTGGTTATCTCGTCCTCCTGTGCCTGGAACCTCGTACCAAGTAACTGCTTCTGGAGTAGGGCCGCCCTGTGGCTGGCCTTTGGAGTGCGGGGGGGACGTGGTCAAGACACTAATACTGTACGAGGACAGCACGGTAAGTAAGCACGTATCATCTCGTACTCCGTGGTGCCTGGGATAGCCGCGAATAACTGGAGCCAAGCCCGCTGGGGATCCGCAGATACTTGCCGGGCATCTTCCTTCGCCGTACAGTCGATGAAGCAGAGATAACGGACAACTTGTTGATAGAGCCAAGATGGGCCAGGCCACATCTAATCTGCTACCTAGTTGAATAATGGACGCTACCAAGAAAACGAATGATTAAGGAAGATGTCGGAACTATCAGGCTGACGACAAATCCACGCCTTCGAGATTCCCATCCTCTCCTGTCCATTCTCCGTTCTCGGTAACAGTAATACGAGAGTCTCTCGCTCCACCCCCGCAAATGGTCGAGTTTTTTTTCTCTCTCCCGCCTCTTCAAGCCTTCATCTCCACTTCTTTTGCCTCTCCATCCTTTGCCTCCATCCCGCTAATCATACATGGCTTGCCCTGGCCTGGAACGGACAACATCCACAAGTCTGGGGCAGAAACGAGCATCCATGATTCTCCGGCAACTTTTCATGTCCTGGGAAAACGACTTCTTGTGCATGATGGAATGATCCTGGGTCGATGGTTCCAGGGGCACTCTGCCATTGGCAAGTCTAAAATTGTTTCTTTTTAAGCTTCCCTTTAGGCTCTTGAGCAAAAACCACATCCCTGCCAACCTCGCCGTCCGCCTGATAGGTGGAACAATCGTCGAGGAGCCATGCTAACCGTTGCTTCTGCAGACTTCTGCACCGCTCTGCACCGCGCTAGCAACCTTGAACTGATAACGTGTGGGATGGGCCATGCACTCTCCAATCTCGAAACTACCACACTCGAACAGTCGCTAGCCGGGAAGAGCCACAAGGTGTGCCAGTCCATTGAACCCTGCAGTGTCTGATCGGCCTACCTGGCAACCTGGTAACTCGAAGCTGACAGCATCACTCCTAGCTCTCCTCTTGTGCTACTACTCATGCCCCTCCGCATCACCTGTTCCATCGCACAGGCTGTCCCTAGTGGCAATTTCGTTACATCGGTCCAAAAGCTACTCCAAGCAGCTGCACAGTGGCGGAAGCCTTATCGGTCATGGCACTCCACTCGGTAGCCCATGGACACCTCCTTACTTGGTATATATCCACGACTCCCTAGCCCTGGTTTGTTGATTTCTACGGCTCGGAAGTCGCTGTCCTGCGTCGTCTCAGCACCTGCTCAAGCTTGGCTGCGTCTTGCGGCTGTCTGTCAACCTCGGCCGTGACGACCTCAGTCCTCTCCATCAGGAACTGCTCTCGAGGCTTGGCCCTACGACGACGCTTTCTTCTTTCCTGTTCTGCTTCATTTGCCCGTACCGATCGGTAAAGCATCGCAGCAATGGCGGAGAAAAACGACCTCCAACGCGAAGAGACGCGGCCAGACTCTATTCGCGACTTGAAGCATGGTGGTGCCACCGCCGAAGCCATCGAGGCAATTCGTGCCGAGCACGAGCTCACCTTTGGAGAGGCCCTGAAGCTGTATCCCAAGGCCATTGCCTGGTCGGGCTTTGTGTCCATTGGTGTAATCATGCTTGCCTTTGATCCCCAGCTTATCGGAAATCTGTATTCGACACCTCAGTTTGCTCGTGACTTTGGGCACTTGTACAAGGGAGATGTGAGTCTTTTCTTCTTCACCATTTACCTCGAATAGCGTTGCTGACACCGATCATCGCGCAGTGGGTGATTGAAGCTTCCTGGCAGACCGCTCTCTCAATGGGCAACCCAATCGGCCAAGTTCTCGGTGCACTCTTCGCCGCTTACCCCATGGATTACTTTGGTCGAAAACTCACCTTTGCCGCCTGTGTCATCCTCACCGCCGGCATCGTCTTTATTCAGTTCTTCTCCAAGACTCTCGGCGTTCTTCTCGCCGGAGAATTACTGGCTGGTCTCGTTCTTGGAATGTTCGTCGTCATTGCGCCAGCTTATGCCTCCGAGGTCTGTCCCACCGCGCTTCGTGGTCATCTCACCTCATTCGTCAACCTTTGCTTCGTCATCGGTCAACTGCTAGGAAACGGTGTCACTGCTGGTACGTCCAAGCTCGAAAACCACTGGGCCTACAAGATCCCTTTCCTGCTTCAGTGGTTCTGGATCCTCGTCATCCTCCCTGGTATGGCCTTCATCCCGGAAAGTCCATGGTGGTTGGTTCGCAAGAACCGCTTGGAGGACGCTGAAAAGTCGCTGCGGCGTCTGGCATCGCCCAAGGTGAATGTTCAAGCTACTTTGGCTTTCATCGTCGAGACCGATCGTTTGGAGCTGGAACTCGAGGCTGGCAGCACATACTGGGATTGCTTCAAGGGTGACAACTGGCGCCGAACTGAAATTTCCATGGGTGTTTATTGCACTCAGGTCCTCAGTGGTATCTACCTCATCAACTATGGCACCTTTTTCTTTCAGCAGGCTGGTCTTCCTACCGCCCGCGCCTTTGACATGTCCGTTGGATTCTTGGGTAAGTAATTATATCGTGGCATTTTTGTTATCCAGCGTGAGATGTGTTTACTAATGACTCTCTCTGCTGTCCTGTAGCCGTTGGTTTCGTCGGAACGCTCGTCTCATGGGGTCTCATGCTCAAATTCGGTCGCCGCACGCTCTTCGTCTCGGGTCTCGCGATGCTCGTCGTCCTCCAGTTCGTCATCGGCATTCTCGATTGCGTCCCCGGTCGACCTTCCGGTGCCATCTGGGCCGAGTCGTCCCTCATGCTCATCTGGAACTTCTTCTACGACATCTCCATCGGCCCCGTCTGCTTCGTCTTGCTTGGTGAATGCTCCGCTACGCGTGTCCGCTCCAAGACAATTGCTGCCGCCACCGCCGCTCAGGGACTCCTGGGCATCGTCATGACCGTTGCCATTCCGTACATGATCAACCCGGAGCAGGCCAATTTGCAAGGCAAGCTGGGCTTCTTCTTTGGCGGCCTTGCTCTCATCTGCCTGGTTTGGTCTTATTTCCGCGTTCCCGAGACTATGGGCCGTACCTTTGAGGAACTTGATCTTCTGTTCGACAAGAAGGTGCCTGCGAGGCAATTCAAGGGCTATAGGCTGGAGGGCGCGGTGTCGGCCGGCGCGGCGTGATTACACACGCGCAATCATGGACGGAAAGGGGGAGAAAGAAGGCAGAAAAGAAAGTGGCTCGATATTCGAAACGGATGCCTTTCACTGCGAATGACAAGCCGATCTTGATGTTACTGATCGCCGTCAAGTTACTCTGAACGAAGCTGCCGAAATCCCCCTGAGAGGCACCCAACGACCAAATCTCATCGGGACTGAGAGGAGAGGAGTGGAAACATTTGGAACATATTTTTGCGAGACAAGAATGTGTGAGCCCATGCTTTCTTTCTCTTTCTCGTTTCTTCTCCACCTTTCACGATTTTTTCTTTATTACATTGGAATTTTTTCATGGCATTAGATACCACTTGAACAAGTAATGAACATTGTTGAACCATCCTCAGTCCCCATCGTCACGTTTCGCCTGACGCAGCTAGAAAAATACAGGGGGTGGCCAAAGACAATAGGGGAGATTTGACATTGAAGCTATTGTTCTCAGATTGGATCTGTGTCAATCGTGAACGGCACTGCCTGCCGAATGGTTGATACAAGCCTTGATCCCGATCTCGTCAAGGCCCAACTATAGGCCTTTTGTAGAAGATATGGTCCGCTACACCACGTCAGGTTGCAACATTCATGCATAATCAAGTACAGTCTGATTGGATACCGGCTTACCGAATAAGCTCGGCGTCATCTTTCTCCTTTTTGATCAACTGACAATGAATGTGGTCCGCGGAGATTAATCCCTGGAGATTACGCTCGAACCACCTCCTTGGCAATCTGATGTTACCATTTGGTAAAGTTAAATGTTGTAATTGCATTAGAACGTAAACTATTGAAGCGGATGAAAGTAACATGTCAAATCCTAGTAATACAATCGCCTGTTGTTTGTAACGTCTTGGATGGAGGCCGGTCAAACAACATCCTGATACACATTCGGAGGCTGAATCATGACTTAGGCCGTCACTGATGAACACCATGTCCGCTGATATGCCTGTCCAAGCGTCATTTCAACCCTCGAGCCTCTCCAACCATTCGCAGCTGCACTGGCCCTCTCTAGTGGCGGGATATTCTCCCATATAAAGTCTCAGACGCCGTGGTCAATGGTCTGCGCATCAACCCATCAAGGTGAAGAAAAGCACTCCTAAAGACTGGACGATATACCGGGAGAGATTGTCTCGAGCGCGCTGATGAGCTCATCGAAGAACCTCTTCTGAACTTGATAGCCCCACTGGTTCGTGACGTGCTTCGCTGGCCTGGTACGACGGATTCATTAGTTATACAACATTTCTACGAAGCAGTGGCTGTTGAAGAGTATGATCGATGTTACTTACACCTGGACCTTGCAGTTGGTCAGATACTGGCCGTGGCTGCTTTCGTCCGTGAGGATCGCGTGTACCAAAGTCCGGCTCCCCTCTTCTGTGGAGCGAGCCATGATCTTCTCAGCGATTCTAGCCCCCGCTGAATCTGACTCTCTGGTCAGGTCGGATTTGCAGTAACTGGGGTTGGGAGTGTTGATAATGAATTTGCCCTTGGCTCTCTTGGCTATTTCCCGCACGGCAAAAAGAACAAGGAGTTTTGAAAGCGGATATCGCCCACCCATGTCGCCTTGTTTTATGTCATTCAGCCGATCGAGGAGGTTTCTATCGTTGAGCCCACCGAGAGGAGCCATGTAATGCAGAGCGCTGTTGGGAATCACGAAGCGACACGGGTTGCCTGTTTGTTGCTCTGACCTGCGCATGGTCGGGAGGAGCAGGAAAAACAGGAGAAAGGTGTTGATGACGTTGACGTTGAGCGTCTTTTCGCTTCCCTCGCTGAGTACAAAGTGGTTCGTCATGATGCCTGCGTTGGCCAAGACGCCGTCGAGTCGGGGCAACAGAGTTGCCCGTCCTGCAAAGGTCTTGACGGACGCCTGGTTATCCATGTCGATCGGCCACACTTCAATGGATGAATCGAGTTTTCCGGTGGATTTGAGGATTTCGTTCTTGGCTGCTTCTCCCTTGGAGGGTGTTCGAACGGCCATGATGAGCTTTCCCACGCCGAGGCGGGAGAGATGGCGGGTGGACTCGAATCCGAGGCCGCTGTTTGAGCCGGTGACGACCATGATTTGACTGGAGAGGTCGTTTTGTGTATTGGGAATGGGGAGGGTGACAAAGACTCTGCCGTAGATGACAGAGCCAAGCCCGTGAATGGCAGACATGTTGCTTTATATAGTTGAGTCTCTCTTTTGGAAGAGTCTGCGATCTTCTTCGAATTGAATACTGGCTTGAGCTTGCGATTCAGATGGTGAAACAATGGTTGCTTAAGTGTTGAAGAAAAGATGCTCCTGAAGTGACTGTTTCAGTGTTTAAGAGAAGATGCTCTTAGAGTGGTTGCTGCAGTGTTAAAGAGAAGATGCTCTTGGAGTGGTTGCTGGATGCGAGTCCAAGTGTTGATGATGGCTCAGACGGAGATGCAGGACGAAGGCCCTCGCCGTCACACTTAAATAATTTGTCTTTCCATTGCGTCCTCCAGCTGTCTGCCTCTTCTCCCTCGCTATTCCATCGTAATGTTAGCAGAGTCACCATCAGCCACCATTAGCCACCATCATCAACAACACAACAACAACACAATCTCCTCGAGTTGAGCATCACCATCTCGACTTACAAGATTCCCGCTCCTATCTCCGACTCAGCTCTTCGCACCAGCTGACGGGATTCCCCCTTGTGGAGAAGCCGGGGATATTATCTCCGCGATAGTGCCCGCTAAAAGTCGCCGATCCAGCCATGACACTCTGAGCTAAGGAGAAATCAGGCAATTGGCAAATGCTGCAAATCGATTTCCCGCAGTTAGGCTGGCCCGGAGTTAATATCCCCAACGGGGTTGTTAAATAGTCCGGTGCATCACCGATAACAGCCGGCCTTTTCGATTTCCACCACCTAATCTCCTGATCTCTTTTCTCTTTTCCAACATTGTACAAGTGCTGTTTTATTTATTGTTTTTTTCCTTTTTGTTTGTTGGGAGTCGCGTAATGGACTTTGGCCCAAGGAAGATTGAAAAGCGGAACCGGGCCCCCGTGTCTTGCGAACCATGCCGAGCTCGAAAGTAAGCAAAACCGTCGTTCCAACGACATGCAAAGTCTCCGAATGAAGCCCAGGAGAAAACATGGGAGGAAGCTCACCTTTACGCTTCGCAGGCAAATGTGCAACCGCGGCCAGCCGTGTGAGGGCTGCACCAGACGGAATCAAGCGTCACTGTGTCGATATGCTCCCAATGCCATCAGGAACAAGGCTCGCCCGCCCAAGGTGGGCAACATCCAGGAGCGGCTGGATAATCTAGAGGTGATGCTGGCTTCGATTGCGGCGAATCCCGCTGCTGCTGGGATTGGTATAGGAGCTGTGCCCAGTACGCAGGCTTCGTCCGGCCAGAGGAGAATGCCGGCGTCTTCCTACCCAGAGCCTCAGTCACCGTTCAAGCCAGCTCGAGTTCCCCAAGACGATCACGCCTTGCCGCCTGAGCTGCCTCATCGCCACGAGTCTGGAGATGGCCAAGTCAGTTACATCGACCCCAGCCATTGGAGGGCCATCTTGGACGAGATCAAAGAGGTCAGAGAGCATCTGGCAGCCTTTGACCGCCCTCTGGTGCAGGAGGAGCCGGAGCGCAAGAGCGTTGCATCAGAAGACGGGGCCGGATTTATGTTTGGCAAATTTCCGGTGGTCGATCTCGAAGACATCATCAGCACCCTGCCGCCGAGATCGGCCTGCGATGCCCTTGTTGCCCAGTATTTCAACGCCAGATTCATGGTGCTGGGTGAGTCCATGACAGTTCATGCTGTTCATATCCATCCTTGGCCCTACAATTCGAGATTCGGTGCACTAATGCAAGCGGGCCGTCTGCATGTCGTGTATAGGCATCCTGCACCCGGTCAAGTTCCAAAGGGAGGTCAGTTCAGTCATCGGAGATTAGTCAACACTTGACAGGTCGTTTTTCATGTTGCAACTAACCATTGGCGATGAATACAGTATGAAAAGTTCTGGGAGGCTCCTCTCAAGGCACCTCCTCTTTGGATTGCTCTGCTCTTTTCCGTTCTCAGCCTCACAACCTCTCTTCGCAATGTCGCCGGTGGCTCGGCCGGGCCCAAGTCGGCAAAGCCAACAGCCAAGACGCTGCAGCAAAGAACAGTGGAATGCCTGATCTTGGGACGTTTCCCTACCGCAAATGCGTATGCTCTGGAAGCCATGATACTGCATCTCCAAAGCTGCTACCTCACCATCAATAGACTCGGCTCCGATCACTGGTTTGAGATGGGCACTTTGATCCGCCTCGCCTTTAGAATGGGCTATCACCACGACCCGGATGGCTTACCGGGCATCTCAGTCTTTGACGGAGAGATGCGGCGGCGCGTGTGGCACAACATCTTCCAGGTGGACGCGCTCATGTCTTTTCAGATGGGGTTCCCAAGCATGATTCCGACAGAATTCTGCGACACCAAAGTGCCGAGAAACCTGCAGTTCTCTGATCTTGATATGGGCATGACTTTGCTGCCTCCAGGGCGGCCTCTGTTCGAAAACACCCCAATCAGATATCCAATCGCCAAGTCTGGTGTCATGGCCGTGTTCAAACGGATTGTTGCGCATTCCCAGTCTTTGTCTCTCCCAACCTATGATAACACGATTATGCTGGATAACGAAATGAGGGAGTCGTACAGCAACCTGCCGGAAATCCTGAGAGGGAGGGACGTAGGTCGTTCTTTCATGGACCCATCGAGCATCATCTTCGAGAGATGCACACTCGAAATGCTCTACTTGAAGGGTCTCATTGTTCTGCATCGGCGGTACATTAGCTACGAAGTTGACGGCCGTCGATTTGAGCACTCCAGACGAACCTGTGCTGAAGCCGCTCTCGACATCCTGGCTCGTCAGGCAGATCTGCATCAAGCATGCCAACCTGGAGGGCGTCTGTACGACGACCGATGGATGGTCTCTTCACTGACCATGCACGACTTTCTTTTGGCTGCCATGGTCATTTGCCTGGATCTCTCGGTTCGTCTTCGGCGTCCTTTGAGCGTGTTAGTGCCAGGAAAAGACGACGATGCTCTTACTGGGCGAGAATACCATGCGCTGCAGAGATCGCAGAAGATATGGGCATCCAGTAGCCAGATGTCTCCCGAAGCACGCCTTGCGGCTTTGGCGCTCGGCCTGATGGTGCAGAAAGTGGCCGAAAAGGACAGACGCCATATTCCTCCATCTACTATTACGCAAGAAGATCTGGCTGCTGCTGCTTCAGCTTCTACCCAAGAGCTTCCGTATGCAGGGCCCATGTCTCAGATGATTGATGGCATAGAAGGGCTAGACTGGGTAAGTTTGGATCCGTGCTTGTTGATCAGGTTGGAGGAGGATCTAACTCGAAGCAGGGCTTGTTGGACCAGTACTTTCAGAATCAGCCGACGGATCCATCACAGTTGGAGGGATTCAGCATTGATTCCAGTTGGTTTGACTTACCTCTGTAGAAGAAGTGGGAGGAGAAGTGTTTGCAGGAGTACCTTGCGGCTGGTGCCAGCTTTTGGACTGGAGAAACAGGTCACATGACGATGCAAGAGGAGCAGTAGAGTGAATTTGGGGAAGAGTGAACATGAAGAAGAAGAAGAAGAAGAAGAGATAGAAACAAGAATGAAAAACGGAGAAGGCGAGACTGCGAGCAATGTTTCCTCTGTCTGCGAGAGACGGTCAGGATGGGGAATTACTGCCGGTAGTTCAGAACGTACATCAAACTGCCAGGTAGAAAATGCAGATTCAGCATGACCTCAACGATACCCAAAACTGTAAGGGAGGAGGACAAATGCAGGGAAATATCACTGGTGCTTGAGAAAAGCTATTGAAGGAATTATTGATTTAATTCCTAGTCTACTGCATCATATTCAACTGCTATTGTGTGCGTTACGTTATTGCCTTGAAACGTCCCAGCTGTTTGAACGCCCCACTAGCAGAGCCAACCAGTTGCCGTTTTCCCTGCTTTTGTTTTTAAAAAGCCCACCCCAACCTTCTCGTTGCTCTCCCACTTCTTCCAAACATCTCTTCTTTCGTTCCAATTTTTTGGTTCGAAATTTGCTCATTTTTTGGCCTCTTGGTCTCTTATCTCTACCAACATTTGCTTCAACATTCTTCCTTGCTTCCTCATTCTTCCAATAGTAAGCTTCTGCGGCATCCATCTTCAACAGCCGCCCACACTCGTCGCGTCTTGACTGAACTTTCAGACTAATCATGGCCACAGATGACATATTTTTCTCAATATCCCACTCTCGGCATCGAAATGCCAAAGATCAGGTGGTGTCACGAAAAAGACACGGATTATGCACCGGCCCAGCTGCCGATGAACTCTACCCACCCCAGGCAGGGTACTAGACTCTGCATCAACCCATCCCCCCCTCGCCATATATATCGACTCATACTTGTTTGTAATTGCCACGGCGGTCCTCCAACACTCGCTCGGCGTCAACTCAAGTTACGGCATTTGCGAGGCCATGTTTGCACTGGGCCCTCCTTAGGACACCTGCGTTCTGGCTCAGCAAATGTGCCACCCAGACTCGCGAGTAAACACTTCCTTGACACTTTTTGCAAGCATGGACTAACATTCTTACAGAGCACAGAGAATGTTGCAATGCCTCACGGAAATTATCGAATTGACGGAGCGCAGAGAGGCGATTGAGGTCAAGATGACTGATGTCGTGGCCAAGGTTGGCTGGCGGGGGTGCTACTAGAGGACCCAGCCGGCCAGCCTTGTTTCACAATTCACGATTGGCCCTCGCATTGTCAAGGACAGACTGCATCCGTGGTTTCCTGTGGCGCTAAATGCTACAACTGATGGGGGACGGCTCTCTGGAGTTTCGACGGTATGTTCAGTTCACTAAGCTACACAACAACTCTCTGCATTGTTGCAAAAGAAACACATGAACCAGAAAGACTAACGCTGCCAATCAAGACAGAGGTGGTCGTTGGACCACTGATAATACCGTTTGTCCGCTGGAGGGCGCACACCGGCTCGAAGAGGGCCAGGCATTCAATGCCTTCAAAGGTGACATTCGGTAGAACGCCAAGGTTCAAGTATGGCGCGGCCCGGGGTCTACGAGAGGCCCAGGTCGCTGCCATGCTTGAACCTTGGCGCCGAATCACCACGAAGCCAGCTTCCCCTGTACTGGCGGGCCGTTGCCGTGCTTTGCCCGGACAAGACTTACAAGGCAACCGACATTGCCATTGTACATTTAAGCAAGCTCCTTGTCCAGTGTAACAAGTGGCTCCTCGTTCTCGATGTGCAGGGGCCTATGACGTACTGGGCTGTGGTTGCTGCCACGACCTCTGAGATGCAGAAGATTAAGCTCTCGGACACACTGGCCAAGGAGCTGGTGTTTGCTCTTCTGCGTGCCAGACAGCGCTAGGTCCTTCGTCAGGATGATCCCCGATCTGCTACCACCACTGTTAAGTCTCACTTCATCGCCAGCCGCCAGCGACTTCTCCAAAGATTTGAAGGAAAAGGACAAGGACCTGTGCAAAACAGTCAAAGTGTCTTTAATCACTCAGCGGTAGACGCCACCACCACTGTCAAATCCCATTTCATCGCCGGCCTCCAGCGACTTCTCCAACACTTTGAGGAAAAGGACAAGGACATTTGCAAAACAGTCAAAGTGCCCTTAATCACTCGGCGGTAGACGATTACCTGAAGCCAGTCTCCCCTGTATCTGTGGCCAATCACTACAAAGAAGCACACAATCAAGAGCTACACAACGACCAGAAGCTTTTCGCCTACCAGAAAATTCAAGATGCCCGCTGATATTTCTTCGACCAGCTCAACCTTCTGTTTGCAAAGTTGCTGATCGCACAAACAAAGAAATCGCTCGCTCTGCTCCGGTGTCGAGTTCAACTTTTGCCCAATCATTCATCCCCATAATACTCCGCGGACTGTCCTGCCACAACCAAGATTCCCTCGCGTTATCTCCTGTAAGTACAATACTGTGCATTTATCCAGTCCGCTGTCAATACGCAGAATACGGCAGAATGCTGACCCGCGTTGTAAAAGGTTAATCCTAGCGTGTCTCCCAGCTCAACGGTCAACCCGCGCTGTTCCCGTCATTACTTTCGCGGCATCTTTCCAAATGTGGTATTTTAGTGTCGAGCTACTCAGCATCTTGCGGTTGCGAGGAATGCGATCTCTTCCTATTGGCTGCAAAGAGGCGATCATCACAGCCACGATGCACGAGTCGTCTAATTTGCGGAGGATTACGTCGACTTTTCGCGGCATCATCCCAAGAGCGGGAGAGGCTGATCATGTCGGTCCTCTTTATGCATCGAGGGAGGATTGCCATGTAATCCTGTCACTTGTTGCTGTGGTGCCTCCTCGAGCGTACCAAAAACTATAAATGATGGCAAACTCACTTTCACGAATTCCAGAATGACCACTGCTTCATCACCATTCGACTGCATCACATATCTTGTTCTTGATGAACAGTCATCAAAATGCTAGCCTCTCACCTTCAGTTGTTACTCTGTCTAACTGGCATTGTCAGTGGCCTCTGTGCACCGCCTCCAGAATCATGCAAGGCATATCCTGGCACGTCCTCTTGGCCCTCCGCCCACGCATGGGCTACCCTCAATCAAACCATCAATGGACGACTGCTTCGACCTTCTCCGCCCGGTGCGGTTTGCCATCCTAGCCAGTCTACCTACAACATCAGCCAATGCTCCCAGGTAGTCGACGAGTGGAAGACGTACGACTTTCATGTTGCAAACCCAATTTCCGTCATGTGGGACAAGTTCGACAACTTTACCTGCCTACCTGATGAAAACACGCCGTGTTCTCCAACCGGGTATCCTGCCTATGTGGTGAATGCATCAACTGCAGAGCATGTCAAGATTGGCATAGACTTTGGTAAGTTGGATTCATGCCCTTTTACAGTGACGGAAACGCAGAGTGGTCTAACCATATCTCTTCTTAGCACGCAAGTACAATGTCCGCCTCAACGTCAAGAATACTGGCCACGACTATCTCGGGCGCTCCAATTCTGCAGGCTCCCTCTCCATTTGGACTCATAATCTGAAGACAATCGCCTACAACAAAGGGCAGTATAAGCTGCATGGCTCTGGGAAGATCTTGCAAGGAAATTCCATCACTGTTGGCGGTGGATCTGAGATGTACGATATATATATTGCTGCAGACAAGCATCACGAGCTTATTGTTGGTGGAGGAGGAAAGACTGTTGGAATAGGTGGCTACATCACTGGCGGAGGGCATTCCATCTTTGCGCCAAAGTATGGCTTAGCCGCAGATAACGTGTGGGAAATGGAGATTGTTACACCAGGAGGCGATATTGTTATAGCCAACGAAGATAGACATCAAGACCTATTCTGGGCAATGAGAGGAGTAAGTAGAGCTATTCTCAAGATGACCAACTTCTCAATACTAATGAGCATCGCAGGGAGGCGGCTCAACATTTGGTGTCATCACATCCATCACGCTCAAGACGCATCCAAGCCCCAAGATTATGGGCGTCGCCTACATGATGTTCACCGATCCCAAAGAATCCATCGTCTTCGACCTCATCACCTACATCGTTTCCCAAATACCCAGTCTAATGGCACAAGGCCTTTCTGGCTACAATCTCGCCACAAAAAACATGACGACGCCCGTCCAGATTCCAGGCATCCCAGATCGCATCGCCGGATTCCTAGGCACAACGGTTCTCCAAGACGTCGACAGCCCCGACGTCGTCGCAAAGATTTTCAATCCAATCAACGAAACCCTTGACGAGCGCTGGCCCAACAAGGTCCAATTCTACACTCTTCTTACCGAATATGATTCGTGGCTGGCTTGGTTCAGCCAGAATTATGACACCAACCAGGCGGGTGGAAGCCAGTACCTCGTCTCCCGACTTCTCGATGGCGAAGCCTTAACTGGTAACCCGCGGAAGCTGAAGAGCGCTCTCCAAGCAGCGATAACTCCGAGCGGAACCATATCCGTATTCATGGTAGGCGGCAAGGGTGTCCAAGAAGCGAAGCCGAGAGGAGGTAGCAATGCCGTCAATCCCGCATGGAGAACCGCATATGTTCACGCTCGTAAGTTGTTCAATCTTTCATCCAACGTGACAAAGTCCATTTTACTGACGATAGCCTACCACCAGTAACCAGCGAACCGTTCGGGCCGTTCAACAAGACTGCAGAGAACAATGCCAAAGCGATCCTCGACAAAGAATTCCAACCACTCCGCGATCTGACGCCCAAATCCGGCGCATACATCAATGAGGCACGTTGTTTTCTTTATCCCTCATCATTGATCAATGGCTACTAACTTGTCCTTGTCACCGTAACAGGCCTATCCGTTTGAAAAGAACTTCCAACAGACATTCTGGGGCAGCAACTACGCGAGACTCCTCCGCATCAAGCGCGAAGTCGATCCTACAGACGTTTTCTGGTGCGCGCCGTGCGTGGGCAACGAGAGATGGGAGGTTCGTCCAGACGGACAGCTCTGCAAGAAGTAGATGAGACCACCGTCTTCGGATCGAGGTCGGCTCTTCTTGCGTTCTTCAGCTGCGACCGCGATCGAGGAAAACAAGGAATAGTTTGGGGACATGATTTTGCGATGAAATCAATACAATACATATTTTCTTGGCGTGTATAAGGATGCAGATAATGTGAATATTTCAAACGATTTCTCCGATTTATTTGGCAAACGTGTCAAATAAACTTTGCTACTACATACTTCATGTGCTGGCAGTCACTCAGCGATCACATTCGCCGCACCACCTTTTGTGCTTCATCAAACCATTTTAGACAAGAGTAAACAAGCACTACCTGATCTTGGTGAATTGTGTGACCTGCCGTGTGTTTTGCAAGGTAAGATTGGTGAGATACAAATACATGCTAGGTATACAATATTGAAGTCCTCGGCAAAAGATCTCGAATTGCGCGCCACCAGCCCTTGGTGAACTTAATGCCTTGGCGGGTTCTTGACCAGTCAGGCTATACGTAGTAGACTTTACCGTGCCCGTCCTCCGACCCTTCCGTCTTGCCTTCAAGATCCTGATTCCGATCCTCCTTGGCCCATTCGCATTCGTTTTTAGTTCGGTAACAGCAAAACTGATATTAACACGCGATGCGCGTCACCCATCTCCTCCGCCTTACCCACAAGATATGCAAGGATGCTGGCGTATTGGAGGGGATCAAGTGTCTTATTATGATGATGCTCCCACCATAAGCCCGGTAAATTACGAACCTGCTTATACTTCGAGAGTGCGAGTACATCCAACCGAGCAGGGACCTGCTGGGTAGGTGAGAGACTCCTATGTAGGTACCGAAGAACATCGGTCATGGGTAGTTCCAAAGACTGGATAGGAGTAGGTGTTATTGTGGGAGGAGATGGTATTGGCCGCACTATCGGCGGCGGCGACACAAAGGAGTTGGCCTGAACGGGCAAAGGGGCCGGTGTGGTTTTGGCCCCCCGCCAAAAATGGCTCTGTCGGCAAGGCTGAAACGGTCGGTTGTCGAAAGATCGTTCGTAGGGGCGCCTTGCCGACAGAGCCGTACGCAGGACAGTACCGTGACGTCTGTATACATGAGAGTATGGACAAGATTTCTGAAAAAAGTTGATGTGGCGTAGTTGTGCCGTGTCCGTTTAGTGGGATAGTTGTGAATGAATTCTTGATTTGGCCCGAGAGTAACAAGGGGACAAGTAATGATTGACATCTGATGTAGATGAAGCTGGTTTCTCTATGAGAACGGTCAACAACATGTTTGACAGGTATTTCAAGTGGATGTACAACTTACCATGCCATCCGATGTACAGTGAGCTGTGAATTAGTGTTTTCAGCGAGATTAATCTCCTATAGCGAATGGAGTTAGCCAATGGTAGAAGTCAATGAGGAAACATAGACTTACTGCTTCTAGGATGAACGAGGTTCTGATGTTGGTATACGGGAGAGAAAAGATGTGGTGCGGATGGGGCACGGATGGGAATATTGCGTCAGGAGGGCCTCTGGTTGGGAGTGAGACTCTTGGAAGATGCGACAATGAGTACAAAGTGGACCTAGGAGGATGGTTAATCGAAGCGAAGCAGAAAGGTTCATAGGGAAAATCACCCACGTTTAGAAAGAAACAGGCTCTCCAAAGAGCAGCAAGTAGGTCGGGTGACGAATGTGGGAGTGAGCAGGGAATAGAGAGAGGGGATAGAGACTGTTGTTTGCTTTTCGAGAAGGTGGTCTGAGGTTAAGAAAGAGCACAGCCATCAACTCCAAGCGACGGCATGATGGACTTTCTGCAGAATTCTCTGTGCTCTACGCAGCGATGATTGTCCCACCCTTGAAGGTTGTGAATTCTTCCTCTGAGGACACGCCTTGATGAGCATCTCTCCAAAATACAGACACAGAAGTTATGCACTTACGAAGCGTCATCGTTCTCTGAACGGCCATTATTGGCTCCCCTTTTGCTTGAACGGAAGTGGTGCGAAGCTTTGCGAAGAGAGGATGGCTTTCTTGCCGAACTTTGGAGTGCAGGTGTGGGCTGGGCCGGTTTCTCTCCGCGATACTCGCTTGTCAGAAGAAATGAGACGAGCCGCTGACGAATAGAAGAATGGCAAACTGATGCCTGAAATTCTTTGCGAGGAGATGGTTGTGCTTTGGAACTGCTGGTGTTGGGATCTGTTGCTTGCAACCGTGTTTGTTGGGAATCAAGGAGAGGGAGAAGAGGAAGGAGAGGAGAGGGGAAATTGTGGGCAGTGGTCCAGACCGCAAAGGAACTCGAAGGAACTCGATGGAACTCGATGGAACTCGATGGAACTCGAAGGAACTCGCTTCAACTCCTGCTCCTGCTTTAGATAAGAGGCAGTTGGTGCGGCCTGTTACGTAGGTTATTGCCTGGTTATTCAGGTGGCCACTACAGCTGGCAACTGTTCAGGTTCGGTTGCCTCACCCAGGGGGGATGGCACAGCGGTCAGGGGGGCCCAAGGGCAGGTACTACTGGGCAGTACTGGACACCAATAGACGTTCATTTAATGTCTATTGACTCTTCATCATGGGCTCTTTTTTCCCTTCATCACAAGCTCTTCTTCCTCAAGGCGAGAGTTCAGTTACCATCAGTTGGTCACAATATCCCAAGTCTCCGCCCGCCCGCTCATTTGAAGTTGAAACAATCCTTCTCCCCACAGCTTATTTCCCTGAGAACTGTTGCCAACCTCGACAACGAGCTGGCCCCTTATCTCCTCGTCGATACAATATATCACGGTAGGCTTCCCTGGTGTGTATTTGATCTCTGCCTCGTCACCTGGGTTGATCTCCTGGGGAGGGTTATGAAGATACTCTTGATAACCATTGATCTTGAAGGTCGCATCCGTCGTGTTGTTCAGTGTGACAGCTGCGAGAAGTCAGACCATTTTACCTCGTGTCACCCATAAAGAAAAGGACTCCAAGAATAGTCATGGATCGATGGGAACTCGGCGACGATCAGACTTACCCATCTTGCCTCTTGGTGATGTTGGGGAACGGAGATTGGTATCTGATGTTTTTCCAAGGTGTGCTTGGGGATGGAGAGGATGAACTGTGGTTGATATATTGCTGGGACTGATCACTGAGGCACTGGGGCCAAATCTGGCATGCCGATTTTGTACTGTACTCTGGCTTCCATCAAAGCCATTCTACACTGAAATGACACCGTAATATTTTGTGGCTCGATTCCTCCAATACCACAACGCGTCGTGCCTAGAGCGGCATCGTGAGAATGCTTCGAGGTCGGAGAGAGGCTCATCTAGCAACCTTTAGATCCACCTAGCGGAATACCCTCGTTTACGTGGCATAATCAAGAAGCAGACATTTCTGGATTCCATGCTGATTGGGCACTGCCAAATTCTACATCTGCCGGGGAGCAGCTGAATATCTGCATTGGGAACTGCCTACGCGGGGTTTAGCTGAAAAGGGTGTTGGAGTCAAGCCTAGCATGGCATGGACCTGACTGGGGTTGTGTAGCTCCTTTTTGTACGGCCAATGAATTCCAATGAATAAAGAGAGTGCAGATTTCACTAGGGATCCGTCTTCAGCGGTGCCCCGCACGATGCGAGCAGGGCATTCTTGTGGGAGTTGAGCGACGTGGTTGCTTGCTGGGGCCTTTGTCCAGATCCTTGGAGAAAATACAGACATATCGTCATCTATACAGCGAATTACTACAGAGTATACTGCCGCTTGGATCGAGAGAGAGGACGGAAGAGGAGGAATCTTGCTACATCTTGCTACTCAAACGTCCCAGGCATTGACATCAACCAAACGACGAGGCTAAGCTGACTATGTGCCGGTGTCAGAGTGACAGCGGGATTAAATGCCGTCTCCACTTGATCTCCCTCCAGTTCTCTCAGGTAGGCCAAGTCGAAGGGAGTACGAACGGTGCAACGGTCTGCAGTCATTAATCTGCGTGCTAAAAGCGTTGGATAGAAATCGGACAAAGTCGGCGGTCCATAACCGGCCAGCGGTTCGGTACACGCCTCTTCCGTTTTGTCCACAACCATCGATCTGTGGGAGACGATCTAGCCATGGTCGTAGTAGAGGAGAGGTGAATCGCTTCTTCGTGTGCGAGGGGGAGGACTAAACGCAGAAACACCAGGTCAGCTTCTCTCCAGAGGAAGTGCTGCTCAGAACCAATTACTCAACAAGAGAGGGAACTGGGCACGTAACAAGAAATAAAGGCCGGATGGAACTAGACGGTGTGTTTGCGCGGCCGCCGTTTCTTGATTTTTGTAGGATCAGAGTAGTAAAGACTGGCTGTGGGAAACGGAAGAGTGGAGGAGAAATCCCATACCTTGCAGAGGAGCCTTGCACCGAGATTGTTAGTTCTGGTGGCTGCGAGGCTACGAGGCTACAACGTTTGATTGCTGGCTCGCTTTTGTAAAGCCCCAGTGCTGCTTGGATCTGGCTACACAAGGCTGCCACCACCATATCATTGCAATACAAAACACTCTGTTAATATTTCCCGATGCCTTGTGCCCAATGCTGAATTGCCTTCAAGTAAGTGTCTCCAAATCAATGCCTTCTCCACATGATCTCTACACTGAGAGCGTGATGCATCCCTCCAGGCCCCGTTACCCTACAGCTTGCCAATTGGAGTATATTATTCCATCGATACACAAGCGCCAATCTGCATTCTAGCAAACAGCTGACTTTCTGATGGCTACGTTATGACCCAATAACGAACCAATTGACATTTCGACCGTGTTTTACAGAGGGCACACACACTCTACCCATTCTTGGATTCTCGTGGCCTCTTCGTTATTCCATCACTGGACATGTGTACTACCTATTAACAACCCTTGGCCTAAACCAGGCAATCCCAACAAACGAGTCTTTGTGCCGATGTGCTCGGTGAGCTTGAGTTTCGCGGCTGTTCAAATCAATGTCTAAATCTACAGCTCGCCGCTTCATCTGTTTAGACATCATCGCTGAACAAATGCTGCCTCTGGAGGCATACCAAGTCAGCGTGCTACAAGCATTACCGTATGTACAGAAATTAAAGACCACATTGTAACTACTTGGGCGCGTGGTCTAGGGGTATGATTTTCGCTTCGCATGTGAAAGGTCAGGGGTTCAATTCCCCTCGTGTCCATTACTTTTGCATTTTTTTTTTGTGCACCCGTCTCGGCGTCAACATTCTCACAAGACTTGATTGTCTTGCTTCTTTTTCCCTTTTTTGTTCTTTTGTCTTCGTCTTGTCAAATTCCTCTCAAGATAACATGGAACTCGTAAATTCCATTGCTTCTAGGTTGGTCACATCGTAAGTATTTCGTGATCTCGTGGGAATAATCTCCTCCACGAAACACCACTCGGAAATAACGCTGGCAGTGATCCACACTCCACTCCAGCTTCATCAGCTTCGAATCCAGCCTAGCTCTCCCAAATCAATCAATCCAACGAGATCATGGCTGAAAGTTTGTCACATTCATTTCCTTGAAATATTCAGAGTCCGCATCCAGGGCGTCTGCTAAAGACTCCTAAGGTGTACTGCGATTCTCCCTCTACTGGACCTGCGGAACTAACCTTGTCCCTTCATAGGACCCTGCACGATTGATTAGGCTCGCCTATACACCGTTTCGAATCAGAGAGCAAACGTCCGTCAATGCGAAGAGAAGGAATTTTGCTGACCCAGAGTGTGGGAGGCCCCGTTTGGTTTAATTTATTTGATCTCGCAAGAGAAGACACGATATTCATCAAGACCTACACGCGTCAACACATCGAAGCTGATCCGAAGACTACTCATAGATCCACTGGCGGTTGGCCGGCAACATCTCTTGGGCAGAGAGAACACTCTCTGCACCATCCATCTACTATGTTTGATGGCCAATTGTCGGCCGATGGAAGAAGTGAAGACGCTTCATCAACATGACTGAAGACTACCATCTTCTTGCGATACGACAATCTGGAAGGAAAGCGCTACAAGAACCATAGCTGGGATAGTCTCATACATCAGCCTATGGCTGTATTGGGAGAACATGCCCCTGAAAAAGAAGAAGAGAACAAAGACCAAGTCAATGTGGTGCCGAATGAGTGGCCGCAGCAAGTATTGCATCAACGGATAAACCTCCCCAGACAGACAGTCTAGAGCATTAATTGGCAGCGATAACACGTCCACCACATCTCAAGGGAGGCCAATGTCCAACTCCTTCTGAATACCAACGGACTTGGCCATCAGGCACAGTGATAGCGCCACCCTGCTTTCATAGGAATTGCCATTTGAACAAGCTACGAGATGGAGCACAAAAGAAAACCAGCAATGGATACAAAGGCACAAATATCAACGCCACAAACATGTGAAACAATTCATTTGATACAACTATTCTGATATATACATTGAAAGCCGTGACCAACTCGCTGCACCGGCGTTGGCGCATCTGTGGGACTTTACCGTGCGGCGAGGTGATTTGAAGCGCCGACTGGGGAAAATAGATACATACAGGTGTAGCTCCGTGAGAAAAATAGACAATATTTGCTCAATTGCCAAAAGATCCAAATGAAGTTTAATCTGCCCGCATGGCTTGCATCATTCTCATTGCTAGAGCTTGTATGCCCTCCTTGTACCCCTGTGGTATGAGTTAGCGGTTGTGGCTTCATGGAAAGCGCCAGGATCTAAGGCTACTGACCTCCTCTATTTCTCGGACGAGTGTCCGAAACGCAGGACTTTATCGTGCACAATTGTCACAATAAAAGTCTCAGCGGGCGATTGGTAATCATTCGTGAAGATTGCATTTGAGCTGGATTCGACTCCCACGCTAGTGCGCTGCATCCTTTTCTCTCCCTGCGTCCCCGGCCATCATCATGGCCTCCAGTTCTTCTACCTTTGCATCTGCCTTGGCCACTATATCAGCCGTCTTGACCTCGATAGGCTGGCCGGCTGGGTCCTCTAGTAGCGCCCCGGCCGGCCAGCCTTGCTTGTCCAGTTCTTCCATCTGCGTAAGACTTTACCGTGCACAAACAAGTGGCACAGTAAACGTCTCACCAGGCGATTGGGAGTCATTCGTGAAAACCTAGTAAACAAGGTGTGAACATCCGAAACCAGTTGTTCAATCTCCTGCTTGAAACTGGCCTTCTTGAGATGATCATCACAATTGTGACTATGTTCTCTGCTCTGTGTGGGATTCCCTTTCATGATGAACACCTCCTGACGTAGTCTCTGTTCCGACTGAGTCCTCTCCCCCAAGGTTTGTCAGGGGAGGGTTCATCTGCGTGGGTTTACGGTGTGCAAGTAGCACGGTAAAAATTGGTTCCAGGAAAGATGGGTTGGTGTCAACGACTGGTCTTCTTTGAGTCTCTTGCTGCCCCTAAAAGGAGAGCTAGCTGCGACGAATGGTTGATGCAGTTTTAGAAAAGTCAACTTTGTGCGCAAGACTTTGTCGTACATGCTCGACACAATAAAAAGCATCACCGGGCAAGGTTGTGGGGATCCGGAAGTACAACAGAGCGTGCAGCCACTTGGGACTGATGGAGTGTGTGGATGTCGTTGTCCGCGTAGAACATGGCGCCAACGGAGTGAAGAGATTGCCGTAACTGGTCGGTTGAGGCTTCATGAATCCCGCCTATATCAGGGCTATGGAGAGGGTTAGTCAGAGCTAAGCACAGCAGAGCACGAACCACAACTAACTTGTTGTTGCGTACATTGAGCGGAAAGACGGACGCGTTCTGGAGTGATGGAACATGGGGGAGTGTCGGGTCTGGACCGAGCAAATTCGGCTCGTAGATGCCACCGTTGGCGAAATGTAATTATTGGAAATAAAGTCTAAAAAGACCTCAAGAGCCAGCTTTACACAACTGCAAAAGTTCCAGGAGCATAAGATTCATACGCGAGATTTACGAGACGCCGAATACTTGTCGAAAAGTTGAGTTGTCATGGATATGTTGAAGAGGCCTCAGAATGGCAAGGATGAAGAGGAGCTCTGCTGAAGAATTACAAACGGTAGAGTGTTGGCCTCTAATGAGAAGAGCGGAATAAGGAGCATGCATGAGGGAATGCTGGGAACGGCATGGCGTTGACTCTTGAATCAAGAGCTGTGCAGACCGAGTGAATGGATCGATCTGCTGTAGGAAAGACAGGCCTCAAAGGAGAAGAGATAGCCGAGAGGTTGAGAGAGAGGAAGGAAGTGGGATAGAGTAAGAGAGAGAGAAGGGGGGGGGGGGGGGGGGGGGTGCAAAAGGGGGGGTATAAATTTAACCCCCCCCCCCCCCCCCCCCCCCCCCCCCCCCCCCCCCCCCCCCCCCCCCCCGAGCAGACGGGCGGCTTGACAGTTTCCACTCCCCCCATCTTGAGCGGTCAAGAACCGAGCGTGTGACCAATAAATTCATTCGATCTGCGATATCTGCAACTGCATCTCGATCCGCATCTGCAGCTGCATGCAGGCCTGAGGCACTGAGTACCTTGGACTAGCATTAGTATGCCGTACATGCCACCCCCTTTCCCACAGGTGCCTTTGCTATCCTGCTGCATGTATAGGTAGTTGAGTTTCTCTGGTCACTGGTAGAATGCTGCAACAAGACGAAGACACTGAGAGTGCTGCTCGACTGATCACCTCTGCAACTATCACCAAATTCTTGATTCATTACCTTAGTAGTAGGTACACAAGCATCCGTGATGTGCTGTACTCGGGTGTTTGTATCTATTGTACTCCATCTCCCCCTTCGTATCCGCTCTCGCCTCCAGTCTCTTCTGTTGAGCCACTCGCGGAGCTTCCTCACCCTCCCTCCTCGACCCACTCCACCATTTCATATCGCGCTCTTCCTAATTCACTTGACATCTCTTTCAGCAATCGGTCAGGAACTGTCGAGGCTTGCCCCTAGTATCAAAAGGATCGGGATCGGCGGGATCGGAGTAGACTGCCGCCTTGGCGTTGTTGGGGATGAACTGTGCTGTCCAATCGAAAGACACACTCAACTCGCCATGGAAGATTCTTGAAGCAATAGGAGACCTCTCGGCTTTTTGTTGGGATGCCTTGCCTGCCAGCTTTTGCTGAAAGCTGGCAAGTGTTGCCAGAAGAGTGACGCAAGCGATCACGCTGACCCCCGCCCTTCCCATTCCTTTATATTTCCCCTTCGCCCATCCTTTTCGTTTCCTCTTCTCTCTTCTTCTCTTCTTTTTCAAGCCTGTTGAGCTGGCGGAGGCAAGGCTGGCTGGCCGGGGTGCTACTAGAGGACCCAGCCGGCTGGCCTTGCTTCTGTAGTTCAAGGAATTGGACGTAACGCCAAATCGGCCTGAGAGAAGACTCGTCCTCGTCCTCGTCCTCGTCCTCTTTCTCGTCCTCGTCCTCGTCCTCTTTCTCGTCCTCGTCCTCGTCCTCATCTTTGTTCTGGTACTCGGTCTCCCTCGCCTTTGACGAAAAGGATACCAACGTCCACCGATGACGAGAAGGACACCAACACGTGTCTTCTTCTGCAACTTCATCCCCATGTATGTTTCTCCCTTGATCCTTCTACAACATACCCTCCGTCATGATGCTGATCTTGTTCAGCACTGAATCTCACCCCAATACGATTGGCATGGTTGATTCATTGAGTCTGTTGGCCACTTCGGTCCGAAGAGCCACAAGCAAGACAAGGCCGCTTCTGGAGTAGCAGCGCCAGACTGTCCTTCGCCGACTCACCATCGACTTCGACTGTCTCTGAATTTGACTTCTGAGACTTCTCCTGCTCCAACCACCATCACACCCTGAGCAGACCGCATCATCAAAGGTGCAATTGGCCCATCATTTCGTTGTTTCCAGAATACCATGACTGTAAGACACTCCCCAACTACAGGTTTGTTCGCAGCTGACATGGTGATCAACTTCAGTACTCAATCGCGCTTTCTCGTTTCTGGCACTTCTCAATTCAGGTCCAACTCAACACTTTCTTTGCCAACCAAAAATGCTGGTCTTCTTACATTTCGACTTCTTTTTTCTTCCGATCTCGCCCTGTGTATATGCTGTAGTCATCCGCTCCTCTTTACATCTTTTACCTGAATTGTGCAAGTGGTGGTTAGGATGGCTTGAGTTTGTTGGTTGTGGATGATGGTCGAGTGTTAGGCAATGAGCTCTAGAGTATCTTTTGGAGCGTTATAATGGAAATCGTTTCGCTGTGGTCCATTCTTGTACAAGTCTTCTATTGCGCCGTGACGATTCTATTCATTCTCCTCAGAGTATGCTCTCCGTCACTAGAACCGAGTCGCGCAAACATCTCTGGATGCTCTTGTTGCTATCTGTTTGCACACTTGGTAGCTGTCTTGATTGAAATGAACAGTAAGCGAACTTGAAGGATTTCCGCAGCACACAGTTGGTTTGTTCAAACGCGGCGATTTAGTTGCATTCCCCTCTCCACCAACGTTCAAACGCGCATAGAATGCCTCAGCAATTTCCATCCGCGCAATTGCACACGCCGCAAAAGCTCTTTGCATTTTCGACGGCAACAGTGAGTACATTTGATACATCTCTGGAGCGGAAAATGCTCACGGCATTGATTGATTTCTCTCTAGATGTGTCTAGACCTTCAAACCTGTCGCCACATTGCCTCCCAACCGTCTCCGTCTTTTGTCTAAATGGTCCAACGCCCAACGCAGCAATGTCGCGGTGGAAGCCAGTTCTGGCTCAGCATTGCTGTCGATGTCTTTATTCGCCGTTTTCGGGGGTATTGCCCAAGACAGCTGAGACGCAGCATTTGTGGCTGTACTGAAACTGTGAGATTGTGCTCTCTTCTTGAGGCTACAAGTCAATAGCACTAAGAATATCTACTGAAGCAGAGTCGAGATACTCGAGGCAACGTGCCGTTTCCCACGAAGCGAAAAGCCTTTCGAAGCAACACCGAGATCATTCCTTATCGCCGAGCACACAAGCACATACAATCCGATTCATTTACAAACTCAGACAATATGGCAAGTATAGATCGCCTTTGGAGGGCCAACAGTGACCAAATGGAAATTAATCAAGTCATGCCGAATCTTCAGAGTCACCTTTGTTACAAGAATCACGATTTCCAGCAGCGGACGAGTGCGAGCAGGTGGCCAGAGTACACATGGCCCCTTTCTTCTCCGGATTCTTTTTCTTGAGTATCTCTCTATCAATTTTACGCCTCAATGAACAAGAAGGTAATTGTTTCATCTTTCTACTCTTGAGAAAAGTCACAGTTCTTGAATATCAACATAGTACATCCACGCTACCAGGGCAGAGCGGTGTTTAATCGCTGATAGAAAAACTTTTCAGGTATGCGTCCTATTTTCTCCTGTTCTTATTATTCTCGACCCTCATTCCTAGGACCGTATTTGGAAGAAACCGGTGGCCACTCTACCATGAGTTCTCTCCATTGTCGTGGTCACCAGCTTGCATTGGTCCAAGGAACCCCTTTTACAGTCATTGGCGCTCGCGCAGCCATGTTACAGAGAGATTATCTGGGAAGTTCAAAGATGTACTTTATTCATTCATCGACCTTTATAACAGCATCCTTATTGACTATACGGCTGCGACAAGACGCTATTGGTAATGCCATTATGTCCATAACTAGAGAGAACAAAATCGCACAATGCTAACAGGGACGATTTGGCATAGGAAGCTGTCTGCAAGCATGCAAGAGCATCGATACGGTCGTACGGAAATCCAAATACAAAAGAGAAAAAAGAGTAGGGAAATCCAAGGGAAGAAACCATTCCTTCAACGTCCCCTCAAGATTGGCAGTGACATCCATAATCGCACAATGCCATGTCAAGTTTCTCTCTTCCTGGCGCATCTACGAGCCGATGCAGCAGAAGCCGAGGAGGAAAATAGCAATGATGCAGTTGCCCTGGTCACAGCCGCTGCAGCAACGCTTCTCGATGTCACGTTCAGCCTTTTACGCAGTCAGCAATGCCCCATTTGCGATTGGTTCGACACACCAGATCAGAAGATACATACCAGAGAGTTAGTGTCATTCGGAGGAGCGCCGGTGGTCTGCACACCAATTGCCTCCAAGTAGCCCAGAGCAGCAGTTCGGGCGTCTTCTTCACTGATGCCAGGGTATTTTCCCTTCACCTGCCAAAGAGCAGTGGCATAGTGAGGATCGGCGGTCAAGTCGGAGGTGAGATCAATGGTTGCGGTGTTGGCAAAGGTGCTCGAGGTTGGTGCGGCCAAGACAAGGGGAGCGGCCAGAGCAGCAGCAGCGAAGAACTGAAAGAAACGCATGTTGAGAATGGTGGGAGAAGAAGGAGATATGGAAAGGGAGATGAAGATATCGAATATGATAGGAGTGCTTGTTGAGCTGAGTTGTTGGTTGATGAGTGAGAACCCCTTTTGGAGGAATTCGTCGTCCTATATATACATTTCAAGGTATGCCATCGTGAAGACTTCCATCTTGATATCAGCTAATCGAGATGTTATTTTAGGAATACCAGGCGACTAATACGCCCACCATGAAGCCAATATTCCGACTATCAATCCTATGATCATGCTGCGCCTGGTGTTGACCATCCTTTGGCAGAAAGCGGCCCAACTCTAGCCCGTTATTTTCCTGTCAGCACTGACTTCAACCGACGGCGAAGTTTAGATGCCAGCCTTACGGGGCTAGTAAACAAGCGCGCTCCAGTCAGCACAATCTTTGCTACTTAATTGACTAGTGAGTATGGATGAAGTATGACACGAGCATTCTCTAACAGCATATCAAAGAGGAAATAGGTTGGCTTACCGTGCTAATGCTTCGCCATGTAATCACTTGCGATGACGATCATCAGTCTATCAATAGTTCGTTTCCCAAGAGAGCATCAGCTTGCTGGACAAAGAAGAGCAAGCTCAGAAGAAAGCCTCTTTGCAGGACGAGTAAGTCAGTTCTATGGCATATCGCCATATTCCATTCTTACAGTCTTGGTTTCAACAACGGTTTGTCTGTCGTTATTACCTGCAAATGATAACGCCAAAGAAGAAGAGATCTTGCAACAAATGTTTCTGTGCGATTAATTTAGAAACCATCATAGGATGATTACTCTGTAAGTGAGACGCAGCAGGGATGATTCTTGTTGACTAGGTAGGACTGTTTATAGCATTATGTCGAGCCGAATCCGCGTCTTCCTGTTTGCCACCCCTAGGTCCAGTTCGTGTCATCGTTTCATGAAGGATATTTACAAAGTGTATGCGAGCTGCTATAGGTACAAAGCCCAATGATGCTTATTACTTTCTTCAGTTGCACGTACTAAATGTACCAAGGCACTGGTGGAAAAGGCTGTTGAGCCATCGAAAAAGGACCCTCGTCCCGATCTCCGGTGCTATGTTTACTCTAACAGAATCGCCGAGTATCACAAGGCTCAGAAACAAAAGTACCACAGTGACTTAAGCAATCGATGTGATTACTGCTTACCTCTGCGACTAATGTTCTCCCATCACCTCCCGAAATCTCCGCAGTCTCCATCGACGCAGCATTATATCCACAAAGTTCGGAGTTTATTTCGCGGGGAAGATCCGATCCCTGCCAGACGATCTTTGCGTGCGTGCTGCGCTTAATATAGCAGGGCTATACTACTCACAGAAAAGGAGATGGGGCCAGCTAAAATGCTAGAACGTGGTGTGGCGATGTTCCGGACGACGACGGCCTTTCCTGCTCTCCGGACCAAGCATCCGTTCAACTAAGGCGAGCCGGGTATCGTTAAACCCCCTTTTACCATCAATCGGAAGATTCTTCCACCCATAATCTCTCGTGATTTGATCAGCCGCTGTAGGTGTCATCCAAAGACTTCCAATCTCCTCGTCGGAAAGCCATAGCCGAAAGTCCGATCAGGAAGAAGATGTGGAAACCCCCCAGACGCTACCACCAAGCCACGACGCCACCAGCACTTGACCCTGGCCAGAGCAAGGCTAAACGGCTTGGAGTTGGCGGTGCCAGAAGCCAGATAGATTTAGAGGACATTGGCTGTCTAAATTGACACGAACTGTCTCGGGCGAAACACGCCGCGGGTCGACGACGCAAGACCCCGTGTCAAACGAACTACTCACAGATATAAACATCCAAACGACATTGGGCGTGCACAGAATGTTGTACGGGGTACTCTCTCCTCAACTTGGAGCGCCTAGGCATAGCGCGGAGAGGCTTCAAGATGGCAGTACCGTGGATCATACCCCATATAAGCACAGGGGAACGGGGAGTGTGGTGTTACGTGGATCCACGGATACGCACGCTCGTAGGGATGAAGCAACTCATCGGATCTCTGCCCTTCCGATTATAGCAACATAGAACAGGTCGGTAGAATATCATATCGCAGAGTGATTGGCAAAGCTCCCTCCAGATAACGGATATTATCGGTGCCTAAGGAGATCCATCAATCGTCATCAAAACATGACACAAATCGCCTGAATGTGATATTGAAGTGCATGTGACATCTGCCTCTAGTTTCTCTCGTAATAGTCGATTATCATTAGCCCGTAACACAATCTCACCTTTGCTTTCGTTGTAAATAGATGCCCAATCACTTGGTTACAAATCGATGATGGGGTTGAAGCTCTGATCTGGACTTTCGGCACTTGGCGCAGGGTAGTATTGCGCCATATCAAACAAAGTCTGGAATGTCTCTTAGCAACAAGATGTTCCAAAAAAAAAGAGATGAATATCCCATGTCTAAATTCTGTTGGTATAGAAATATGGATGAAATATCCATCCAGTCTGGCAGTCAAAGTTGGATTGTAGATTGTGGCCCCATCACCAACGTTTGGCTGGATTCCTGCTTTTCGCCGCGTCGCCGGCGATATACCGCTCCAGCTTTCGCCAGCATATTGAGAAGGAAAAAAAAAAATGAGAAAAACCAAAGTGATCACAGTGATGATATTTTAGCCAAGAAATTCCCACAATATTGTTTGCCCGTCTTATTGTGGGCTGATGAAGTGTCAATTGTCAATCGTTCGTACGGGCATCACATCACATGACTTGCTGTAGCTGCTTGCCGACATACTGATCCATGGTGATGATTTCCGGGTAACAAGCATCACCAGGAATACTCTCCATCTTTCTGTGGCTAATTCAAGCCCAAAGGTCCAAGTCTTCGGATATCTTTGCAAAGCAAGATCAGTACACTTTTTGGACCGCGCGAGCCCCTTTGCCCCCATCTCTCATCGTCTTTCTCTTCCTCTTGCTTTGTCTTCGTCCCTCCTCTCCTCGGCTATCGGCCGAATATTCCACTTCACGACGAGGCGGCTGATACAATCTTGGCTTGGAAGAGCGCTCTGTGGTTATCTAGGGTGCAAGGGAGTTTTTCAGAACTCCAAGTATCCCAGGGTCGAAAGCAAGAGGCCGCGAGAAGGATTTTGGTCGATGGCCTGGCGCCGGATTACGATCCAGAGAGCAAAAAAGCTTGGTTGACTGTACGCAAAATATCCATTCCTTACTGGTTAGCCGCTGCTGACTGATTGAGGATGTTGAATATAGAATATTTCGAAGTTCCACGATTTGTACCGCCCTGTCCGACGTCAAATTTCCATCGACAACGTTACCAAACCTCGATCCCATTTCGAAAATGGCTCCCCGAAGAGAATCAAGTCAAACAGTCGATGAGGAATGCTGTCAGATCGGTTGTCAAACAACATGCATCTTTCTTTTCACTGCGTAGTACGACATTGATTTAGGGCCAGTCCGAGCCGCGAATGTTTCCCGGTGCCTTGGCATCGCAGCCTCCTACCAACCAGATCGAACGAACGTCAGAGCCGCTCGCAATTATATAAAGGGAATTAGGGGTAAAAGAAGGAGGAAATTTGGAAAGGAAGAGCATACAAAGAGAAGATAGTGTGATAGCAAGTGTTCGGTGTCTGTTCAGGAATACAAAGAAACTCCTGGCAGGCTTCACGAACAAGCCATCGAGCTTTCAGCGACAGGAAATAAAGCAAATGAACAATGAATCAAGTAAGACGATAGGATTTAGTTAGAAAATAATAAAAATAGCCCATAGTTTGCGAGTCATTCTATGCTGCAAAACCTCTGCATCTCTGCATAGTAGATGGTCTGCGCGGCCAGGGATCCAAGGGGCAAGAGCGTCAAGTTATGAAATTTATTCTTCTGTATTATTTCTATCACTCAAAACAATTTATTATGCATGGTATTTGCAGTGGTAATTGCATTTAGTTGTCAATGGCGTCTGTTCGTGTAGAATTTCTGAGTGTCCATGGAGGTATGCGCCGAGGTGCCCCCCGCTGCACTCGACCCCCAACTCGCAGCCCCTTTCAAATTTACTGCAAAAGATGGACTGGGAAAAGAACAAATAAATCATAAACAGAATCATAATTGATTTTTCTTGGTACTCAGACTTGTGGCTGCATCAAGCTGCCCTGCGGAAGCAAAGGTTGGCAGTTCGCCCCCTGTGCCCCCTATTCCACCACCACCAGCGCAGGCTGCACAATCGCACTGGAAAACAAACACAACATTTGATCAGCAGAAAAGCACTCACAGACTTCATAAATAAGTAAAAAAAAAGAGACCGGACACTAAGTTTGTCAATTCTCTACTAGATGCTACAATTTCGATAATCAACACCAAAGACTGAGACGGCTACAAATTGTAAAAAAACGAGTCTCGATTCAACCACAAGACAAAGCGAACAGGTAGGCATCGCGAATCGAACAGCAGTCTTCTAGAGATGGAAAAAAGAAAACGTACACAGGACTTTACCATGAGGCCGTCACGGTAAAGTCCTGCGTACATTAGGAGCTCTGTAAATCCAGGTTATATACCATATCTCTCTGCAAAGATACTGAGACATCGCGACATCCCGCAGCCATGAGATACTACGTACGCTCGAGACATATCGCGAAACCACCACAAAAGAGAAATGGGAATGCTTCAAAGACCTGGCCGAATGGAAGACAGTCTCGCTACGCATACGATGCTGCTCGCCATAAATTTCAAAAAAATTGTACTCAAATTCAAACACTACGCAAAAAGAAAGGACGCATGCTGGCAATCGAACACCAGTCTTACAGAAATGAAAAAAAGAAGAAAAGCGTACGGAGGCTTTACCGCAACCCCATTTAGACGTCACGGTAGAGTCCCACGCTGACAGGAGCTCTGTTATTTTACCTCTTAACCCCTTTCCCCTCGCTGGACACTGCCCAGTACCCGTTACCTGTATCTGTCTCTCTTGCCTCCCGGACATCTCTCGCACATCGTGTTACATCACTGATCGCCCTCGAGGTGGAATGCGCGAAGCATCTCGGAAACATCTTTGCCCTCCTATTCGTCGGAGCCTCGCTACTCGTTTCACGGATGCTGCTCCTTCACTTCTTCTTACCGACTCTCTGCCTTCCTTCGCACACTTTTTCTTCTACCCCCTCGATTTGCCTTCTCCCCCTCCTCTCAACTCTCTCCCTTTCTCCTCTCTCCATCTTCTCCATCTTCTCCTCTCTCCATCTTCTCTCCTCTCCATCTCTCAAGGGTCTCTCCATCAAACGCTCAAACACTCTCTTGTTCAACGTACTATCTCGCCGTCCACTCTCCCTCGTCAACATCAACATCATTATCAACATCTTTACAACATCTTTACAAGTATGGCTTTACCTTCGTTGCGCTTTGTGCACAGTAATGTCCCACGCGAGTCTGCTCGTAAGACGCAGCAGGCGGCAAAACTGTTCCTGGGTAGCAGTACCACCTCCAGCATGACGCCCGAGAACGTAGAGAGCCCCGGGCCGCAACCCAAGCCGCGGACCAATTCTAGATCCAAGCGAAAGAGAGAGGCTGAAGGGCCAGGGTCAACCCTGTGCCGACAAACCGTTGGTTTACTTGACGCTGCGAAACCACATTGAATGGATGCTGACTCTGTCGGCAGTGTGGGCGTTGCCTGTTCTGCACTCTTGTGCACGGTAAAGTCCTGCGTCTGGCGAAATCACGCCAGAAGGCGAGACGGAGGAAGAACGGCTTTGGAGGCAGTGGCTGGGGTGACAGCCAGGGTTAACCCTGTGCCAACGGACCGTAAGCTGACTTGACCCCAAACATGACATGAGAAACCACATGGGCGAACACTGACTCTCTTGGCAGTGTGGACGTCGCCTTACCTGCACTCTTGTGCACGGTAAAGTCCCACGCTGGCCGGGCTCGACATCAGGCATATAGTCGAGCCCGGCAAAGCCTTAGGGCTCTGCGCGACGTGCTGTCTCGCGAGAAGAATAACGCGAGAGAAGAATGGTGCGTGTGGTTTGATGCGACGAGGAGGACTGAGAATCGACGGACGGCACAAGACAAGGTTGCAAGGTTGGGCCCTCTTTGTACTTCCTCCATGGTCACCGCCCAGTTGGACAGCTCCAGTGTGCCCTCTTGTTGGAAGGAAGGGTGGGATAACCAAGATTGGCGGGCTCGTAGAACACGAGATGCATTCAATGGGAGGTAGTTTGCAATGAACACAGCTATTGGTGCAATGTCTGTCCGACTTGACTACGTGATGATTTGGATACCATTGGTTAGGAGGTAAATAGTCACAATATATCGGATTACCACACACAATGAGTTGCTTCAAGCGTATTCTTCTACCTTTACAGAATCGCATTTGGAGATTCGTGTCTCCTGTCGACTTTGGAGACCACACGTATTTCACGCTCACACCCCCAATCAAATGGACATGGGTCATATAACGGAGAAGATTGGCTAGTAGCAGTGTGCTTTTCACAGAATTAGACGCCATTCTTTGAGGCTGGTTCAATTTGTTCCGATGCTAGTAAACATGGTAGTGTTCCCTCTTTTCTCTCTCTTTCTGTTCAATATCGATGATTCCAAACACTTTGCTGAATATAAATGATTCAAAACACTGTCCCAGCTCTAGGGATTAGTAGGTCCCTTGAGCCTGTCGTAATTAAGCACCGATTCGAGGAGAGCCTGCGTTCCAAGAGCACTGTTACAAACCATTACAATTAGCAAACACACACTGGAAGAAGAAAGCTACAAACAGGCATGAAACTTACCAGTCCTCTGGGCTGCAGTATTCCTCTGGATGGTGGCTAACGCCGTCTTTGCAGGGAACAAAGATCATGGTGGTGGGGCATTGGCTGCTCGTATTGATGCTGTCGTGACCTGCTCCGCTGGTGATGTATTGCCAGCCTTGGTCTCCGACGAGATCGGTCGCAGCCTTTGCGACCATCTCGATGCAGTCAGGATCAAACTTTGTGGCTGGGGAATCAGTATCAAGGGTCCAGTTGAACTGAACGCCCCGGCCATCCATTTTGGAGATGGATTCGAAGGACTTGAACAAGAGACGCTGTATTTCGTCGAGGGCTGCGTCTTCGGGATGGCGGATGTCAAGCGTAAACGTTACCTGGGAAGCGATGGTGTTGGTGGAGGAGTTTGGTGGCATCTTGAGGACGCCAGTAGATGCGAGGCCGTTGAGCTTGCTTGCGATTTCGTTGGAAGAAGCAATCATCTTGGCGGCTGCCAACAGGGGGTCGCTGCGATTGCTGAGAGGTGTTGTTCCTGTGTGGGCATCGCGGCCAGTGATGGTAATGGTGAACCAACGGTATCCCTGGCCTCCCTGGACGACGCCAATCTTCCTTTTTGCCTGTTCGAGGATTGGGCCTTGTTCGATGTGTAGCTCAAAGTGAGCTTTTAGGGGGTACCCGGTTGAAGAGCAGGCAACGTCTCCGATGTAGCCTAGCCTTTGGAGTTCTGACTTGACTGTAACTGAGGGATCCATGATGTCGGGAAGAGAGTAGGCTTGCTCGAGGGGGATTTTGCCGGCCCATACTCCAGATGCCATCATGGATTTGGGAAATCTAGCACCTTCTTCACTGTTGACGCAGGTGGATTAGACGATGAACTGCAAAGACAAGAGGAAAAGAAAAAATGGAATATGGAAAAGAAGTTGCATGGACACGGGATCAGTGGCAGAAGGAAAACTTACTTTGTCCAGTTGATGACTCCAACGTTGTGGTGAGTCTTGTGTCCATTCTCCGCAAGCGTGCGCATCACCTCGACAGCAGCCACGACTCCCAGAATCCCGTCGTATCTGCCACCTCGCGGCTGGGTATCAAGATGGCTTCCCATGGCGATCATGGGAGTGGGATCTGGCGCCGACCCGCGTTTGTTGGCAAACATGTTGCCCATCTGATCTACTACCAGGTTGCATCCCAGCTTCTGCGTCTCTTCGACGAACCAGCGCCTTACTTGGGCGTCATCATCGGAGAGGGAAAGGCGTGCCATGCCCGTCTCTGTTGGGCCGCTGTTTTGGACGTCAGCTTCTCTGGAACTCGAAAAAAATCGCAGGATTGGTGTGACAAACTCCCCATATCGATGAGCGGCACCCCATTGGCAGGTGTGGTGAATTGTCTCTAGCAGTCTGTCGGCGTTGATGCGGAGGCCTGAAGCTGGTGCGGAGAGGTGAGACGCCGAGAAAAGTCTCTTGGTGACAGAATACGGCGTCTTGCGAAGAAATAACTTGCTCATCTTGATGGATTGAAGCTGTGATTTTGCATACAAAAAATCAGTGAATGGATTATCCAAAGATAACAAGGAGAATAGATGGCAGAAATGGTAATTGCGTGAAAGAGGCAGAGCAATCGAATGAATCGGCTCTCTGGTGGAGTCTTGGGCCGATATTTGTTGTTGATAAGATGATGCTTGTCATTTGGCGATGCGCCCTCCGCCTTCTAACAACATGCAAGACTTTTTTTTACTCACGTTGAGAGAGGAGACAGTCGAAAAATTCAAGATGCGATTCTATGGCTCTGCCGGTAAAATTGAGAATGGTTAGGCCAAGTTGTCGTCAGATGCAGGTTGAAGAACTCGATGCTGTTTGTCTGTCTGTAATGCTCATCTTTGTCCTCCGTACTCGCTCCGGGCGTGGAGTCAAGTACAAGATACGAGCCACTCCACTAATCGCGGTCGGTTATTCAGGTAGCGATACCTGCTGAGACACCATTGTATGGCGGGGTACGGGGATTGAAACGTGGTCGAGAAGAAAATCGAGGTAGACAGACCATTTTACAGCATGCAGCAATCCATACGGAAAGAAATTATATACATCATTCTTCATCAGAAATTTAGAAAATATGTGCGCTGTATGTATGGAATCAACTCAAGGACCAAAATAGCCGCCATCGGTGCATGCACTTTCTACTACCTAGGTCTGCTTGAAGATTGATCGTGGGAATGCCTTTCTTCCTACCTTTGCATACGGAGTACCTAGCCCTCGCCTTTTATATTCTCTTTTTCCATCACCGCACAATTCTTTGTCTTTCTTCTTTCTTTCTTCCCACTTCATTGTCATATTTTCCCTTCTACCATCCGACTTCTGCCCCGATTTTCTCAGCTATGGCGCATCCTAGCCCATCGTCTCCCCTGACCCGTCTCTTCCCCCAAGAGGAACTTCCAGCCACCCAGTTTTCCTATGGCAAACATCTCTCGTCGTCAACGCTCTTCGCCCACATAAGCAGTCCCGGGCTATCCTCTACACCCAAAGCTCCCAAGACAGAAGTTTTGGCCGATGAACTCGACTACTTCCAGCCAGCGTTAGTCAATAGGTCAAGGGAGCAAGATGTGGAAACTTCAGTGTGCACTTCTCCACAGGCCAAGCTTTGAGGAACAGAGGTAGCAGGGAGACGCGGTGACTGCAATTCGTTGCCCCGAGTTAGAGCTTTTCCTCAAGCTCCTTGCATCTAGATTCCTCATCCGTCCCTCGCGATATTCAGAGCTTAGGGCCCAGAAATTGGTATGCAAGCGGTCCAAATCTATCCTACATCCGGACTATTCGCTACTGAAGCTGATTCCGATTCCTTGGTTGCGATCCAGGCGGAATCATGAGATGGAACTCAATTCAGGCCAATAGCAAGAGCAAGTGGAATCATCTTTAACGCTTCTGAAGCCAATAAGGATATATTCGTCATAGCTGGTACATCAACCGGGCAGTCTTCATGCGCCATCAACGAGAAATGCATATTATGCCCGTACATGTTTTCCATAGGAACATTCTTCAAATATCTTAGAAGCCTCTTGAATTTCCAAGAGCACTGAACCTGAGATTATCAATCATATGATCTGGGATATTTTCTATCCCCTCATAGTCAAAGATGTGCCTACGCAAGTCCTGCTCAGCGGCAAGTTTCGCGTTTTCCACAGCCAATCTCAGACTATCGGGCCCGGATCGTTCGTTCGATTTACCGTTCCTCCTGACCCAAGCTTCTACCCCTTTCATTATTTCGTCTCTCCGCTGTCTCCGAGCATCAGACACCCAGTAGTCATCATGGATCGGCCGGCCACTCTCAACCACCAGGTGCCCGAATTGGCGAAACACGCTTCGTGCCTTCACAATAGAGATGCTGTCGTAGCTATCCGCATTATGCAAGATATTTTGACGTCTGAGATAGCTTTTCCCTCTCATAGATTCAACCAGAATGCCCAGTAACCTGCCACCTCTTTGAATGAAGTCACTATACTTGATTCCTAATATGCGAGCGCAGTCCGTCTCCAGCATGTAAAGATTGCGTCCTTGACTTGGCCATAAAAAGGTTTTACAACGATACTTCCTCCTTCCATTGAGCCTTCCGGTCAAATAGATCTTCGCCTCTCCCTCTCCGTCCTGATTCCCTTCGATTTCTTCGATAGGGATGCCCGGCGTAATGGGAGGGAAAGATCCAGAAGGCAACAAATGGGGCTCTGCTACACAGGAGGTGCTAGTGGAGGATTGATACTGGCCAGTGGTCGATGTCGGTGTCAAATATGCATCTTGTTCCTCTAGTAATTCTGCCATCTGTTCTGAGTTTCCATTTGCTGGAACCTCGATAGGAATAACAGACGGAACATTTCGTTCAAGGTATGCCTCATGAGGTGGCGTGAGGCCTTCCCAGTTTGGAACTAGTGTCCGTGTTGCAATTGGTGCAGATTCAACTGATTGAGAATCAGGGCCCTTGTTGATAGTCAAATGCCAGCGTAAGTGATCAGTGCACAGAGAATTATAACTTCCATCTGTGAGTGTTGAACAGCCCTGAACAGAGCAGTAATTTATGGGAAGAAATTCAGGTGTGGAAGAAGGTTTATTAGTGCTAGGAGAATCGGCGGTTGACAACTTGTGGTTGGAAGGCTTCTCATCATTTTCAACTGGGAGTTTACGCTTCGCCCGACCTTCCTGAGCTTTTTGGCCATCGTTTTGTGGAATGTTCTTGGTCTGGAGAGTACCCAAAGGGTCATTTCGGTACACTGGCATAACCATTGTCTTTGGAGACAACTGGATACTGCGTATAGACTTTGGGGCAAGGCCATGGTTGTGGTACCTGTTGGTATGGATCTTTAAGGCTTGGGGAGAGGCAAAAGGTGGAAATTTGCAATCGACAGCCATGCATCGAAGTCGTCGTATATGCGTCATCTCGTGCTGCAGACGAAGCTTCTCTGACTCAAAGCCTAATGTGGCTCGAGGACAAGATTTGAGCCGACAGGTAAATGCCGAGGTACGAAACTGGCTCTTGAACAGCTCCAATTCTTCGGCAGTGACTCCTGGATAATCGTGTTGGTCGAGTAATGTCTTGATGGTATCTTGATACACTATAAGCATGGCTGATATCCCGTCCAAAGGAGCCAAGTTCTTTGGTGATCGACATGGTCCATCGGGATCTAGAGCAAGCATCAGCAAGTCGTCATATAGCAGGACACGCACCTCAATTGGTAATACTCACTTGTTTCTGGAAAAAGTTCCGTTTCAAGTCGCTTGAGGGATCTTCCTTTCAAGGCTGATTCAACATGCCTATAGAGAGTTGGGTGCTGTCGCATGAATGACATTCCGTCATTCAATCCATTTAGCGGACTTTTGGCCCCTTCACTTATCGTGGGGCCACTTGCTTCGTCGAGTGCATCGGCCAATCTGCAGGCAAGGACGAGTAGCGGCGAAGTTTTGTCTGGGTCTCCTCCAGTGCATTTGGCACTAGACAGCAAGTATTCGGTCCAGAACTCAGTCGCGTAGACATGGAATCCATGGAGGCCCTTGATAACTTGGAGACACCTCGTCTGTTCTGAGTACGTACTGTTAAAAACTTGCAGTCCAGAAAGAAGGCAAGAAACCGTCGCTACCCCATGTTCTTGAAGAGACTCCTCTTGAGTGATAATCAAGCTACTCGAGGGGGTCTGTAAAAATCTGCAGTGTTGTTAGAAGTCTGTAATGGTGACGAGAGGGTTTGCGTTGCTCACTCTTTGACGGAGACGTGAATAAATGTCAAAGTGGTATCACTTCTTTCTTCCACCAGAGGCCCGCATATATCCAGTATATACTCAGGAACGAGGTGTACGACCTTAGGTTCCCCAGAACTAAATGTAATTGCAGACAATAGCTCGAGCCTCTTCAATGGCCGTTTTGCAAAAGCGATCCAGCCGAGAATGCTTTTAACGCGACTTTCCGATCGGTCATCCAAGTAGGTGAGTATTTGGAGGAGAATCTTGCGGTAGCTGAGAGAGGGATTAGAAGTCAAATATTCGTTGGGTAAACGGTTGAGGCGTAAAACTCACAGATCGCCAAGCTTTTCGGGCAATCGATTGACAGACGTCATGATTTCATCCCCGCTATAGAATATGTTCGTCGAGAGATAATCCAGGACCAGTCTGGCGTAAAGAAACATTCCTATCAGATAGTCAGGAATTTTTGCCATAGAGGGTTTGTCTGAGTAGGCTTACCATCTGCCTTTTTAGCAATCCCGCGCTCGATATTGTCAACTTCGCTCGGAGATATACGAGGTTGGTGGAATTTTTGTTCCAGCGATTGCAGTCTTTGGGATGCATACTGACGTATCGCTTCCTCTAAGCAGACTTTTTCATCGCTCAGAGAGATTGTCTGCTTTTTGCGTAAACAGTTTAATAGAATTGAAGAAGTACGACTTGAGATCAAAACTTTGCAAGTCGTATTTCCTGGTGATGATCGATCTGACGCGAACTGATTCATCAAGCTTACTACTCGTGCTTGCTTATCCAATTCGCATTCGTCTAAGCCGTCTAAAATGATCCACACGTATTCTGCCTTGGATGGTTCGTTGGATATGCTTCTAAAAAGAAGTTGTAATAGACGCTCAAGGGCGGATACTGTTGGCGACTTTTTACCCAGAACAAATTCTTCATAGACATGAGCAACCAGATCGCCATCTTTCCGGAGAAGCTGCATGACTAACGACCTTAAAATTTGCTCATATGTCGTAGACGATGTATATAAATAAGTGCAAAAATGACGGATGACAAACATGTTGGATGCTTCCATAAAGTTGACGAGCTGTGTCGATATCACGCTCTTTCCAGACCCTGGCGTGCCTTGTAACCAGAGAACCGATGTGTCGGGCTTGCTCTGAAGCCAGGAGCTGATTTTGGGATTTTTCAGCACCCATGAGCAAGTACCGGGATGTTTACGCCCTTCGGCCGATATTGATTCGAAGATTGCCAATTGGTCTGATTCATCCATATTTAACCATGAGATGATAGAATGGTATTGCTTGGCAGCCTCTTCTCCATCAAGATTGGACACTTGCTCCAGGCTCTGCTCTCTCCAGCGGCGGATATCTTGACGCATTTCTTTTGATTCGGCAATATTGCGCGCATTTGCTTCTCGATCGATTAATGCCTCATGTCGCTTCATGTCTTCGAGAATATTGTCAAATCGTCTCTGGAATCGACCCCAAGAGGTGAGAAAAAGCAGTTTCCAACCTAAGTAATATCGGTTAATGGTCAAAAAGGCACGAGGATATGCAAATGGTGGGCATCCTTACCACTTCGCCGAACAAACTTGTAAGCATGTTTGTGGAACTGGAGAATGTCCGCATAAAAGACAGCCAGAGTTTGCTGGAAATCCGGATCGCGGATGAAAGCATTTCCCAGGAGCTCAAACCTTCCCAGGGATTCCGCGAGCTGTGAGTAGCCCTTGATGATTTGCTCGAATGCGTCGACATACTCCGAGGCGACGCGTAAAATTAGAGCAACTGGCGCCCATATCCATGGTAGATACGGGGTACCGTTACACAGAACATCTATCACTTTGGAATAGTGCTCTATTCCCTTAAAAAGGGGCATAAGCCGGCGCATGTTGCGAAGCGACCCCCGCGCTGCGAGCTGCCGCTCAATCTCAAGAGCCGCATCTCGTACTTGTTGAAGAGTTGAAACACGAAAGTCGCGCGAATCTGCAGGAGTAATTGTGCGATCGAGATCTTCAAATGCCGCCTTTATTGTTTGTCTAGCGGGAGCAAATATGGGAGGAGGGAGAGGCATTCCGAGAAAGGCTTGCTATCTCATGTCGTATCGATCCGATATTGTAGATGGTGGATGGTGCAAAGGAAAAAAACAAGGCGCTGCAATGGAAGTAGACGGCCGAATCAAGTTTGTGTAACAGCCGTTGGGCAGCCATGCAGGCAGGGAGACAGCCTCGTTCACAGCCTCGTCGGCCGCCTAACCAAACACTGCGCGCTTCGCGAGACCGCTCAGCCACCGCCGGTAAACAAAACTCTAGATCTAGATCTGCGTCAAGTATCTATCAATTTCGATCCATTGTATCAATCTCATTCAAGTGTCGAGTTCTTACCTGTTTTCCAATCTCGCTCGCCCGTCGCAGCAGCGGCTTGATATTGAAGACAGCTCTCCTGAGACATATTGGATGGAGCCCGACGACGATCCCCACCGCCATGAAGCCAAGAGGCAGCGGTTAGATGAAGCTCCAAGCTCCCACACCAGTTCATTCGTTAGAAGAGCTGAAGAGCCTGGTAATTTGAGTCCAGCGACATATGAGCATGCCCCCTCACTGTTCACAGGCGAACTGCCCGTCTCTACAGGAGTATTGTCCACATGGCCACCCACATGGCTGCCAGTTCAATATCCCATCAGTGTCGGTTTTGGATACCAACCCATCTTCCCAATAGCTCCCAACTTTCACGCACAACAAAATTACTGGACAAGTCAACCCCGTGAGACGCTCGGCCTCCATGGAGTAGGTTCATACGACATGCAGTTTGCTGCCAATGCATATCCATGCGGGTTCCCGAATTCTGTCCCTTGGGCTAACCCACTATCACGAGTCCCTATGGGCTCTCTTGCGTTGTCGAATATTCATCAGGCCCACGGACAATTGCTCCAGGCTGAGCCTCTCGGGTTGATTCAGCCGCCTGGTGAACTATATCCCACAAGCTCGTATCAGGCAGCCATCATCTCGGAACAGTCTTCGGAGTCTCCTTCTACAGGCACTTGCATAGATATTGTACAAGAGCCTGATGAAGTTGAAGAACCGCAATCCAACACAGACCAAGAGATGCTAGTTTGCTTTGGCATGGTGAGTAGGTTCGAATAGTTGCGTACAAGGACTTTGAACTAATCCCAACAGATCTCGGGTATTTCTGGGAGATGCGAAAAACGAGTTTCAGAAAAAATTCCAGCAGTGTACGAAGTTCATTTAAATTCGTCCGCAAGTTTCGGCGCAATAGACGATCCACGAATAAAAGGAATGATTCTATCGGACCATGGACAGATGATTCAAGGCCTTCTCGACGAACCGACGATAAATCTCCACGCCTCTTGCACTCTGCATAGCGAACTTTCGGCGCGCAAAGCTTCCAAGAGTTCTTCACAAATATCTTGCGTGTTAGATATTACTGTATACGGCCCCTGGGAGCTATTTGAACAAATAGGTATATGGTTTCAGGAGTATGGAGTGTACCTTCAGGATCCTCGAGTATGTCATATGGACGTCAAATACTGCAATCCTCATCGATTGTCATCAGAGGGTTTTGAGTCGTGTCTCTTGCTTTCTCAAATTGTCTCTCGTACAGGCATATCATCTTGCCTTCAGGATATCACAGAAGGACCAGAGTTGCTGGACATGTTGAGCAGCAATGTCGACCTGGAGGAGACTCCGCAACCAAAGGCAATACGCGCAATTCTTCAAAGGTAGGCTGCTGCCACTGTTGGAATCACTCTGTCGTCTGTTAAACTGACATTCTCCAGTCACCAGAAGAAAGCATTGACATTCCTACTTCGCCGTGAGAAAGGTTGGGCTTTCGATGATCATCAGTCAGATATTTGGGGAAAAGCAGACACGCACCAGGGACAATTGTGAGTGCTTATCCTAGTTTTTATGGTAGTAAAACTAACGGTCGGAATAGTTTTGTCAACAGAGTTTCTAATACTCACCAGCCTGAAGAACCTCCGCAGTTTTATGGAGGCATCATCGCCGACCCAATGGGTCTCGGAAAGACATTGACTATGATCTCTTTAGCAGCAACAGACTTAGACAGCGACGTGAACAACGGCGTTCACATGGATATTGATGAAGAGCAAGATGATGCTGTCACGACTACTCTCATAATTGTACCTCCGCCACGTAGGTTCTATGGATGTTGATATCGCCACTAAGTGATGCCACATGCTGACTTGTAGTAGTTCTTGGCACCTGGGAAGAACAGCTAGCAGAGTAGGATTGTCGATTAACCATTGGTTGTGTTTACGACTAATATTCGAGCAGGCACGTCGTAGAAGGCAGCATGGTATGGCGTTGCCACCATGGCAAAAGCAGGTTTGTCGACAAGAGCGAGCTCGACGGCGTAAACGTGGTTTTGACCACATATTACACCGTTTCTGCAGAGTGGAGGACTGGAAATTCCATCCTGTTCTCAGTTCGCTGGAGAAGAATCGTTTTAGATGAAGGTGAGCCGGTATAACACATGATTTAAATCTGCTTGACTAATGTAAGCAGCACATTATATCCGAAATGGGACCTCGAGGATGGCTCACTCAATATGTGCACTTGAATCCGTCGCCCGGTGGGCCGTCACTGGTACACCGATCCAGAACCGCCTGGCTGATCTTTCGACTCTCCTCAGATTCATCAGGGCTCATCCTTATACCGATCCAAAGGCATTCGATACTGATATATCTCGCTTCTGGAAGTCTGGAAAAGACGAAGAAGCGGTAAGGCGACTAAAGCACCTTTCAACGAGTCTTCTGCTTCGTAGGCCCAAAGCCACGATTCATCTTCCCCAACGACGGGATATGCGATGCCCTGTTGACTTTAGCCGTGAAGAAAGAGCATTGTATGACGAGATCCGTGAGCAAGCAGTCAGCAAAATCGAGGAGGTGCTCCAAAATAGCTCGGAGGTGTCGCGAACGGGCGGCTATGCCAACGTTCTTCAGCGGGTTGAATCACTGCGACTCATATGTGACTTGGGCCTCTATTATCACTCAAGGCACCAAAACCTCCAGCACTTGATGGCAGAAGCCACTGACTGGGCCAGTGTTGCGCAGGAGACGTTTAATGTCCAACGAGGGATGGGTCCAATGGTCTGCGCGCAATGCTCATCAACTCTAGAGCTGACCGAGACGGTATTTGATGATTCGGCCTCGGCACACACAAGTCCAGAATTTTCCCGATGTTTGGGATATGTTTGTGGAGATTGCATACACAAGTTGGGCCGAGCTGATCACATGGCCATTTGCCGCCACAAGCCTCCTTGTCCAACAGCGCCAGTGTCCATAAGCACAAGTGTTTTTGAGGATGCTTCCAGTCTGATTTCACCACAGATAAAGAACCTCTCCACTGGAATTCCATCCAAGGTGAAAGCTCTGATTACTGATATCAGGTCACTCCCTCCAGACACTAAATGGTACAATGATTCTCCAATGTCTGTAACGGGTTGACAAGGCGCTGACATGAAGGCATCATAGCGTTGTATTTTCGACGTGGAGGTTAACTCTTGACGTTATCAAAGCTGGCCTAGATCAAGCGTCGATTTCCAGTATCCGCTTCGACGGCAAGGTACCTCAAAAAGATCGGCAATCTGTAATAGAAAAGTTCAAGACAGATCCAAATCTCCGTGTCATGCTACTCACACTCTCGTGTGGTGCAGTGGGGCAAGTGGCTCTTTGACCGAATTCTTCTCTCGTGGCTAACGTTTCCCAGTCTCACGCTTACTGTAGCATCGCGGGCATATTTGATGGAGCCGCACTGGTTAGTAGTCAGAGCACAATAAAGATCTACAGCCATGCTTATTCACCCACAGGAATCCAACTCTCGAAGAGCAAGCTCTAGCGCGAATTCACCGAATCGGCCAGACGCAAGAAGTGACGACCGTGCGCTTTTATATGCGGGATTCCTTCGAAGAGGTTAGTCCAATGCATGAAAGGTGATAATAATATACTTATACCAATTCCAGCAAGTCGCGGAACTGCAAGAGTCAAAGAAGAATCTTGCGGGAGTCCTACTCTCTCCACATGATGGCGGGCGCATGGACGACAGTTTGGGGACGCTGCAGGTAAGTGATTGGTATATCACCTCGTTGAAGAATGGCCTGTCTGACGCGCCTGTAGCGGTTGCGTGTATTGCTTTAGTCACAAACATATGGGGCGCTGATCAAAGTTGCCATTATGCTGCTGCCAAGGACACATGGTGAGCTTGATCTCATCGCTCAGATCATGTGATTGAAGATTGAAAGGGGGGAAGAAAATTGGTGTATCGGGCTAAATTGATCATATTTTGTACAGATTGTTGTGATTGGGAGCTAAGATGAAAATGAGGAGTTAGCTAAGGAAAGCGCTTATCATGAGAAAGAAAAAATTCTATAAAAGGAGACATTTTGCATCCAGAGGAATATCTCCAGTCGATTGATATGATAGGCAGGGAGAAACTTGAGGAGCAATGTGACGATGACCGCTCGCCATAGTAGGGAAATGAGGCTAAGCGTCTTCCAAGGTTGTTTCTCAACTCGGATATGAAAAAATAGAAGCATTTGGGTGGGACCACGGAAGATCGAATATACATCAACGACAAGACTACCAGCTACTGTCAGCCAACCTTACCAGAAACAATCAACACTGAAAGAAGCAGAGGGCAGCTAGTCTTCTCTCTTCCTCTTGTGACAATCTTCGACTGATTACCGGGTAGACCATCGTCGGCATTATGTCACCAGAGCCACGCTCTCTCCACTATATCGGCGAGCTTTGGGCAGCTCCAGATGCCGCAGATGCCGCTATCCGACCGGTGTCAGGATACATAGCTATCGATAGCGGCGACGACGGACGAACCGGTGGATATGGCTTTCTGTGGGAATTGGCGGTATCAAGCCGGCAGCCGGGCGGCTCGTAAACCGGAGGTCGGATCGGGGGAGAAGATGGAGAACTCGGAGAGTGGAGTACATGTATGGCGCTATCGCGGGGCCAACAGCAGAAAATGGTGCGCAAATATGTCTAGAGCAATCAGTCAGCGAGTTTCTATGCATTCAGTGCGTGATGTGGAAACAAATGAACATGTTTGATGGATGGAGCACCGGATTTGCCTCCAGAAATTACATCATTGAGCCGAGTGGAGAGATGATGTAAATCTTGGGATCTTGAAATTGGAGGTTGAAATCTGGTGAAGGTGAGAAGAATTACAGAAGCTGGTGGTGGCGGGAGTTGATAGAGTTGATGACGGCTGCTGTGGCGCTGTGGTTGTGGCGCCTCCTTTAGGGGATCTGTACCTGAATCTGCACCTGTACAGTAAGGCGCTAGAAAACTTTGTAGATGCTACTGGACTGTACCGACATGATTTTCCAGAACAATGGCGCGTGACCTTATCGATCAAGATTGATGGCCATGAAGGAAGGAACAAGACAAGCGAGATCGCGATACGCTGATAACGACATTACCCTCATCGATATGCACACAATATAATTGCTCAAGCTCATCAACTCTGGGCATGACATCTACCTCAATAGGTACTTTGCGCACGTCAGCGATTCACAGAACCACACAACTCGCTCAGCATTGTTCTCTATCAGCTGTCAATCCAGAACCAACACCGATGCGATGGTGCAATCGACACTCTCAATGAGCACCGACTCCTTCGCCTGCAGATTTGCTTGGCCGCAGCCAGCTAGTGGGCGCACAGATGACCGTGGCAATAAGAGCTGGTCAATCCGTCAGCTTTTGGTCCGTCATTGACGAGCGGCTCCATGACTCGGAAACCAACGCCGAGAAAGCGCCTTCTTGGTACTGGAGTAGCGCGGTGAGGCCTGGGAGACGTTGCGAGTTGACATGGACTGACTGGACAATCTAGACGCATCGACTCGCCGTCCCCACCGAGAGGCAGCGACAATTTGCAGCAGCGGAAGCAGATTTGCCTCGGCCCCGTTAGCCCAGACGACGCCTTTCGATTACATACGCTGGGCTGTAAGCGTCGAGGCGCGTTCGTGTTGGACACTGTCTGTCCGGGGTGCAGCAGAGAAGCTTCAGCTAACAGCAGATCACCTGCGGCAGTTGCACACCAACTCGTCGACTAAATTAACGCTGCATTGGGATCCTCGCCCGCGCTCTCGAATTTTCCAGGGCTGCCAATGCGATGCCTGCCCTGTCAAGCCTTATCCGGGGCATCGTCATCACTAAAGAGCTTCTCGCCACGCCTCATTGGAGGCTCTACCTCGCTCAGTCCCCCCAGTGGGGAATTCTCTCGAGCACGCAATCGCCTAGTACAGCGGCCAAGTCCGCTCACGGAAGGCTCTCACACAGCCATCACCAGATTTTTCTCAGGTTTGGATGGGTTTGCATTAGATAATGGCATGGTTCTTTTCTTCTCGAAGACGCTAATGAATGCAAGAGGCCTGAACCTACTCGTACTTCATCTGCATCGTCGCCGCGTCGTTGATCCTTTACCTTCGACTTTTCTCTTGTCTACAACATTTCCTCTGTCGTGTTGCTTTGCACTGAAAGCAACGGGAGCTAGCTAGCGGGCTGTTTCCGGGGCTCTTGATTTCGATATAGCGGATAGCGACGCCACATCCGTTGCCAAGCCGCCGGCATTGGACTCATTCTGGAAGCCCGTCACATTCACGCCAAGCGTCATAAGTCACGCAGCAAAGTCTTGCCCTCTTCTTGTTCATAACTTGTTTTTTTTTCTCCTACAACAAGTTGAACCCTCTCCATCAAACACATCACAATGGGTTATCGCCAGGACTACCTCGGCGACGAGCAAACGCCTTACGATGGCAAGAAGGAGCACAACGATACCCGAGATGTGCCAAACGACGATCTTGAGGGGTCAACACACATTCTCCAGGACCGTCTCCGCCGCTCTCTGTCTGCACGCCAGGTTCAGATGATTGCCATTGGAGGCACCATTGGAACAGGTCTCTTTCTCGGCACGGGCAAGTCGCTGGCTACTGGTGGTCCAGCTTCGATCCTCATCTGCTACGCCATCGTCGGTTTTATCGTCTTCATCACCATGCTCAGCTTGGGAGAGATGGCCGCGTTTTTACCAGTGGCAGGAAGCTTCTGTACATTTGCGGGGTAAGCACTCTTCGCCTTCTGGACTCGATGTGTTCGTATTTACTGACGGGGGAACCCGTGTTAGTCGCTTCGTTGATGACGCCTTTGGCTTTGCCCTGACGTGGAACTACTGGTTCAACGATGCTGTTTCGACTGCATCCGATCTAGTCGCGCTGCAATTGATTCTGCAATACTGGACCGACAACTTTCCGGGATGGGCGCTCAGTCTGATATTCTGGTTTGTCTTGATTGCTGTCAACATTGCTACCGTGCGTGCATATGGTGAGGTAAGCAAACATAGCAGCTCCAGGCGACCTTTACCCAAGCCAGCATAACTGACCATAATACAGCTTGAATACTGGCTCAGTTTGCTCAAAGTCATTACCATCGTTGTGAGTAGCGGTTTCGGCGTTTGCAAATCCATCGCGAATCCAGCTGACTCTCGTTTAGGTCTTCATCGTCATGGGTATCGTTGTCAACTGCGGCGGCAACGCTGAGGGGCGTTACATTGGCGCCGAATACTGGCACATCCCTGGTGCCCCATTCGTCGGCGGTATCGGCGGTTTTGCCTCGGTTTTCGTCACGGCCTCTTTTGCGTGTAAGTAGCGGAAATGGCATGTTCATATTTGCTTCCCTGGCTGACGGCGAGATAGACGGTGGTACCGAGTCGATTGCCATTACGGCTGGTGAGACAAAGAACCCCACAAAGACGATGCCCAAGGTGGTGAAAAATGTCTTTTGGCGAATTCTCCTCTTTTAGTATGTTCCGCCAGCTTTCTGAATCAGCATCATCACGGTGCTAACATGTCCCAGTATCCTCTCCGTCCTCCTCATTGGCCTCAACGTCCCCTACGACTACCCCAACCTCAACTCCAAGGAAACACGCACCTCACCCTTCACCATTGTCTTCCAGATGACTGGGGCAAAGGCCGCAGGCAGTGTCATCAACGCCGTTATTCTGACTAGTGTCTTGTCTGCCGGAAACCACGCGCTGTTCGCCGGAACCAGGCTGCTGTACACTTTGTCCATGGAAGGCCATGCTCCCAAATTCTTCGGCAAGCTTAACAGAAATCAGGTTCCCTGGGTGGCTGTTCTGGCAACCGGCTTCGTCTCAGGACTCTGCTTCGGCTCCAGCTTCATCGGCGCTGGCCAGCTTTGGTCGTGGCTGCAAAAGTATGTGACATCGTCAAATCCGCTCGATATCGTATCGCTAACCAAGTTGTCTGTAGCCTTGTCGGTGTCTCTAATCAGCTCAGCTGGATCGCCATCGGCATCACCTCCCTCCGCTTCCGCGCCGCCATCGCTCGCCAAGGCAAGACGCATCTGCTTCCCTTTAAGAACTGGACTTACCCATACGGTCCCTGGATTGCCGTTCTTCTGAACTCATTCCTCGTCCTGATCCAGGGCTGGAGCTGCTTCAGCCCATCATTTGATGGCGTCAGCTTTGTCAGTTTTTACATTGAACTGCCCATCATGCTGGTCATGTATCTCGGCTGGAAGTTCATCAAGCGAACCAAGTTTGTGCGGCTGGATGAAATGGACCTCGTGACGGACGTGCACACGGCTGAAGAGCAAGAGGAGGAAGAGAAGGGATGGAAAGGAAAGGCAAAGAGTGTTATTGGGTGGTTATTCTAAGCATTAGCGTGTCTGTTTTGGGTGTTTCTTTTCCATTTTTTTTTTGCTATACGATGACGATGATTCCCTGGAGTTGGCAGCCAGCAAGGATTTGTACAAAGCCGTTGGACATGGACCACTCGGATATACTTAATGGTGAACATTGGACACAACTTACCAAGGAAATGCTATTACGGGATCGTCGTGCTTATGAGTTGGCAAGCTTTTGTTTGTCAACGGTGACAAAGGGCTCAACAGGGCTCAAGGGCCAATGGAAGGTAAGCATTTGCTCCTTAGCGCCAAAGTGTCATGATTATGCAGCGAAATATTTGCATTTTTAATCAGCAACGAGGCTATACCCAAAGCACTTGAGGCGGACAAAGTTAAATAGCCTACTAACATGAGCCGGGCACAGCATCTCCATCCGGAATCCTTGTCCACATGCTGGTAGCTGCTGAAATCCCACGTATGAGGGTTTCCGTGTGGAGCTTCGGAGCTTTGCGTCGCCTTTGACTAGCAATCGGTGTCCGCCCGCGAGCTGGTAGCTGTTACTAGCCGTTATTAGCTGACAGCTGGACATATATCTGACGGGTATTCTGTTCTTTTTTCATCATCTGTACAGGAAAACAGAGGCATAACGGGCTACCTATTCACTCGCTCAGCTCAAGTACACACCCCATCCGCCATGGAGTCGCTGCAGGAGAAGACGCACCCAGCCGGCGACGAGTCGCCCCCAGCTGCTCGGGTCTCAACGGCTTCGGACCAGAGGCCTGCGAGGTCGAAAATGGATCTCGCCGCGTTCGATGGATCGTTTGCTCCGGGTGTGCGGCCCGGCGCCGTGCGGTTGACGCCGTGGTATCGCAGACGAGACTATTTCGTGGGCCAATGGGTTGATATATCCGTGTGGAAGTCTGCTGTACGTTTTTTTTTTCAATGGTTCTGGCCTTCAATTAAGAGTTGAATGGCTGAGACTCGGTTTGCTGACGGAACTTGTTTTGGTGGGGGATTGTAGGTTGTCGAGTTTGTTGCGACTTCGTGCCTCGTCTTTCTCTCGGGCCAGATTACTGCTACCCTGGAAAGCTACGGGACGCCACAAGTTGGCGGATACATTGGCATTTCCAACATTATTCTGATAGCGACGTTTATTTACGCGACGGCTCCCGCTTCGGGAGGACATTTGAATCCAATGATTACGTTTTCGGCCATTTTGACTGGTCTCTGTTCCGTGCCTCGAGGTATGTTTTGTCTTGCCGATGTGCCGAGTGATTCAGCTAGCTGCCTGACACTACCCCGACTGAGCACAAACACAAATATTCCACGTACATTGTTATGCACACATATGTGTTATGTGTTACTACGTCTTCAATAGGATGAATGGTTGGTCCACTTTGCTAACAAAGTGCCCGTGCTTAGGCGTTCTTTACATGTGTGCGCAGACTCTAGGAGGTGCCCTCGCAGGTGGGATTCTCTTGGGTGTCTGGGGTCCTACAAGAGCCACGAGGTATGTGTACCCAGCATGTAGTAATCTTGTCACCTTGTGTTCGCAAAACCACGTAATCCAGATATGCTAATACAAGCTTATTGTTACTACCAGCTTGCAAGGTGGCGGTTGTTGGTACGACCCATCCCAGGCGAACCCCGGTCAAATCTACCTCAATGAAGTCTTTGCCTCGTTTGTCCTCCTATTCCTGTCCTTTGGCGTCGGTCTCGATCCTCGACAAGCAGCTTTGTTCGGCCCGCGAATGGGCCCTCTTTTGGTTGGCACATCATTGGGCCTGGTTACCTTTGCCACGAGCGGAATCATTCCTGGCTATGCTGGAGCGCAGATGAACCCGTCGAGATGCCTGGCCTTTGGAATTGCGAGGCGAGATATGACATGTGAGTGTGCCGTCGAATCCTCCCTGACAGCGTTAAACTAGTCCTTGGGTTTCAAAGACTTTTCTTCTCACGTTGGAGCTAGCTAACGAGATTATTGCTCCTTTTAGACCAGTGGGTTTACTGGTTTGGGCCGGCTGTAGGGTGCCTTATGATGGGTGTTTTCTACAATCTGATCCCACCGCATCATGTGGAATTGGCAAAGGAAAAGAGCAAAGAGAGCCGGCTGAACTCTATGGCTGGGAATACTGAGATACCCGAGGTTTGAGATGGAGAGCGAGAAGCAAAGAGGGGGTCAGGACGGACGCTGAATCCATACACGGGCTGTTGGGATGGCATTGATTGCTAGGGCAGCAGAAAAAGGAAACAGATGGCTTGATGGCAAATAAGATGAAGCAAGCGAGGCAGCCAATCGAGATGGGCGGCCTAGCTCACCGGTCGACTGATTCCTTGTTTAGTGCTGGGAGGCTGCATGAGACGAGCCAGGATAGAGGGCCCTGAGGGGGGTTCATTTGAACAGGGGCTATTGGACTTGTTGGAAGCATCCCAGCCACGCTGGCATTGCAATTTTTGACGGCGTTTTTTGGAGTCCATGTTGATGGACTGGAATCAATCATTTCCATTTCTATACGGCGTGTTCGAAGCGGAATAAAGCTCCGGCCTAAGGTTTGAACAATGAAGATGAGAGGTTTGGGCAGCATGCGTCAGAACGCCTATATCACAACACTTAGAGATTATCATTTTCTTGGCAGACATCTATATCTTTGTCACACAGGTCTCCTCCGCCACTTACAAGTTGACTAACAGGTCAGCCAGCGAGCACGGCCATTTGCAACCATGATCACTCCACTGGATGCTGTGTGTCTCTCTGCAAAGGGTATGCATTGCGAATGAAAACCATTCAGAGTCAGGCGGGGGAAAGAATACACTGGATTGGCGTGCACTGATTTTGGTGCTTTTAGTATGGAGATTAGTCCGGTGTTTTCTTTCCATCGCCTGAGAGAGTCTCATTACCGGCATGGCCAAGACGTGAACCTCTCGGGGATACAACAGTCCAACTGGGACGTTTCGAAACAATCATCTATCGGAAGCGAATAACGAGACACCAAGCCTGCGTTGAGATTGCATCGTAACAGCGGTCGGAACAGCCCATGCGGTGGAAAGAAGACACCGCTGGTCTGCCATTATAATTTGTATGGGATCGGCGGCGCTGTGTTCTTTCCACCCCTTGGCAGCGATGGACGAGGTGGGTGTGTATTCCTGGGATCGAACCACTATCGGGATGTTTAAATTAATGTGGCGAGGGTCTAGATTGCGCAAACTTCCGCGGGGCCTGTCGAGGCGATCGTGATACTATACATACTAACAACCCGCGATCACCAGCCAAATCGAGTTCATGGGGGAGGAGGATAGACTCAGCTGCCAGCGCTTGACCTTGTCCTAAACTAGTCGCCGGCATGGGTGTGTGTCTAGCGTCGGGATGCGACACAAACAGCCAGGACAGGACATGTAGGTGGCACGGGCTGATGCCCAGACGAAAAGGTGCCTTGTTTTGCGTGCATATAAGTACCACGGTAAGCCTGCATCGTGTGTGACTCTCTTCCCTTTGCTTTGTGTGTCCTTGTTGATATGAGCTTACTATCTCGGTGAGAAATTGACGGGTGTATCTTTGTGTTGCCCGAGAAGACATCTTGTTGAAGTATAAGTATGAGGGATGGAATCCTCCCCTTGAGCATCAAACTCCCCTTTGTCTCATCCCACAACTTTGTCTCCCTTTGTTTCACACCCCCTTTTGTCTGAACGACTGCTTACCATTTTCCTTGACAATGAAGGCCCTTGCCATCACGGCGCTCTTCATCGCCGGCGCCCTTGCCGTGCCCGCGGGCTCCTACCCGCCTCCGCCTCCTCCCGACTACGGCGGTGACAACGGCGGCTACTCTCCTGGTTATCCCACCGGTGGCGGTTACGTGCCTCCTACCCCTACCCCTCCTCCGCCTCCTCCTCCTCCTCCCAGCTACGACGATGGAGACTCTGATGAACCTCCTACTGATGGAGATGGAGGCTCTTACGAACCTCCCACCGACGGGGATGGCGATTCTTCTGACGGTGGGGATGATGGCGACGATAGCGACGGCGGTAGCGATGGCAGCGACGGAGAACGCAGTGGTACCAACCTGTGCCCTGCTCTCATTTCTGGTATTGCTCAGTGCTGCTCTGCAAATGTCCTCGGCCTTGTTAATCTAGACTGTGTATCTCGTAAGTCCCATGTTTGTCGTCATGGATGGCAAGCCCCCCCCTCTCGGTTGTTTCGTCCACTAACTAACCGGCTCTCACCAACAAACAGCCAACAAGGTACCTCATAGCATAGATGATTTCAAGGAGATTTGCGCAGACATGGGCAAGCAAGCTACATGCTGCACTCTCGGCTTGGTAAGCAATGCTCTACTCTAGGTACTAATTGATGGAGGGGGAATATCCAGCTGACGTTGTGAAATTTGCATCTAGCTCGGCCTGGGCGTTCTCTGCGGAAAATAAGATTGCACGGCAATTGTGTTTATTGCTGAAAGAAAGGCTTCTTTCAGCATCTTGGTATGGCCTGTTTGGAAAAATATGGTTGAATAAAAAAAGAGCAGAGGGGGACGTTGGATCGAAATATCTCGGTCGTTTTGTCATGGGAGCTGCTTGATGGTACATTTTACTCTTCGACGTTGGAAATCATGGAACTGCATGATTCTTTTTTTGATTTAATTATACTTTGTACTTGGGCCATAATAAAATCACTGCATACACGAATTCTGGGCGGCGTCTCTTGCTTTTGTTGATATGATGTTGTTTTGTCCTTGGCTGTTTATGTGTTTGCATGCTGGTATCGTGCCATTAAGGTGCTGCAGAGGTGCTGAGCAGCCGTCAATTGAACGCAGCCACCAAAAAAAAAAAAAAAACACGGGCACATTTTTACCACTTTCTTACACAGCGCTTTCTACTGAAATCAAAATTTCACAAGTGCAGGGATTGAATCGAGGTGGAAAAATCGATATGTTATGCCATCTAGACTACTTGATTATTTCTCCACCGCGTGGCACCTCTTTGGCATCTCACGGCACTGAGAGGGCACTGTATCGGCATGGTAACAGATGGACCCCTACCATCTTCTACTAAAGTACGGGGCTGTCAAGGTCGGCAGGTTGTGCTAAATTGCAGATCGCTGCGGGCGCTATGGAATCAACAGAGACGATTACCATCTTTAGAACTCTTTGGCCAAGCACCAGAACAAAGTCTTGGGATGCTCAGGGATCCTTTTCTGGGTGGAACGCGTTGGTGGCATAACGAGCTGGCTGTGGCTTTTTTGCTAAAGCACTTTGAATTGTTGATTTCAGTGACGGCAAGTTTACCTCTACAAGGACATGATCGGAACATGTCAGTTTGATTCTTCTTCTTCCTCTTCTTTTGAACCCGTTTCCGATCGGTCGAATTTTCTACTTTTGGCAATTCATCTCACTTTCAACAATTCCAAAGCTTCTGACACAGCGCTGATGTATTTTGCAGGACCCTTTATCCGTTTCTTGCATTCCGACAACGACGGCGCAATCTCGAAGACGTTTGAACTCGACTGACTGCGAACTATCATTGACAACGAATTTTCCCGACAGCTCGAGAATGGCCTCGGCGTGAATTGAGCAGCAGCAACCAGGCGCAGAGAAGAAAGGCGGTCGGAGCTCGAAGCATTCCACGGTAAAGCTGTTGCCCATACGTTTGCCACTTTGGTAGCGCAGATTGAACTTGTCAACAAGTTGACCCGAGGAGAGTTAAAGTCTCTTACTCGGCTTCCTAGAGAAAGATGCGGAGTTATTGATTGTCAGTCGTCGGGCGTTTTGGTTGGAGAGGGAGGGATTGAACACCATCGAGGTGCAATTTCTGAACAAAGAATGGGATGGTAGAGCAGCGTCTTTCGCAGGAAACAAAGAGCATTGTTGCAGAAATGATTATCAACCGCCTCGCTTGCTTTGTGGTCTTCGATGCCGATTGCGGTCTTGCGTAGGAGAACAAACTGGACAAAGGTTCCTTGGTAGGAATAACGTCTTGGTGTCTGAGGAGCGAATTTGTAGTCGGTCAATGAGCTCTGAATAACCAATCCTACACAAATGATTATCTTGTAGAAGATCGAGATCAAGGTAGTACTATTAGATGACTTTGGTCTCCATTGCCACGCGGAGATAGACCTCGCGTCACCTTTTCTTTTCTTCCAAATCCCTTGGATTACCCCAAAGAACAAGAGTAGCCTTTGATGTAGTGTTAACACAGCTCTCCCGGCGTGTTAAATCTGTTGGTGGTGTGTACCATGGTACTCGCAATACGTTGATACAGCTCCAATTTGGATTCCGATGCTGATTCTACGACAATGCAAGAAAATAACCCGTAATTCTTTCTTTCTCTTTTGCGTTTCTACTGTCGAATAAGGGAGCCAACTCCGCTATGCAATACACCTAGCCAAATGTATCACGTAGCGTCCGCATCATGGATCCTTCGTCAGAAGATTCTTCCTGTTCACGTTTACGCAACACTACTTACTGGATCCTGTGGAAAGAAGATGGTGCTACAAATTAATCAGACTACATGCTAACTGATCCTCTTCGAAGGGGGAAAATGCAAAGAATCTGTCAAACAATGAAACTACAAACAAGAAGCTGGCAAAGCCATCCCAACTACAGCTAACTGAAGCAGCCCACTACACCATGTTCCATATCAGGGGCGGCAACTTGCAGTGCCATACAAGACTGTCGATGGCTTCAACGCTCTCCAGCACACCAGAGAGCCCAGGCCTCCCAAAGAGCGCTTTCCCCCTACTCTCCAACGGGGGAACATCGAAACTGCCCACAAGATCGAGCATCCTGAGGCACCAAACCTTCTTGCCGAACAATTACGAGAGAGCAACGTCGAATCAGTCCAAGATCGTCATGCAGAAGCTCGCCTTCCCTCGTTCTCACAACTAAAACGCGTCATCTCGGATAGTCTCGACCAATCTCAGGCAGTGCCAGGCACACACTGACCGTCCAAACACGCCACTTCGCCTAAAGAGCATCGATGCCTGAGGAAAGGACCGGCTTCTCGGCCCCATGCCTACCATCCGCGAGTTGTCATTGGCTCAAGCTCAGGCAGACCGCCACCTGGAAGCACCTGCAGACTTGCAAACTGCCCGGAAGGTCCCCCCTTGGGTGTCTGAGAATCAGGAAGGCAGCCTGGAAGAAGCATTCAGCTATATAACTCCCGCCCCCCTCGATCCATCTCCAACTTGGATCTTCTTTTTTCTCATCTCTCTTTTTTCTCGTTTTTTCCCTCGTCTTGCCGGAGGTGGAGGAGGACATTGCTGCTCACAAACTCAACTGAGTCCTCCTCCACCTCAATGCATGATTCTGATGTCCCTGGTGAGTGCATTTTCTTTTTCTTTCGCTTTGGCTGTTCTTCCGGCCGATACTTTTCTCATTCTTAACTTCTTCTCGGGCACTCTTGTTGCCACTGTCTCCCTCACTTTCAACACTCTCCATGTTCAGTTCACTGCCCAGTAGACTCTTCCATCTCTACTTTTCTGTTTCTGCCACTCTTCACTACCATGCATGTCTTTTCTTCTTGAGTCTAACATTGCTTTAGGCTGGATATCAACTATCCATGTCCAGGCGAGAGGGGTGGATTTCAACAATCCACCCCCAGGCGACGGCCGCGGCACACTGCAGTAAGTCAAGATTGCCTGCCCTCTTCAACTTCTTGACTAACCAACAATCTCCGTGCCCAGTCACACGCGGCCGTCGCCCACCACCACAAGTTCCGGTCCAAACGACCGGAACACGCCTTGTCTTAGCCCAAGGTCGGTAAGAATACGCACCGGCAGTCAAGATTTTCGATGGAGTGAAACCAGAAAGCCCATCGGAATCTCATCGGAAATCCCATCGGAAATCCCATCGGAAATCCCATCTCAGATTTCATCAGGAAATCCCACTCTCAACGACCACTCGGCACCTCAGAGACACACACTCGGCAGCTCAGACACACGAGGTTCGTGAGCCCTCACATTCCATTCCCTTTGTCTTCATGTTTGACTGACTGGAGATGCAGCACTGCCCGAAAACGTTTCTCCCTTGACGACAGAGTCCTTCTGAATCCAAACGACAAATCTTTCCTGGCCAACTCCACCTCCTCACCACAACAAAGCGCACACCATACGACATGTCTGATTCTTCCAAGTTCAGACTTGGCCGCACATGCATCTTTGGCAGATCTTTGTCATCTCTTTTCACTCTTTTATCCACAGGAGCGGAGACCCTGCTTCACCTTCCCGCTCAGAGCTTTCTGTGTCGAGAAGCGGGATTCACCGCACTTTGCACTCTCTGACGGGGGAGTGTTCGATCAACATCACCCTTCGGTCCCGCATGGCTGTGGTCTTTATTTACTTGTCTTGGTCTGTGTGCCCATTTTGGGCATAATCTTTTTTTGGATAAGGGGCACGAGAGACTGTTTTGGAAGAAGATTGTATTTCATAATAGACTGTTGCGAAAGAGGATTGGATATGGGGTGTGGCAGACTGGTGCGGAAGACGATTGGATCTCATGATAGACGGTGCGAAAGAAGTTTGGATATGGGGCGTGATGGACTGGTGCGGAAGAAAATTGGATATGGGAGCGAAGGAAACGTCTTTGGATGGATGAGTGTGGTGGTTGTGGTCTTTGCGGTCATTTTTATGCTTGGTCTTTGGTCTTTGGTCCCTGTGGTCTTCGGTCGAGGTTTTTGGAAAGGGGTGGTTCTCGTGTTTGATTGCAGCTTCATTAATTATAATTTTGTTGGATACCCCTTGATCGTTCCGGTTCGCAATGTTGCTGCGCAGCCCATCTGTCACAGCCGCGTCGCTTGTGTCGATTTCTATCCAAGCACACCCGCGTCTAGCGAGAGAGAAGAATATCAACTCCGCCATGCGCAGGCTTGCAGCAACAATACCGATGTGATCTGATGGGGGGATCACAGTTGCTCCGGTCGTGGTATCAAAACTGTAGGTGCGCTTCAGCATGCTGGAGCCACGGGGAATAACTGAGATGACGGACTCGCGCCCCGGACTGGTACGATGTTTGGAGTCAACGCCGTTTGGGTATAATGATGGAGGTACAGATCTTGATGGATGTATGCAACCTTTCCAAGCTTCAATGCTAATCTTTATTGTTAGTTTTAATGAATTCCGTCAGAGTATTCGGCATTCCCACACGCTTGGTATCTTCCTGTCGAAGAGAATAATGATCCCGGATGCGAACAGAGCCGACTTATCACAACGAAACTACCGATACTGTCTCTAGTTGCAGGAATCATGTTTACTGTGGCAGGCATATGTTAAGTCGGAATACGGACAGCTCAAACCAAACGGCCACCTGGGTCATGGCTCGATCCCGAGCACGCGCAATCGCCGTATTGTTACGATCCGGTCCAGGCCAAGGGAGAACTCGCAGCGTCAGAGTCAGCAGAAGCCTCTCGTTGTCTTGGAGCACTACTATATGGCTCTGCGGCTAAGCAGGCAAACATGGATAGAGAGAATCAACTCCGAGCCGATTATGGAAGATGGAGAATGTTCACGGTAGCCTGGGCATCACCGTGGTGTGATCTCCGTGATGTGGTCTCCGTGGTCCGTGATGAGATCACTACTCCATCTAGCATGGAACTAGATCAAAATGACGTTCAGCTATGTCAGTTGATCAAACATTCACCTTTTCCAACAACAGCAATGGTGGGCCAAACACGCCAGTCTCTCAGCTACGCGTACTGACATCGACTTCGCACGCATCGCCAACATGAGACCAGCTTAGTAGCGTGAGCATATCGCCAATCTCCTCGGCTTAGACGGAGCTAGCTCTGTGTCTCAAGTACGCTGTCCATTGATGGATTAGTCTCCGACTTCCCTGGGGAGCTCTGTGGGAAACGATTGGCTTGTCTACGCTCGCGTTGCTCAAGGGAGGCGACCCAAAGCCGGGATCCTGGCGTCCTTGCTGTTGCGAGTGTTGCGGTTGCTGCGGCAGGCTATTTACCATATGAAGCCTGCAGGGGCTAGTGATTTGACGAGAAAGGATTGGTCGACGAGCAACCGTGATGAGAGGCGGGTATGTGCCACGAATCTCGGCTCAACCTCTTGGAGAAAGCCTTAGGAGTACATCGACGTAAGGCGGGTCTGAGGAACCCCTGTTAGGTCTGCTGAACGCTGAACCAAGATTGTACGGGCACTTGTTTAGGTAGTTACAGTAATCGTAGCGCGCGCTTCTCCTTTCACAAATACTATCGGGGCAGCGACAAAGAGACTGCTGAACAGCAATGGATGAAACCATTCAAGCTAACCTTTTATTACATGACAATCTCAACTACCGGTTCCACCTTTTGCTTTATGACTACGTGGGGAACTGTTCAGAGATTGCTTCACAGCTGTTGTTTGGACCTCATCGCAATCGAAAGCAAAGTCTGAACACTGGGCTACCGAGGCTAAGCTTTCTTGGCTTTTACAAATCATAAGGTGGAATTTGTTTCCATTGCTGAAAACAAGCCAATCAAGCGCAAAAAAGCCCGCGTATTCGTGGAGCTTGATCTAGCCGGTATTGTCAAGCTATTGCGAGGGAAAGGCGGCTAGATGTTCTGGGGTTGCATTTCTGGTGGAGCGACAAAGGACCAGTGCCGTTGAAAAGTAGCCAGTGGAGATATGCAAGTCCCGATGACTTACTCGAAAACGGTGAAACCTGATCTTGTTCTAAACTAAAAGCTGTGTAAGTTCTAGAGTCTATTCAGCGAGTGGGTTACTCTGTAGAAATGAATGCTTACCAGACGCATTAATAGGTGCAAACACAACAGTCAGGGGGCAGATCAGCGCTATTCCATGTCCCTGGTACTTTTCAATCTCACAAACTTCGTTTAAATATTAAAGAACCTACTCCATATGTTGACAGGCAGTCCGTCTAACCTCAATCTTGACACTTGAGTACAGTCTTAAGATAAGGGTGGTGTCAGAATACCCAACCAGTCACAAGTAACAAGATGCCATCGCAACCCGGCCTAAAGACAGGCAAGTTGCGGAGAACTTGTGAAGCAGTATGTATTCCCATCCATATAACATTACTTTGGACCTAGACCTTTGTCCCCCCCCTTCCATCATATCATCCCAGAGCATCTGGAAGCTTACTCACAAACGATATTACAAAAGAAGGGAAACATCAGCTAACTCAATACAAACAAATGTGTAGTGTGCCTCTGTCAAGGTCAAATGTTCGAAAGAGAAGCCGACATTTTCACGATGCCAAAATCGCGGCATCACATGCGAATACTTCATCGAGAAGCGCCCCGGACGCAAACGCCAACTTAGTAGATACACAGGCGGGGCCAATTCGACCGCGGCAGCAATAGATTGTTACTACGGCCAAGTTGGCAACGATATACGACAACCCTCAGCGTCTTCTCTTTCGTCAAACTCCTTTTCCCCAGATGCGCGATGTGCCGAAACAATGATAGCCTCTGTCACGTCTACCCCCGGCCATACCGTTACGAATGTGATCGCGAACTGCGACGACTGCATTGAGTCTGCTCATATTTCTCAGGACTTCATGTCCAAGGGCCTTTTCAATAATGATCCGGCGGCCGTAGATTACTCAAGCATCTTTTCAGCATTTGGGGAAGACCGTGGTAACATCTGTGCTGGTTTGGTGGATGCCGGATCCGAGATGGACAGACTGGGTTGCTTTCAACCTTTAACGGTGTCTGAGCTGTATCAACCATCCTCTCACGACATTGACTTGCGTTTGATGCCCACCGAAGATACGATGGGATTCAATCCCATTTCGAAGTCGATGAATATGCCAGATACCTCATCGTGCAGCTGCTGCAGCAGCACAGGTCGGCCAGAGAGTTCTTTAGCCGGCTTCTGTTCTACTAATCACTCAACCGCCTCCATCGCGGCCCTGACACCAGGAAGAACGACTCCTGCAGATATTACCAAGACCTCGATGTGCCAATATTTGGACCAAGCTCTCCAACTATTGAAGAAAGTATCGGGATCATCATGGATGTCATCATCATTCGTCGATTCACACTGTTCAAGTCAGTCTTCGCAAGTACTATCACGAACGCCTTCAACAGCTCCAGACGGTGACGAATCATCAACCTACTTTAGTATGACCGAGGCCCTGCCTCAATGGTTTGAGACGACACTGTCGGAAAATAGACAGTGCCTGGGAGCCATAGATAGCATCCTAGAATGCCCTGGCAATGACGAAGACAGCATGTTACCGATGATTCTCTGCATGATTCTCCTCAAGGTATTGGACAGATACTCAAATGTGGCATTGAATCAACCGCTGCTATGCTACAGGCACAGCCGTGACACTGCAGAACTCGGATCAAATACGGGCGGTTATTTAGTAATGGAAACTGGCCTAGGAGCGTCAACTATACTCACGAAAAGCTTTAACTGGGGCACATCTCAGTCCGGTGACGACGAGTATTTCGAACGCACCACCGCCCATCTTGGTCTTGGAGAGCTACACAGGGTGCAGAGAGTACTGAATCAACTGGTCGATAGACTTAAAAGTCTCGATTGTTATAATGCTAGCCGTCCGACACAACAGAGCTGTGGCTGGGAAAGCAGACAACAAATGGCTCTGTTGCCGATGGAAGAGCCTGCGGAGCCAGGTCTAACATCATCTTTCTCCGCAGGTACTTTGGAGAACATGGCGACTGATGTACAGAAGAGGCTCACTATGATGTCTGCAAGTATCATTGATCAGCTACGTCAAAGCTGAGGCATGATGGTATAGTACAGAGTCTCAATTCCCATACCCGAAGAACCAGAATGTGCAGCCACAGTCCCCCAAGCGATCCGGACAGGCAGCCGGGTTTATGATGGTAGTGATGTATATTATGGATGGATTGGAAGGATCTAGTCGCAGGTCAGTTGATATTCTCAGGTGTTGCCAAGAGCTCTTTATTGGACAAACGATTCACGGATGCCTAACGACCCCGCAAATAGAAGATGACGCTCCAAAAGATGAGTGTTGAAATGAAGGGAGATTCAAACAGTGACTTGTTTCTTTGTCTATTCAATTCCTACGCATCGAAGTCTTGCGACATACCGCCATTTTCATTGTTGAGGAACACACTCCATCTCCCTTGATGGTGTGACGGCCGACAATGTGTACTGGAATGGACTCGAACCATTATTGCCTAAGGGACGCGTCAAAGGAAATTCGACTGTTTGATCTTGTGTCAGCGGATGAACAAGAACCTGCGCAAGGACGCATCCGACGCGCGACAGTTGGTAATGCGCCTCCGTTTGTGGCTGTTTCCCACGTCTGGGGGGACAGGAGCCGCGATCGAAGCGTCTGCCTTGAATCAGGCTGTGGAACCAAGTACGCTCAAATCTCAACGAATCTCGAGGCATTCTTCATCAGACTCATCGGCCTGGATTCGAATACGCTCCCTCAAATATGGTTCAAAGGGTCACGACTGCCTTTATGGGTTGACATGATTTGCATCAATCAGATGGACGTGGCTGAAAAGGCGTTGCAAATTCCCCTCATGCGGGACGTTTATTCGCAAGCAAGTTCAGTCATCATTTGGATCAATGAAAACGACAGTCGCATCGGCCAAGCTTTTCACTATCTTGGCCAACTTATTGCAAATAAAACAACGACCGAGGCTGCAAATATATGGACGCTCTTTGACCCAAATGGGTGGGAAGCCCTAAAGTATCTTTTGGACTGCAGTTGGTTTCATCGGAGATGGGTTCTTCAAGAGTTTGCAGTGCCAAAGGATGTCGTCTTTCTTTGCGGCTCAGACGTTATGTCAATCGACGATCTGTTCAGTGGCATCGACATGGCCGCAAGTGTACTGATAGCACGGCCTCGAAAATTCAAGATACTCCATCCTGCACACACTGGTTCGCTGAGGCCGGCGCCTGCTCTGAGGGAACTTAGGAAGCACTACGCCGAGGCTGGTTATCATGTAAGCTTACTTTGGCTGCTGGAGCACTTTCGTTCCACAACGGCAACCTTGGCTCACGACCAGGTATATTCCTTGCTCGGTCTGTGTAGCTCTGAAGAGGTTGCTGGCAACCCAATCCGGTACGATCTCGAGCCGGAAGAGGTGTACAAAACCTTTTCCGCGACTCATGCACGGCTGTATAACAACCTGGAGTTTCTTGGGCTTTGTACAGCAGCTCAACGTGACTTTGTGTGTTCGGGCTCGGTGGATAACTTGGTATCTCGCTCCTTTGCTGGCCCTACATGGGTGCCCAACTGGCATTCAGAACGTCTTCAGCGCTGTTTGGGGCTGAATGATTATGGTACTAACCTCAAGTTCTTCAACGCTTCAGACAGGATCCCCATGACTGTGCTATTTCGACACGACGAGTTGGAAGTTTTGGGTGTTCGACTTGATCGAATCTTGAGTATCGGCAGTTTCTGTCGCCTTGAGCGACGCCACGAGTTGACAGATCCCAATTCCAGACTGTTTCAAGAGTATTTCGATTTCTGGACGAGCGTAGCCGCGGCCGAAAGAATCATGCCATATAGAGACAAGAAGCATCTAGCAGAGTCCATTGCCCGTACGCTCAGTCTTCTCGGCATATACCTGAACCCAATGCCTCTGTTAGCCGACATTCCAGACATGTTCTGCCGCTGGTGTAGGGAGTCGAATTTAGGCAGGCAGCTTGCAGAATATGGACTCAAGCCCAAGAACGCCACAAACCTAGAAGGAGAAAGGGTGTTTATGGGGATGAGGCGTCTGACGGCCTGGGAACCCTTCATCACTGAAAGCGGCTATATCGGCCTTGCTCGAGGGAGTACTCGTGTCGGTGACGAGATTTGGATCGTTGGTGGCTGTAGTGTGCCTCTTCTGTTGTCTCCGCAGACAGGAGATCTAGTCAACTTCGAGGTGAAGGGCGAAGTCTTTTTCGACGGCTTCATGTTTGGAGAGGCAATGAGGATGGACGAGTTTGGGGATACTTCTGTGCAACCAATCGTCTTAGTGTGAGCCGGGGAAGGGATTGCTTGCGCAGTGGATGCTTACCAAGGCGCAAAGCACATACGCCGTATCTGACCTAGTCGGTACGGCTTTGGCAGCTGGAAGAAGGACTCTTTTACAAAGAGGAGGAGCACTGTGATGGTTTTGAACCAGAATTAGAGTCGGCAGCTACCTTGAGTCTCCAGCTGGGTTTCAGCAAACGAGAGATACACCGACAGATCTCGGCTGACTCGGTTAGGAGGTAGGCAGACACTGCCCAGTAGTCAGGTGTGTTGTTGCCAGTTGTATCCAAGGGGTAGATAACTCGGCTGCTGTGGCACTTGAATAGCAGGTGCCCTGGTGTGGTGACAGATGTAGGAAGGATGCCGGGCCTATATATTTTCTCCCCCCTCGAGGCTAGTGGGCGCGCTTTTTCTCCTCAACAAACTCCTCGCTCCAGACGCGTTCTCCCACTCTCTCTCCGCCATTTCTCCAACTCCAACTCTTTTTATTTCCCACAGAATGCATAGACAATATTGTTACTGCGACGCTCTTTGTCTCATCTCCTTTTTTTCCCGCCTTTCTTTTGAACAGTGTTGTGGTATCCTTGCCTTCGTGGCTGTTGAGAAGACGACCATTCGTCGGTCGGGCTGAACAGTGCCTTCTGCAAGGCCAAAGGTAAGCAAAGACTCTTTGAACAGTATCTGACGGTGGCTAACTTTGACGGCGATTCCAGCATCCAGGGACTTTGTTGCACATTTCCACCCAGTCACCCAGTTGGTCGCAACTGTTGCAAACTGCCTCCACAAACGTGGCTTTTGTGTCGTCTCACAGGTATGAACGGCGTTTCTCTCAACTATGTGCTGCTTTGGTGCTGATAAATGTTTGCCTGGTAGATGCCTCCAAGTTGTTGGAAAGAATTCCGGCAAATCCAACCAACCAAGCATTGGCCGTTACCTTGCCTTTGCCACCACCTGCCAAATCACCACAAGTTCTTCAAACTTGACGCCCTGGGGAAGATCTCTTTGAAGCCACCAAACGGATTCAGAGGCTTGTTTGACCTTGCTGTCACCAGTCCCATTCAGCAAGACCACTTCACTTGCTCCTAGTAGCAGCCGCCATGATTGACCCTTGGACTCCGGCTCCTTTACTGGGGTCTTTCTCTCGATGCCACGCCCTATGAGCTCTCCGCTGCGAAACGCCGTCGACGTTAACAGCCAAGATATATCCCCATGGTTGGTCCTCCGGCGGGCGCCTTGGTCCGGGGCTGCGACGCACCCGGGGCAGAGATTGCCACACCAAATATCATTATAGTATCTTTATACTATTACAACAACAATATCATTACAACAACAACATCTTTACGATATCACAACAACATCTTTATCAACACAGGCATAACCCTTCTCTAACCAGGAGCACTGCTTATCATCAAAACCAGGGCCGTCACTCTGCCACCCTGCCGTCCGCATCCCAGAGTGACGGCCCTAACCCACCGGCCTTACGGTTGGGAGAGAGGCTGGGCTGCCAGCTAGCCGTTCTTCGCCTCGATTTCCCCAATGTCTTTGGATCTCCCGCGGGAGGGACGGCGTAGGGGGGATGGGAAACGGCTCGGCCTCTCTCCCAGGCCAGGCCAGGCCTGGCTGCAGCACGTGCAGGTCTGGCCTGGCTGCTGCACGCGCAGGCAGGCGACGTGTACAATGATACAGCACGGGAAATCCAGGAGGTTCCTTGGAAACCCGCCCTTTACGGACGCCGCAATGGTTGATGCTTCGATCCTGGATTCCTCTACTGGTGCTCTCGATGCCTCACCCTATGGCGCGGCGGAGGACAGCCCTGGGAACTCATCATCTCTACACACTCATCGACATCTTGCTTTTTCAACCATCACACAACCTTCGACACACTTCTCGCATCACCAAAATTCGTTTTACTATCCTCTTGAGCCGCGATAGTGTCTATATTACCTTGTTTCTATTGTTGGGCCTCGGAATTCGGGCGGGTGGTGATGGGCTCTTCAGAAGAAAAGAGAATCCCACCGGAGACCTTGTTACGACTTTTACTTCCTCTAAATGACCGAGTTTGGAGAGCTTTCCGGCCTTGAGAGGGCCCCGGAGGCGGTTGGTCCAGATCTGAATGGTACCGAAGGGGCCCTCGCAGCTTATGGACATCTTTGCTCCCGATCTGTCCTGTATAACCACACATCTGTGGCCGAGCATTCGCCGAAGCTCCCACCAATCGACTCTTTCCATGTCTCCAAAGAAGCATGTCTGGACAAGATCATCAAAGAGCTATCTGGGGAGGAGGGTAGAGGAGGAGGGGAGGGGGGAGGGCGTGATTACTCTTGGGATTTATTTAGGGATGGATCAGATGCATATCACGGAGTGGGTGGAGGCTTGTAGCTATTGAATTGACACGTTGATCTTTGTGACCACTCTCCCGCCGCTGCTCGGTGAGTATCTTGCAGATGGATGCACTCTTTTCCTACTAGTTGGATTACCTACCATGGTTCAAGAATCGTACTACAATACACAGCTCCCGCCCAGTCTTCTGGATGAAACCTTTGGTCCTGATATCGCCAAGCTTCTGAGCTCACGCCCTGAGACCGACGTCACTCCCGTGTTATACACATCAAGTCAATTCTCTGTTTGCTGCTGTTTGCAGCGAGTTTTTCCCTCCTTCATAGATCAGCAGAGCAATATATAGAGATATTTACACCTTTTCAGCTTCGTCGGCTTGTCAACAGCATGAATAGAGTAACAGTAGTTGCTAGATGGCGACGATCTGATGGGGGTACTTCATAATGGTATTTGGCTTTCGGCCTTCGGAAACACTCCTTGGTATTTCGTGATCAACTAACACACGCCCAGCCACTATCTCCATAGACCATTCGCCTTGCAAATAGGATTGATCTATCTACCAACCACTATCGGCCATGGCAGTCCTCAAAGGATCGCGAACAGCGTTGAGCCGACGGAATAAATTGGGAGGCAGCTCCAAAGCACACGAGTGCTTGTCAAGCATCCATGATCTCTACAACTTGAAAAGTTCGCAAATGATGAGATGATGATATATTCTTTGCCGTAACACAGAGCGCGAGGTAGCCGGGGAGTAGTTGAGCCTATGTGATGAAGGAAATCTTGGGCGACGGACAAATTCTGCCACGTAACGTCCGAAGCACTGCCATGTTTCTCCGCGTCAAGGATCGATTTACCCAAGCACACTGCGCTCAGCTAATCTAACAAAAGGGCCAGATACAAGATTTAACAGAGTAGGGAAGCCGGCTCTATGGACGATGGGCTACCAACCACATGTTGCTGCTTTGCATACACATCGGCCTCGTGTTCAAACAGGTAGATGTTGGTGCAATTGAGCGTGGAGTCTACGCGTAGAATACTTGATTAAGCTTCAACATTACTATTGTAGTTGCCCATTCCCATTGACGTATAAACTCTCAACTTGAAACTTGGCCGTTATCTGGCCGACGCCAGGGGGGGGTGAAAGGGCGCGATTGCTCTTGGGATTTTATCTGGGGGTGCTTCAAACGCATATTACAAAGAGGATGATATTGTGTGGCACGCGCAAAGTAACAACATCTAGTTGCGAGATAGTGACAATCCAATAGAGATACTTCACAATGATACTTGGCTTTCAACATTCGGATATGCTGCTTGGCGTATCTGTAACAGCATCCATAGTCAGTGCTGGCCCCCCGATGTCCATTTCTTTGACCGACAATCATGGCTCTCACGAACGCAAATATTTCGACGTGATGGGAGGCTAGGAGAACCAGCGCTGGAACCATTTTTTCAGAGAGCCCCATAGATTCCAAGCTGGCGGCTTTTCGTTGCCCTCATTTCTCATTTTTCTGGCTTCGTCAAAGTACGACGAAACACTCTTCATCACCTCATACCAGCGATTAACCGTTCTCAGCCAACTTCCCTCGTTATCATCCAGTGGCTCCTCCATCTCGGACATTTTTTTTGCCATCTCTTTTTTTGACATCCAGACCAAGGGAGAGTTTTTCTCGTACACGATAGCGCGACCACCAGATATTCTGATCTCTATTTCGGACTGACGCGCCAAGAGGACTTTTCCAGCTTCCGTATCTGACCATGAAACAACCTTGAGATCATCTCTCATTACCTGAAGTTTGATTGGCTTGCAATGAGCGTATCGGTCACGAATCAGATCTTTCAATGCATCGCTCCTCTGCTTCCTGTGTCGCTTCTTACTCATCACGGACGAGTACTGGACGCCCTCGAGCTTTCCCTCTGGTAGGCCGTGATGGTACATGACACCTCCTTCATATGGGCCAGGCGGGTTCAAAATCCGAGTAATATCTGGCACATCGACTAGTTCGTGGATTTTCCGGCACTCTTGCTCGAAATCCTCTTCTATGAGCCTATCCCACATCGATATAACGATGGTGATGTTTTTGAAGAATTTGGGACCGCAGAAACATTCTATCCAACGCACTGTCTTGAGGTCGTGGTCCATGAATCTGGTTCCGACCCTTCCAAAGACAAACATGACACCGGTGGGAGTCATGAACAAACCCAAACTGTAGAGGCACGCCATAATGTCTCCAAAGTTTTCGACATCGTTGGTATCGGCGGCGCCAAACCCAGCTGTGTCGACAAAGAGATACTGGCCACGATCAATGATGGCTGGGCAGACTTGGTATGTACGAGTACCTAACAACCATGCGTAAGTACCTTATTTCCAAACAGTTCTTTCCACCGTGGAGGAGTGATTGTTTAATCATTACCTGACTTTAGACTTCCAGCTACTGTGAGATCCAGGCCTGTCAACTCTTCCAAGATGGTTGACTTGCCTGTACCGGCTTGGCCGACGACTAGTATCAACTTGGTGTCCCCGAGGCTGTTTTGTTGTCACAAGAATTCCTTTATGAACGTATACTTTCATTGGTGCATAGACCTACCTCGAATTCAAAAACGACATTACTGCTCCAGATACTGCTCCATTGGCATCGGCCAAATGACGGCACAATGTGTTGTACCAGTGGCGAGACTTCTTGTCGACAAGTTCTTCATTGCGACTGGTGCTCTCAAAAGCTTGTTCGGTCTCAAGATGCCGGTCGAATAGGTGATCCGCCATCGGGGCCGACTGGCAGATAACTGGTGAAGGGGTATGACGAAAACCCGCATCGATAGCGGCTGTATTCGTTTCCATGTGAGTAGGAGGAATCTTCATGGTGATAGCCAAGGTAATTGTTATAAAAGTTGTTGAAGGTTAAGTGAAGACGGATGGTCACAGTCCAAGTCAATGGATAGAAGGGATACTTATACTCGCATTGCACAACCTCAATACTGATGCTCAAACTCAATTAAGCACCTGCGGACTCGATGTCCACTGGCAACAACAGTGTTATATCTGAGAGCCAAAGAATGAGTGACGACAACACTCCACTTCCAAGCCAAGGCACCACAAACTCACCAGAACCTACTAATGCCAATACGCGGCATCCGAGACCACGGCGCAATCTGCAGGTGTTGGTGCAGTGTGGCCGAAATTCTAGAGTTAGCCTCTTCGCCCTGTTCAAAGCATATCCGGCCGCTGAGAGCAGTGTTGAGACGTGTCGATCGATTCTTGAGGCGGAGAGGTACTTGTATGGGAAGCGCTTTGGACATTGTATAGCAATACAGCCGTTCCTGAATTGTCTTGTTCGGGCCTTTTTGCACATTTTGAGTTTGGTCCGGCGCCTTGATATACTTTGTGGTCCGGATCTCCATGCTTTGATGACCAAACAGAATGTGAAGGCAAATGCTGGGGGTATGTCCAAGGTGGCCGCAAGCCTGGCTGTTTAAGGAAAAGAAAGAGGCAAGGGAGAAAAACGAGGTTTGTCAATGTACCCAGACCGCGGGCCAATTCCAGTTGCCCTGGGAGGTTCAAATGCCTTAAATTGTACTGGGAGGAAATTCTCTTGAGCGATAGCTACCTACCTAGTACCTAGTCAGCGTTTGAGCGCTGGATTGTATGCCGATAAACGTTTATGCGTGGAAATACTGATTTCTGTAAGATCATGGGTGTAACTTGGAGTGTTATAGCCGGGGGAAGCTTTACTTTGAACTCGCGATTCCAGCTTTCCTGGACCTCTTCTTTTGATACCAAAAATAACCGTGGACGCACAAGTTAAAATGCACACGTGGCTCTTCTTGATGCGCATGATTTTGTCCTGTCAGCTCGGTACTGTTCGAGATTTCTTGAGAGCCTCTATGGGCGACAGTGGTTCGTTTTCTGCATGAATTATCTAATTGATCTGTTACTCCTCGTCGGAGGTGTTGGCCCCCCGTATTATCATTGTAGATGGGGTTCCTATCTTCTCTCGTGTGTAGACTAAACATGCAGATGCAAGTTATGCGTCATGTTTCCCAACTCCAGAAAAAGATTCACCTTCTCCACGTTCAAGACAAAGAATAAACAAAAAGAAATTCTATATAATCTCCATCATAGTCTTCTTGCTAGTAGAGCTCAAATAATCAAGTATTAGGGGCATAAGAGTACCCTGGCGCGACGGGAGATAGAGATAGGGCTCCAATCTGGCCTCCAAACTCGACTCTGAAACTTCTCCCTCTTCACAGTGTTCTGCCAGCCGTCCAAGGAACCACGGCTGCGGCTCAGCGACTACCGATCCCATAAACAGCAACCAAAAATACAAGCCCTTGGACATTTTCATCTCTTTTGCGTACTTGTGCTTTTCCTGGAGCAACAGAAGAAGCTGGCCGGCCGCGTACTGCGCGCTCATCTGTGGCCCTTTGGCGGCAATGGAGCTCGAGATAAAGGTCAGTGTCGCGAAGCAGATGCAAAGTTGGACGTGGGATATTTGGTGATCATGGATATGATGCAGAAGCCGACATGATATTGCTTGCAATCGCCTGAAAAGCCAGCCTTCCGCTTCAGGTCCAATCGATGACCACGCCCACGCCTCGCTCGCAATCCGACAATAGTCGACCAAGTCCCGAACCAAGCTATCAAGTTCCTCAGAAAGCGGCTCTAAAAGAAGATGCGTGCCGAGTAAAGGCAGCACCGACTCTCCCGTGATTCCGAGCTCCTCACGAATCGAACGGGGCAAAGGTCCTGGGTCCCAAGTGATGGGAATAACGAGTGGTTGCCCATGGCTGATGGCCATGTACCTGTCTGCCATTACTACACTGTCCAGGATGTAGGGATCAAACTGTTCCCATCCACCAGCACCCTCAACAACTTGGAGCAGTGCCTTGAGATGCATTCGACAGGCAGCAAATCCATGGGATCCCAGCATAGAGACCATGGCCTGTCTCTGTGGCGATCGCTCCCACATGACAGGCAGGCCGTTCCACATTTCCGTCACTGCAAGGGCATACATGGAGAGCAGAAGCCAGTCGTCGACCTTGTAATCGGGAGTGGCGAGATAGTTTCTTACAGCACGAAGGGCCTTGTCGAGAAAGTATTCTGGCTGCTTTGCAGAATCGAGGCGGCCCATCATCCAGCCCAAAAGGCTGGAGCCGTATGCAAGGGTCGAGTACATGAGCTTTTCGTCTTCAACACATCGCTTTAGACGAAGCTGGAACATTGCATCGTGCCGTGTGGGGAGCTGATGCAGGAGCATGTATGACGGGGCAAAAGATTCGGCGAGGAAATTTGCTCGTGATGCCTGGGAAAAGGTAATATGAAGGATAGCATGGGTACCGGCGTCCGTGTTTGCTATTGTGCAGCGAAATGGGTCTGAAGAATTATACGAGGGTTTCAAGGTTGTTGACAGGGACTGAAGTTTCTGGTTGTCTTTCTTTTCCCTCTGCTTCTTGGGGTTTGACTCCTCGACAAAGGCGACAAACTTTAGCTTCACCGCGTCAACCTCTGAGCCTTTTGAATCATCCGACGTTGGTAAAGTGGTGATGAATTTGGACCATGGTTTCGATCGGTGAGATGCTTCGGCCTCGTGCTTGCGTCGAATATTCTGCACATGGCTCAAAATGGCTGACCGTTCACCCGCCTTGCTTCTGGACAAGACTCTCGACGTCTGTGTTTTATTAACAAACAACAGCGACCCATCCATGACGGCTTAGGGCTTGCTGCCAATCTATTAGGCGCGCCGTGTCCCCCACAAGAGCTGCACGAGCGCGATAGTCGGTGCTAATAAGCGCCAAAGCGCTCGAGTGCGTCTGAGGCCATCGCGAGCAACGTCGGCAGCGCCGGCGGCTGTGCTTTTGCCGCTTAGCCTTGAGCCCCCCTGGACACGACACAAGCCCCGCGGCTGTACTCTGCGTCAGGAGCCGGCCGTCAGGAATCGGGCTGTAACGCATGACGGAGGATTCTAAAGGATTTCGATGGAGAAGACACAGAGCTAATGCAATAGCTGATTACCGCTTCTGGGACATACGGTTCCTATTCGGGAATGACTCCAAGTCGGGCCAACATTGCACCGCAGGGAGATGTCGAGGGTCATGTGTGAGATGATTGGAGAATGCTGGGATTCGAATGAGAATAGAGACGTGGTATTGATCGGTTGGCGGCACAATGGAGACTGCTGGTTACCCAACGACATGGAACCTGTTCCTGAACGGAGCGGCAATTGAACCGACAAAGGATCTGAACAATGCAACATGATTCCCGACTGCATGGTTTATGCCAATTCAGCAAGTTACACTACTCTTTTGAGAAAGGACCTGGATTTCACAGCCTCGAACTTTTGGTTATGATCCATCGTGGAGGAGCATAGCTTTCGTCATGGTAACGAAACTACAAGAGGTGAAGACATGTTGAAGATGGGTTATAAGAAGAAGCAAACTCCGGTGATGGGAGAGATGGGAAAAGTCATCGCCGTCAACTCAGACAACCAAACAGCCAGTCAATTGATTCAGAATCCATCTTGATATCCTCTTTATTTGGCACAGTTGGACCAACAGCTTTCAATCTCCATCTCTATAATGCGTCAAGTCCTCCTTGGCAGCTTCGTTCTGTCGGCTGCTCTATCAGCTAACGCAGCTCCAACCACCACTGGTTCTAGCTGTCTCCCTGTTGTTGACTTGGGATACGTTCGTCAACCCTCTTTTCAAAACTCTCTGCCTTTACAAGCCCACTAATATTTCGTTTCAATCACAGGAACTCCATCAAGCTCTCTCCTACAACAGCACCAACCAACTATACACATTCCAAAACATTCGATACGCCCAGTCCCCCGTCGGAGACCTTCGATTCCGCGCTCCAGCTCATCCAAAAACCAACCGAACTGCCATCCAGACAGGATCCGAGTTGCGATTCTGCCCTCAGGGTGTTCCAGTTTGGCAGGGTGATGCATACGGGCCAATTGGAAAATATTCAAACCCAGCCAACCCGTTCAGTCTACAGATTTGGGAAACGAGCATCCAAGATGGCCTGCCACCACCAGTTGATTGGAATAAAGGCGCCAGTGAAGATTGTCTCTTCCTTGATGTCCATGTGACCAAGAAGACACTACAAAAGGCTGGTACGAAGGCATGTGGAGACGGAGGATCCCCTGTGCTTGCCTGGGTAAGCTTAATTCACGCTTGTCTCTCTCTCAAATGCGAACAACCCTCTTGAACAACCTTTACTGATACGAGTCTGCAACAGATCCACGGAGGTGGCTTTGTCCTTGGATCCAAGACTGGAACACCCAACCCTGGCTACGACCCAGTTGGCCTTTTTCAACACGCTGCCGCAAACTCCGATGACGGCCTCGTCTTTGTCGCTCTCAACTATCGTCTAGGCGCTGTTGGATTCATGGGCGGTCCCGATGTCGAAAAAGACGGCAACCTCAACGCCGGCCTCCTCGACCAAAAATTTGCACTGCAATGGATTCAGGATAACATCCACTTGTTTGGAGGCTCCAAAGAGAAAGTGACCATCATGGGAGAATCTGCCGGTGGTGGTTCGGTACTCTTCCACTTGACTGCAGAGAACGGCAAGGGGGCAGGTCTGTTTTCCAAGGCTGTCGCGCAGAGCCCGGCCACTATCCCTACTATGCAGATTGCAGCCGATAGCTATAGCCAGTTTCTGTCTTACCTCAACGTTAGCAGCTTGGAAGAGGCTCGTGCTGCGGATTCACAAGCAGTTATTGCTGCCAATGCTGCGCAGATTGGAGCGGCCCCTACCACGACATACATCTTTGGACCTGTGGTTGACGGCAAATACATCACTGGTTCGCCTACCAAGATGATCAAGGAGGGACAGTTTGACAAGTCGGTCAAGGTGTTGGCCGGGCACAACATGTTTGAGGGCGCATTTTTCTTTGATCCTAACATCACCACTGATGCTGAATTCAAGACTTGGACTAACCGGTCGTTTGCCGGACTTACGAGCAAGGATGTCGACACGCTTGTCACTACGCTGTATCCTCCGCAGTTTGATGGGTCTCTGGGCTATGTTGACCAAGACACTAGACAGATGAAGCTGTGGAGTGAGGCTGTGATTGATTGCAACTATTATTGGATCGGGCATGCCGTCCAGAACACCGGATATGCTTGTAAGTATTCAACGCATTATTCGTCCTTTTTGTATGAGCTGTTTGACTGACCAGGACGTGTGATGCAGACGAATTTGGTGTCTCTCCAGGCTTCCACATCCAAGATCTCCAGTACACCTTCAACGACCCTTCCACTCCGGCTGCATGGCCCAAGGCTCAAGATGCTCTACAGGAGGCAATCATCACTTTTGTCCAGGGCGGCGTCCCCGAGTTTAGCAACCACAAGGCCTTTCCCCATCTTGGATCTCACGGCACTATTGTGAACATCACTGCTCAAGGGCCTGTTCAGACGACGAGCAGGGTTAATGCAACTCGATGTGATTGGTGGGCAAACGTCTATCATTGATGTGACGACGTCGGATTGGATGTCGCTGTTGAAGGGACAACTAGATTAAGGAGAATCCAGTATTAATACGGGCAAAAGGACAGCAAATGGGATCGATATGGATGGAATGATGCGCGCTCTCTTGGAAATGATAATTGTCACTTGTTTGGAATTAACTAAAGTACGTTTATAGATGGCTTTGTGTTTACATCAATAGTTTTCTTTCGCAGGTTGAACCGAATGAAGCATTCATTGCTTTTGTTTTTCAGCAAAGGCTGGTAAGGTAGAATTTGGAAAGCCACGACACGGATCAGGCAGAGTGGCTGAGTGGTCTAAAGCGTTAGACTTGAATCATCAATTTCGATTCTCGCTATCTAATACCTTCGGGTGCGCAGGTTCGAACCCTGCCTCTGTCGCTTTCTTTTTTTTGCGCTTTATACGTGATAGATAGATATCATTTACCGAAACTGACACAGCTGTGACTTTTTTTCTCTTTATTTCTAGCTGTTGCTGTACATTGAGTTGTGGGTGATGGCGAGAGGCACGCTACTAGAGCAGAGATGTTTTGATACTCTACGTCCAAGTATCAGGAGAGCTTATGGGTTTCCCTTCATCCTATCATGAGAAGCTCTTAACAAACAATGTGACAATTCTCATCTCACTTCTCATTTTCAAACTCCAATCCTTCGTCCATCGACAGTCAGCTCTGTTCCCTTCTGTCCCATTCTTGCCCTCACGACCATGGGCTTGTCTGCATCCTCCCCCAGATCTCGCTCGACCAAGAATCGGCTGTGTGTAATCACCACGACCCAGCCCACCGTCCGTGACATGAGACCGCACCACCGGACTACAGCCGCTTGGCCCGCCTCGTCGAGACTGTCAAACACCTCGTCGACCAGTAGATAGTGAGCTCGGTGAGCACTCCTAGCCCATGACAGCTGCAGCAGAGCAAAGTAGAGCGCAAGATCGACGCGCTTACGCTCACCACCAGAGCGCTTCCCGTAGGCGATCGAGGCGTTGACAGCAAGATTGGGATCGAGAACAGGGCCCAACGAGGAGATGGAAGCATCCATATCGGTGTCTATGGAGTCAGAGTCAAACAGCGAACGCAGCATTCCCGTCGCCATGTCGCGCGCGTGGCGTGTGTCATCATATAGCATTGTGAGGACTTGCACGAGAAGCGCGTTAAGCTCTGAAATCGACTTTCCGAGGACGTGGTCACGGAAGTTGGCTGGTGTTTTCGCCTTGGATCTGGTAGAGGACGAGGAGGCGCGAGGAGTGCGTTTCGTCAGGGCAGAGGACCAAAATTGGAAGAGCTCACGGTTGACTTCAAGGTCTTTTTGTGTAGCGGTCAAGGCGTCGTGCTCTGAACGTGACATGTGCAAAGACGACTGCTCATCTTTGATCAAATCCGTGTACACGTTTACCTTTTCTTGCTTGAGCGTCAACTGCTGTTGTTTCTCTTCACGTGCATTTTGAGCCTCAATGACTTGTGTGAGCTGCTTTTTGATCGTGGCGACTTTTTTGATAGCGAGCTCTTCGTGTGTAATGATTCTGTCGGCTTCGTGCCTTAGATGTTGTAGCCGTGACGTGCTATTGTTGATATCCTTACTGAGACTGTTGATAGCCGCCTTTTCGTCCCGGTTCTGCACATTGTTTCCCTGCGAACCGTTGCTTGGTATTTGCGATATGCGCAAGAGGCTCCCGACGGCCTTTAATCGAAAACGGAGGATAAACATCTTCGCTGCATGCAACAGTCTGCTCAGGCCTATGGGGTGAGTATCAGCCATATTTCCTAATTTTTGACATATTTGCCGATGTAGCTGTGCAAGCCATGTCGTCGGCTCGGTAGGCTTTTGTTTCTGTATCCGAGCATACGATTTCTCCAACCGTTGCAAGTTCTCTTGTTCAGAAATAATTCGATCCTGCAACGTCGAGATCTCTGCATTCTGGTGTCTGAATGATGTATTATCCTCGCTAGGATATACTTTATTCATCCGTAAGTCGGCAGTTGCAAGCTCTTGTGTAGCTGTCGCCACGGATTCGCCAGCCTCCTCCATGTCTTTTTGTAGTCGCCTCTGTGTTCGATTCATCTCTGTGAGCCGTCTTTCCAGGTACTCCATGTTCATGAGCGATGCCTCCAGTTTGCTCTGCACCTTGTTCACATCGTTATCGATATCCTTGAGCAGCAATCTTGATACCTGGCCGCATTGATCCAACATCGACAATCCAAGCGATGCTTCAATCAAGTTACGCCGCTGCGCCGGCGTCGAGCTAAGAAAGCTCGCTGCACTCTCGTGGCTCAACACAACTGTCCTGATATATGTCTCGTAGTCGGTGCCAAGCAGCTCATTGATGGCCTCTTGTGTCGTTCGCGCATCTGGGAGCTCGAGCTGCGTCTGCGGTTCACCTTGCAGTGAGACAATAACGCGATTGCCGTACATCTTGTGCTTGCGATGCCGCGCGATCGTGTACCCGTTGGCAAACTCTAGGATGACGGAGCAGTCTTTTCTCGCATTATCGTTGACGACATCGCCGACAAGCAATCCGCTGCGAATGCACTGCCCGAATTGGCACCAAACCATGGCCTCGACCAGTGTGCTTTTACCTGAACCGTTATCGCCCACCAAAAAGGTCAATCCGCGCGGAAGGTTCCTTCGAAAGTCGACGGTAATCGTTCCTTGCACGCCAAGAAAATTAGTGATTGTGAGCGTTCGCGGCTCAGCTACAAAGACGTGGGTTGATGGCCCTGCCAGCTCAGTGGCAGTCTTTGTGCCGACAGCTTGAGATGACGGATTGAGGAAGTCTCTGTAGCTGAGCTTGGCCTCGCCATCCTGGTCTTCCACCTCAGGGGAGACTTGGATTATTCGCTGACCAACCCGCACCAACTCGTCGCGTCGTAGAAGAAGATCCTCGTCCATTTCTACTGACTTGATATACTTGCGAGCTTCTGCAGCGAGATTGAGTGTTTCAGCCCGAGGTTCATTATCAGCACTAGAATCTGGAACGCTGTCCCTAGTCGCATCAAGGCTCTTCCGACCTTCAATGGGCCATTCTGAGAGCTGTACAGCAGCATCGCTCTCCGGGACCGATGCGCCGAGGCCACCAAAGGAAGTGTGGTCGGTGTTCAAGGCAAATCCCTTCGGAATCCACTTGCGCACGCTTCGCGCCTCCAATTGTCGCGAGGTCAGTCTATCACGAGCCGTGACGTAGTTGAGATAGTTATGTTGGCCGACGAGCATCACATGCTTATCTGCCACAGCACTTTTGTCGACCTGGCCGTTAAGAACTTGCTGTATGTTGGCCGTTGTGTAACTAACAGCATGTGGGTTGACGAGCAGCTCGTGCTCAAGCGTTTCTGGGTCGAACAAGACAACGCCCCGCCGCTCGTCGAGGAGGTCGGCCCAGCTCAGCTGCAAGGGCGAGCCTAGGTAAGTGATGCTGCCTCCTAGACCATCATTGTTGCGGATGGTTTGGTGGCTATGGAAATGCCCTGTGAAGGTTCGGGCTAGAGAGGCGAACCGATCCGGGCCCGTTAAGCCCCGGTACGATATGGAGCTCGTCACATGAGGCTTGTCGATGTCGGTGCTAACCACGTGGCGCTGCATGATGGCCTTGTTGATTGCCAGATGGGCAAAAGCAACCGTCTCGCTCGCTTCGTTGGGGCCCAGAGCAGCCACGGCTTCTGTCAACTCGTTCTGGTCCTCACGGAATGGCAGCAGCAAGACACGCCGGCCGTCCCATTCGTGGTGAGCGATACCATTATGCAACGACACATACGGGGCCATGCGGTTGATGTTGAAGACGGCAAGGGCCGTGGTCTGATAGTCACGGCGGTAGGCGAGGTCATGGTTGCCCAGTAATATGTGGACCCGCGGCACGACATCGCTGAGGAGGCCGATGAAGCGATAGCACGCAGACAACACATGTGTCAACTGCATGGTACGGCTCGTTAACAGGTCGCCACAGATCACCGCCCGTGTGATCTTGTTTCGCTCTGCCTCGGCAACAATCCACTGCGCCGTCCGCCATACGTGATCCGGATCACGACGCCCGAAGTGAATGTCGCTGAGAAGCATCCATCGTACTGATCCTCGCATGGCTCATGGTGGTGAGCAAGGAATGAGCGATGTCGTGAATTTGGGGGCGAGAGTCGGCAGAATATTGGCTGCTAGGGGACCAGGTTAGCCATAGATCATGAATGTCCAGGCAGAGATGGTTGCAAATACCTTGTACCTCGTATCTGGAAAATGGCACTTGAAACCAAATTGAGATGTTGAGGGTTGGATGGTGATGATGCAACTCGGACGATTCACCGAGGTGCGGGTTCGAACAGGCAGCCTTAGGCAGAAGCCCGCTAAATGGACCTCCATCACCACATTTTGATGGCGATTGATGTTCAACCGAAATTGGCTTCCATCTTCCATACCGCTGTGTAGGTGGGATGATTAATCAGTTCCAGAATGAGTTTTGCACAATCTCAATAGCGTGCATTTTCATCGCTGCATTGCCTGCTGTTGTTTCTCTCGAGTCTGCATTTACAGTCATGAATGTTGACACCTTGATGCCTTACCCTAGACTCCGGAGGTTGATTTCAACAATGCTCAGGAAGGAGCCAAATTCAATGACGGCATTATCGCTTGATGAGCCAATCGAGAGGCAATTCGCTTATCGATATTGAGATAACGTTTACCGAGTGCACAACCTTCATTTTCTCTTCTACAGACCAACAATTGCCTGTAACCTCTCATTTTCGTGATGCCTTCAACTCAACTCCTTCTTCGTATTCCCGCGCAAAACCCTCGGCCGACTTAACCGTGCACTATGAACAATCGACCCGCTTTCACACCTCCGCCGAGAGCATCTGGACCGTCTTTCACAAGCCAACACGCAACTATTTCCACTTGACGCAGCGCCTCTTTCAGCAGTAATACGACAAGAAATCAGGATCTCCCTGCTTACACATGGCTTGACCCCACGCCTATCAAACGGTTCGTCCGGGATCAGCTCGATTAGTTGTTCAACATCTTGCCTCGTATCCACGCTGACCATCAATGTCCACTTTGGTACTGGACTAATTAGGCATTGGCCGACTTTGTAGACGACAAACGACATACAAGCTCCGTTGCTGATGCGTGGAGAGCGGCGAGTTTAAAAAGCGTTGATTGTCCGTCAGTGCTGGTCTGCCTTCTCGCGCCAAAATCCAACTAGCCAGTACTGTCTCACTCTCACAACTGGCGGAAACCTCCGAATCAACTCCCCTCCAGCCACGATGAGTGGCATTGACAGCGAAGAATTCAGCGAGTTTGACGAAGGCGATCGCCTCTCCAGCCTTCTGAGCCTCTGCCCGCGCTATGTCATTGTACCTGCGAACCCCCCAGATGGCATCGCTTTTGCCATGACGGGACACGGCCAAGAGTGGGAACACTTGACCTATCAGCACTCTGGCATCTCAAACTGCAAACCCGGCATCTGGAAGGCAGAAGTCAGGAACGTTCCTGGAAGCGAACTGGGAAATGCTGACTTTGAGGCATGCCTTCGGTGGGTGGCAGATTTGGACGACAACACTCAGCTCGATTTTGCCGTTTCCCTTGATGCGTGGCAGGCCTGGGAGCAAATGTTCAAAGATCAGTTTGACGATTCCGTCAACTGGGGCGAAGGCGTAACCTGGAAGCATGGTGGCAGTTACTACGACGATGGCGGCCTCTTCAATGTCATTTCCACGGCGTACCTCACAACGGACGCAGCAGCAACCATCACAGGAGGGGAATATACCGAGGATGATGGATATGAGGGGTATCTCGAGATGGTCACCCTCAATGACAACCCCATCAATGCGGAGGACCGTATCAGGAACTACGGCTTTACTTTGGGTGGGCTCCATTGTAAGTTCTGGTTTCAGAGTTGATGACGGAGGAACAAGTGCTGACTCGATCCCATCTACCAGTTGGTCAAGATAGTATTGGCGGGCCGCCTGTGATCGCTTTGGCTGAAAAGGACGGCCAAGTGGTCGGAATCAAGCTTTGGTGCGACGATGACGAGATTGAAGAGGGCACTCCATTTGACGAGCAGCCTGGCAAGCTTGTCTTTTAACGGTGATTGGGTGTGGAGTTTACAGCGTTGTCTTTCTTTTCTTCAATATTCATGGGCAACGCGGTTGCAGAAAGTGGAGGGTTCCAAATGATACAAGTATGCAACGCTTTCAAATCCTCAAGTACTCTTATACACAGTCCCGAGCCGAAACGACTCGAAACGACTCGAAGCAACTTCATTTCTGACTCCGAGCTATGCCGTGCTGTTTCGTTCTACCACAGGAATAGATGCTTCTGACATGCTAAGTGTCGCCAGCAATCATCTGAGCGGCTTGTTCGGCAACATTGTACTCGAATACCTTGCGCGACGGTTTCGCCGCCATGTTGGGGAAGAAGCCTGCGGGAATTGTAAGCGGCAACAGTGATTTCGCGGAATGACAACATGTTACCTACCAAGAATCTTGAAGAATGAGTACATTGCGTACTCGCGGATGATGCCCATGTCGCGCTTGGTGTTCTGAATCCTCTGCGCATTCTCCAATATCTCTGTGACGCGCGGCTTGCGGAGGTTGATGTATTGCCTTGCGGCCTTGGTGACGGCTTGTTTCTCAGTGACGGAGCCGCTTGAGTCTGCTCGGCCAAGTTGATGTGCCAGAAACATTGCAAAAGATTCGCAGTCCTCTAATGCCTGCGACACACCCTGTCCGGAAGTCGACGGGAGGGCATGAGCTGCATCTCCAACTAGGACAACCCCATCACGCTCCCAGGTTGGCAACGCTGGCGACGTCCAAGTGGGATACATGTTTGAAACTTGAGCAGATTTGATGACTCTCTGGATGACCGGATCTTTCCACTGGGCGTGTCTCTCACGCAGCCGGTTGGAGACGTCATTCATGTCGAGAGTATTGCGATCCGGGCACTCTTTGATTTCGTATGTGGACCACCAAGCCAGAGTCTCACCCGGCTCAGAAACGACGTAAGGAGATTCGCGGTTGGGATCTGAAGGGTGGCTGTCTGAGAAAAAGTAACCGAAGAAGCCGTTGCCTCCAAAGATGAAGTTCATGGATCCATTCTCTACGAATTCTTCCAAGCCAGCTGCCGGGATGAAGCCGCCAATGCCGACAAGGCCCCTTTGCAAGACACAGGCAGTTAGTACTGGATGATGCGATATAGCGAGTGTTGTGCACTTGTTACTCACTCATAATGAGGAGGATATGGATCCTCTGACGCCTCGGGAAATAGAGCTCTCTTGGCGATTGACTTGACGCCGTCGGCACCAATCACTAAATCCGCCTCTACAGGGTCGCTTTCGTCAACAAATTGGACAATGTTTCTACCTTCCGGGTTGGCAATGACTTGTAACACTCGCTTATTGACAATGGCCGAGTCCGGGATGCGAGCACGCAGGGATCTCCAGAGGGCATGGCGACTACATGCCACCATGTTGAGCTTTTTCGGCTCACTGCCTGACTCGCTGGTAGTGGAGATGCTGGCGTCAATGGACATGAGCAAACTCCCGTTCTTATTCTTCATGTTGGATTGCGCTATGACATATCCGTGGCGTGTCACATCTCGGAGGATGGCCTCATCAAGACGCTGAATTACACCGAGCCCGTTGGGTGCGATGCCCACTCCGCCGCCGACAATGAGCGTGGAAGAATGCGTCGGTCCTTCTTCTCGATCGTCTGACGTGACATCTTTGCCTGTTTCGTAGGCCTCATATATTATGATTTCGTGGTCTCCAGTGGACGAACTGCTCTTGGGGAGCTGCTTCTTCAATTCGAGGTACACTGCGCATCCGGCAATGCCAGCGCCAATGATGGCAATCTTCATGGTGGTCGACAGGGCGTCAGGGTTTGAGTGCTGAATTATGCGAATATGCCTTTCCAGATTGTATGACTGGAGATACAAAGCAAAGGACAAGGAGGATAAGAAACAGAGATATATATGCATTCATTTTGCAGTGCAATATCCAGAGCCCATAAACACCAGGCCGGCTTCACTACACCAAAGCTGCACCATCTCGGGAGAGCTTCATGATCAGTGGAGCCGCTAGATCGCAAAGCTAACCGAACAGAGCCAAGACAAGGCTCCGGGATGGATGCGCATAGGCCAGAGATCCATCACAAGGCCGCCTAATCAAACATTGAGTTTGATCCAGGGAAATGGCTGTGTTTGTTTCTCAGGACCAAGTCCAAGCCAGTGGCAATAATAAGAGATTATTTCTCCGCACCCCAGGTTCCAGCAGGATGAAGGAGGTTACTCTGATTTACGAACTCGGCTAGTGTTGCGATGGGCAAGCCACTTGCGGTGGCAGTGTCATCCCAGATGCTGTAGGATGCGGCTCTCAATGTTGTCCTCGGGAGAAATTACAACACGACTAGTTGATGGATCCATCAAGCTGGTACGAAACCAAGGGGTTTGGTTTCGTGTAGTCGTGTGGCTTTGTAACGTGGCAGCTGATGTGTTTCTCTGCCTTCATTCGACGGGGTAATTGTCGAGAATATGAGCCGCCACATCGGCAAAATATTCGTGAGATGGCGCAGATATGTCGGCAAAGCCTCTATTTTGACTGGTCTGTCCCTCGAGAATATCGACGGCCAATGCCCTTTGCTGCGGAGAGGGACTCCACAAGGCAACAGTTTTCAACTGCTGGACTATCATGATGGAACTGCGGCCCGGTACGGCGCTAGACGCTGCATTCGTCATTGCGTGTGCGGAGAGGATTGACTTCGTATGATGTTGGATTCGCGAGTTATACGAGGCTGCTGTGGGGAAAACAAGGCACAACAGACGCAGCACGATGATGTTGGCTGTATCATAGAGCGTGACTAATGCCGCTGAAGGAATGTCGACATATGGCAGCATGAAGTGACGTGGATCAGATGCATCGAGATGGACATTGGCAACAGGGGTTGGCTGCCCTTGATCTTCTTGTTGATCCTGTCTAGAGGCGTATAAGAGTCCCTCCAATCGCCATTGGTGGATCTGGAGCCGTGCATCCTGGATGAGAATGTTGAGTTTGTGCTTCAGCTGCTGTACTTTGTCTGCCGTGGATGTGATTAGATGGCTTGCAACTGACAAGCATCTCTCAACAGCAAAGAGAATGTCAACAAGCTTGTCGAAAATGAGTTTTGGGTGAACCTGGAACGGAATTGTCATCCACTCTTGCGAGGCAAAGGGGTGAAGCTCATTCTCCGCCATTGACGCCACAAACTGTCTCAGAGCAAAGGAGTTAGCATTGTTTTCTCATCATAGGAGGATTCAAGCTTGTAAGAGAAACAAAACACACCGTTTGAAGCCGCAGATGACTGAATATCTGATGCAAAAATCCGCCTTGGCAGCGCTCAGGTCCTTGCGCTTCTAACAACGAAGCCGCGCCTTTGATGTGCTTCAGCCATGCCCTGGGACTAGTGCCCGCCAACGTCTCGAAATGGGTGAGCATGACGGCTGCGCAGACAGAAGTCTCCGGAGAAGATGAGCCCAACAGCAGTCGCAGGCTCTGCAGTGCCCTCATGTACCATCGGCAGGCTTCGGTCTTGATAGACGCATCTCCCACAGCGGTGCCATAGCTGAGCATTGACGCAGCCCGGATGGAGCTTTGGACGGGAGATGGAGACGGAGAGGCGAGGAATTCGGGGAGCTCGTGCAACCAAATCCTGGAGGAGCCTCCCGGTATTGGTAGAGGCGGTCTCACGGATCCGAAGAAACCGTCGACGAAGTGAGAGACGAAAAGCTGGTCAAAGGCACTGGCTGGAGACGGCTGTAGCCCTGGCAGCTGCGTGAGATGATTGACGGCGCTGACCTGTGGCGATGGCCCACGCTTCATCTTGGTGGCTGTGAGAGCATCTGATGAATCACGCAACGAGGCCTTGGGGACTGCATGGACGAAGAAGGCGTCTGTGCGAGCTCCGGGACATTTCAAATCCATGTTGAGGCATCGCAGACACTCTGGGAGGGTCTCATCACACTACAAGAGCAAGGATGACATGAGTTACAAGGACTGAAGCTCTCATTTTGAGTTGAATCTCAGTTGGCAACAAGGCGCACCTTTACTCTGCGCTTCCGACATGTCGCGCAGCCTCTACTTCTCCCGGCGACATTGACCATGACGACAACTGTTTGACTGTCTGCAAGTCATGAGATGCAATGTGCTGGCATGAGTCTGATCAACTCACTTTTCGAATGTACGCGTTTACACTAACAAATGGGATCGATGCTAAACCACCACGATCCGAGGATATCCCGGCTCTCGCCAGGCACACACTCACTTTCCAGGGGATCTTCAGGAGAAACCCTGTCTGCCTCGCCTTGCCTCACTCTAGTCTCGTGCCGTTGCTGCAAAAAACAAACGCACCACCAACCCAGCCCTTCTCATCCTATCCCCGAACCGGATACGGGTCCAACAGCTTCAATACCAGCTTCTCATGCTCACCCCCTGACCGACCCTTTTTTTCGCCTCTTAAAGCTGCAGACCGACAGTTGGCAATCCTCCAATGAGAAGCCGTAGGATGAGCTCCAGTTCTCCAAGCAATGCCTCCACTCAGACGACGATAACCATGGATTGCTCTGCCACGTCACTGGAACCGACAGGGCTGGTTGCTGTTGTTGTTGGCACAAGAGCACGAGCTAATGGCAAGGGAGCAAAAGTGGAGCGGCGACGGTCAGATGCATCTCTTGCACGCTTTTTGGGCCGCGAAGCTCGATTTCACGACGTGATGCGTGTATGACCGACTGCTTGCGACTCATCCTTTGCTCCATCTCCCCGCGATTACGGAGCCTTGCCGTCGTTCCTTTTCCTGCTCTCTGTTTTGCATTTGCGCTCCCGCCTTACCCCTGGATCTGCTTTCTCTCTTTCACTTTCATACACACACACACACACACACACACACACATCGTACATATCGTAAGGCGCCCAAAAACATCGGTCACATCACCATGGGCGAAGACCTCCTGTCCTTTGTGTTCAAGGACAAACAGATCAAGGGCAAGGCCATTCGAGCAGCCGCAAAGCTCTTTGCCAATGCGGCCCCCATCGTCAAGACCATCGAGGCCGGCCATGGGCTCATCAAGATTGGCGACACGCTGTCCAAGGCGAATGAGCTGGCCGGCAGGGTCAACGACTTTGCCCCCCGCGCGAACCAGATGGCCGACGGCCTCAACAGATTCATCCCCGCCATGCAGGTCATGGGTTCGTCCATGTGCGACAGCGCCAGAATCTTTGCGTATTTCAGCATGATTGCGACGACGGTCAGGATCGGAATGAACATGGTTCAGACGTACCAGGGCATCCAGGCGCTACAGCTCATCGCCGCCAAGCTACAGGATATCTCCGTCAGCCTCGCGGCGCAAACGGCTCTCCTCGCCCAAAAGGAGTTTCCCGACTATGTGCACAGCATGATTCGGGAGCGGCTCATGCAGACGTCGGACGACGCAGCGGTAAATCACTGGTTCTTCCTCTGGCATCCCGACGACGACTGGTATCCCAAGTTCTTTCACCTGCTGGAGGAGAAGCCGCTGGGCACGAGGTTCTGCGGTTACACCAATCAGATTGACTCGGCATTCGTCTTCATGCTTGCGGCGAGGCGGCGCATCACAGAGAATGAGTACAAGGCACGCCGCCGCGGACATCCCATGCGCCCAACGCGGCTGCATCTCCTGGTCCCAGCATATCAACCTATCCTTGTCGCCGAAGCACTCAAGATTCCCGAGGAGATTGGCGACTTTGTCATGGAGGGCCGGATCAACAGCAACAGGGAGTTTGTCTGGCTGAATCTGCCCGACGACCAGAGACACTATACCCTCAACATTGGCCAATGGATTCCGCCAAACCAGGGCTGGTTAACGTGGGCCGCGTCAAAGATTGGGCTGGGAGAGAAGTCGCCCAAGTTGCGTGAGCGTAGAGCTCTCGGATACAGCCAGATTCCATTCGAGATTGAAGCAACGCCTTTGCCCGTGAATGAAGACGACGACGGGAGCAGTACCCTGGTGAACCCCTCAATTGCACCATCCGAGGTCAGCCTCACCCTTCGAGATGAATCAGACAGAGACAAGGATAAGGATAAGGACAAGGACAAAAGTCGGCGACAATCAACACCGTTGCATCAGCGCGAGCGGCGGCATCGTAGCAGCAGACGGAATTGAATACCATCAAGACATTTTTAAGATGAAAAGAGACGGAACATAGGCAAGGGATAACGGCAGAGGCAAAGGGCAAGGAACAGTTATGGGCATACATCACTCAATTCTCTTTTATTTTTCTTACCTTTTTCACTTTCTTTATTCCCATATCATGTTGCTAGTCGGACCCGAGACGGCACAAAGTCAGCCTGGAGTTGGAAAAGCCCAAGAGAGCGAGTACGAGAGATCTGGAATCTCCGCGTCATTTCACACAAACAGAACGACAGCATCGGTTGGAGTAAATAGAATTCATTCGGCATGAGATTGCGAAATCATGAAAGATTTGTTCACAGCTTGTTATATACCATGGAAATGTTGTGCGGCTTCTTTTCTTTTCTTCTCGCTTTCCTACATATCTGTTTCGCCTTTCTCTCTCTCTTATAAATCATTTTGGGAAACTTCCTTTGCTTGCCCACCCAACGAAACCTCTTATTTTCCTTGACGGATAAAAAGGCCAGACTCTAGAGGCGTCGTATGTTAGTCTCTCTTGTGCCGCTTACTCCAGGCGGAGGATTAAGTCCTTCTAGAGGAGCGAGCTGGAAGCCTAGCAACGATCCCAATCCCGTTCCATTGTTGCCACGATGCCATTTCCAGCTCCACACTTTGGCTTCAAGTTGCGATTCGTTCTGCTCGATTTGATCCCACAGGTGGTTCGTGGGATCCGCAACGCCTCGTACACGGACTTGTCATTGCAAATCTGGGGAGGGTTCATCGTATTAGATTGCTCGAGCTGCTTTTCAAAGCCTTTCGCCGCAAATGCAAGCTGCCAACCGCATATGACGGTGTCGTATAGATAGACTTCATAAAGTTTGCGACGGGGGTGTTGTCATTGGGCTGAGGGGGATTTGCGACTACAAGATCGAGAGGAATGGACAAGCCAGCCGGGAACGGACGCAAATTCGCGTGTGCTGAGGCGTTTGTGAATGCCATGGGCTGCCCATCGTCTGCCGATGTAAGCAAATAATGGCGGTATGCCGCTTCTGTGAGAGAGATTGGAATGATGCCTGGGGCATTGGCGCCAATACACAGTCTATGACTATGCTGTCTGTCGAACAATTCGCTAGGAACGGCCCCTTGTAGAATGTGGTCTTGTTCCTGTTTTGCTCCAGTCATGATACTGCCCCATCCGTTGTTATGTTATGATGAAAGAATGGTAGTGTCTAGTCTTCCTAGATCTTTGCTCGACGTGCAGCGGCTGCGACCCAGTCGCTCGTTTTAGAGGTGTTGGCATACACTCCAGACGTGTTTGTCAGCTGGGAGATTGAATATAAAGCAGCTGGTGCCAGAGCGGTATTGACATCGAGCGGGATTCTGCCATTCGCGTTGCCATATTTAGAATCGCCCCGTTGAGCTACGTTTTGGCCTGGCTAAAAGAGATGAGATTGTTGACTGTTTGACTGTACTTAGACGGCGCCATAGCGTTCATGATCTTGCTGGCGGTGGTATCACTCAGGTCGCCCCAAGTTAGATACTTGCTATAAGGATGAACGCTACCAGCTTTGGTCTGTAGCAACGACTTCAAACGCTCCGGCTTAGCTATGCCAAAGTATCGTTCTAGAAGGATGAGAAGAAAGTAGTCCGTGCCAACTATTTGGTCTGTACACTAAGGCGTTGTGGAGATGAGGCCGTTTTGCATGTTCGCAAACGTCTCGTAGTCACTGATTTGCCTGCACGACAAATAGATCCATCTGTTCGATTGATTCATTCAAGCGCGGCCCCAACGGCAGTCTCCATGGCGTCGGTGCTGAGAACATTCGACACAAAATTTCCCGTTAGGAAACTAAGAGATATCCTCATCATCCTACAACTAGCTTAATCATGTACGAGGAGAAGGGGGATGAATCGACGGCCACAAGTTGCTGCTAGGCAAGTCGTTGAGACTGGTTGTTCAGCGGCAACCTTGACGCAAAGTGCTTGAGTTGATGTTAGTTGTATGAAGCTGAGAATTGATAGAAGCCGGATTCGAATTGCAGCTTTGTGTAATTGATTTAGACTAGATTGCTAGTGTTGCACGATTGTGAATGTCTAAGTCGTGACGTTATCTAGCCACAACCGGGAGATCTGAACGCCGTTTCTCTGATATCTTGTGACGCTGACGCCACGTTGAGTGCCAGGACTATGGACACTCTGTCCAGCTGTGAAATCGCGTATTTGTTTGTCCTGCCTAGGATGGCGACAGAAGGCTCCACGGAGCTGTTGAATGAGATCACGCCCTCGACGCCGACAACGGAGTGAGGAGAACATAGTGTCTTGCGATTAATGGATCCAAGGAAGTTCCAACTGTCAAAGCTCAGCAACTCAGTGGTTAGCTTATTTCTGTCAGAGTATTTGCAAAAAGGCTGATGCTTCGACACCCCCAAGGAGGTTTGTTGAGCCTATTCCCAAGAGGTATATTTTTCGAGTCAGCGAGCCCCATGCTCTATAGCCGAGATTCATTTTGATACCCCTCATGTTTTATGCGTATTGAAGAATGCATCGCTCTTTCACGTATGATACCTGTACCACTAGAGCCAGATACCCATCACACAGCAACATCCTTCTTACGAGTTATTGCGTCCCGCGGACCTCCGAGACCCTTTCGAGTTCGATCGTATGCTTTATGTCGACTTTGAACTGCAGTGTCAAGCTCCAATGCAGACTTCGCCCTATCTAAGCCGTGAGCCTGAATCGCATCTGTGGTTGATTGCAATTCTGGCCAAATACTCTGCTATCGCTGTGGAGGGTTTGCATCAAGATACCACGATGTCGCAA